AGAAGCGAAGATCTGGGTGATGCGGCCCCAAGCCAGGGGGCCTCTGGGGCCCCCCAGGAGCTGAAAGGGACAATGAAGGACCCTCCCAAGAGCCTCCACAGGGAGTGTGGTCCTGCCAGCGCCTGGATTTCAGACTTCAGGTCTCCTCAACTGTGAGAGAAGACACTTCTGTTGTTTTTGTTATTTCAAGCCACAAACGTGTGATGATCTGTTCTGTCAGCCATAGGACACTGATACAATCCAAGACCTGGATCTGAATCTAGGATACAGGCCCTGGAGCCAGCCCGCTTGGCTTTGAACCCTGTTCCATCACTTACTGTCTGTGCGTCCTTTAAGATCACGGGAATCTCCTCTGCCTCAAGTTCCCCATCCAGAAAATTGGGAAAATAACAGCACTTCCCACACAGGGCTGCTGTTGGAGTTAAGTCAGTAATACCCATGAACAAGCCGGTAGAGTAACCACCACTACATAGTATGTGCTCACTAAGTGTAAACTACTGTGAGTAGCGGTAGTATTAACATGCCAACATGGGTATCATGAAAGTTGTTTCCTTTCAACGATGAAATCACTTGTAACTGAATTTGTATCCAATCATCGATTCCAAATTATTCCTTTTGAGCTTGAAATTCTAAGCTCCTCGAGCAATTTCTTTTCCCTTTTCTCATACAGCCTTGCTTAAAATGTGACACCCGGAGCCTCGTACATAATACGTGATTTCAGGGGACGCCTGGGTGGACCAGTCAGTTGAGGGTCCGGCTTCACCTCAGGTCACGATCTCATGGTTCATGAGATCGAGCCCCACATCAGGCTCTCTGCTGTCAGCACAGAGCCCGCTGCAGAAATCTGTCCTCCTCTCTCTGCCCTCCCCCCACGCGCTCTCTCTCTCTCTCTCTCTCTGCTTCTCCCCCACTTTCACTCTCTCTCAAAAATAAACATTAACAAAAATTTGTTTTAATATGTGACTTTACATTCGGTTTACATCGTGGGCTCTGAAGTGTATTTTGTGAAAACACGTAACTTTTAAACTCTGTGAAAGCACCCGCTTTGCCTTCTCCTTTCACCACCTCAATAGCATTTTCAGCCAATGTTTGACGGGTGGAAATTACCCAGGAAACATGGCCGCTAGCCACAGGTTGCTTGTCCCATACCAGTTGAACAAGAACTGAGGCTATGTGAGTGATAACTGTTTCCTTGAAAATGGGAAACAAATTAGAAAGCATGTATTGAGCACCTACTCTGTGTTAGTGACTTTACCAGACAGCAGAGAGAAAAAAGTCACAGAGAAAGTAAAATTGATATTTCAAGGATGCCCTCCTCGATTTTACACCGTTTTTCTTCAGACTATCCAATGGCCTACAGTAGGCCAACAGATTAGCCGCGTCTGATCTTTCTGAACATGTTTGGGGATGGAAGGGCTACAGATTTATGAGATTTCATCTTATAGTAATAATCACATGGATAGAAAAATGATAAAGCCCCATATAAGCACTAAGTCTTCCTCTTGACCCAAGTATCAGCCTCTTCTCTCAGACTAGTAAAGTCTCATTTTTATTTCCTCCCTTTACCTTCCATTTCTCCAGATGGCGCAAAAGCCAGTTGGGAAAAATCAAAAATAAGAGAAAAGATTCTCAAACTGGGTAAACGGTTCCCACGGTATTTGGGCGGTAGGGTTTCCAACACACATTCAGTGAGGTGTGTGAAGAGCATGGATCCTAAATCCCCCGCTCAATGAATTTTTATATATGTATAAACTCAGGTAACCAAGGAATCTAGGTATAAAACGTTTCGGAGCTTCCCCCAGAAAGTTCCCTCTACATCTTCCTAGCTGATAACCCTCAAAGGTAACCACTATTCTGATTTCTCTCACCAGGGATTAATTTTTCTTGTTCTTAAACATTTCCAAATAGTCTGAAATCGACCATACATGTGGTAATGGTGCTACCCAGAGAGAGATGGCAAATATCTGCTTCCCGCGGCATGGAGGCCATCAGGCTCAGCTGTGGAGAACCTTCTCTCCTCTCTTGTAAGCTGAGCATCGATCGGCTGGTCATTCCATGTCTATCACCAAACCAGTAACCCGCGGGGCCAAGAAACAGGCTCTGGGCTCTTTACTGGCAAAGCCTGTGGTCTTTCTACTAAATCACTCACTTGGTTTTTTTTTTGTTTTTTTTTAATGTTTATTTTTTTGGGGGGGGTGGGGGGGAGCTACAGAGAGAGAAAGGGAGACACAGGCTCCAGGCTCCAAGCTGTCAGCCCAGAGCCCAATGTGGGGCTCAAACTCACGAACTGTGAGATCAGGATCTGAGCCAAAGTCCGACGCTTAACTGACTGAGCCGCCCAGATGCCCCGATCGCTCTCTTGAGTCACCAGAGTGGATGCAAAGAAAACAGCTTGGATGGAGTGCTTGCTGGGTGCCTGGCAACACATGTTGCCAGGTCGAGATGGTCCTCGAACGTGAGCTGTAGTGGCATTATTTGTAAATGAAACCCGAGGGACGCATTGGGCAGCGGACACTGTGGGCTGAGGGATGTGGGTTGGGAGCCTCTCCTAAATCTGGAAGGACAGCCTCAGACCAGCCGCCTAGTAACTCCCCACGAGAGCCAGGCACCGCGCTGTCTGCCTTCAGCGTAGAGAGTGCAGGGCTGTAGTGACTTTCAGAGGTAGTGACTTTGACCTTGTGTCGGTGGGAGGGAAGCTGCTCATGGAGACCTGAGAGCATCTGCTCCAGCATGAATTCACATAGACTCAGCCAGTACATCGAAGGCTCATCACCCGGCGCAGTGCCAGGCTTCAAGGAAGTCACACCCAGCAGGCTGCTCCTGATCTCTGCCTTCAAGGAACTTCCAGAAAACGGGAAAGTGATGTCATTGTCAGTTCCAAAAAGCCGTGTGATTTAGGAAGACTCTGATCTCTGGCTTCCACTCTGGATGTAGAAACCCAGTAGGTGCCGCTGCCAACACGGCAACAGGAAAAGGCTGAATCGTTTGCAAAAACCTAGCTTCCTTGAACCCGGCAGAGAGCCTTGGTCACGGGCAACCCAGTCGCCTGAAATCTGAGACCGGGGCCCTGGCTCACCTGCACGGGGTGAGGACGGTGTCACCAGACTAGAGGGGAGATTTCTGCTGGAATTTTTTTAATGTCTTGCTTTTTTTTTTTTTTTAATTTATTTTTACTTTTTGAGAGAGAAAGCGTGAGCAGGAGAGGGGCAGAGGGGGGAGGGGGGTCAGAGGCTCCAAAGCAGGCTCCGCACGGACAGCACAGAGCCCGATGTGGGGCTCCAACTCACAAACTGAGATCAAGACCTGAGCCAAAGGCAGATGCTTAAACAACTGAGCCACCCAGGAGTCCCTCTGCTAGAATTTTTAACCGATTGCTAAAGGCCAGGTGTGGGCTGGTGTGACGGTGGAGAATCCGGAAGCATCAGCCACAAGGGGACTTCTCACCCACCCGCAGGGTCTTCGGGGACCACCAGGCGGTCATGAGAAAGGCAGGGGGCAGGGCCAGAGATGGAGGGAAGCCCTCCCCCCAACCAGATCCACAAGTTCATGGTCTATCATCCCCAAGTTACCACGACAACATTTTTGCCAATGGTTCTCATATCACATAACCACGTTTGCCTTTTCCTAACGTCTGGCAGTTTCCTCACATTTCCAGCCCCTTTACAGCTGCTGCCTTACTGCCAGGTTCCAAAGTCAACGCCACATTCTGAATGTCGGCTACAGCAGCCCCCTGTTCCCGATGCTAACTTCTGTGCCTGTTACCTTATGTGCTCATAATTCTGTGAGTCAGCCAGCGGAGCTGAACTCAGCCGGGAAGTTAGTTCTTCGGATGGTCTCACCTGGGAGACTGCAGTCATCTGATGGCTTGCCGGACGGTCCAAGATGGCCTCACTCACGTGCCCGGTGGGTGATGTCAGCTGTCAGCAAGATCAGCCCAGGTGTCTTCCCATTTAGCTCTTAAGACTCTAACCATAACCAAAAGAGGGCAAACCCTAGTGTGTGCTTCCCAAGCGTCTGCTCCTGCCGTGTTTGATAATGTTCCATTGGCCAAAGAAAGTCGCACAATCAAGTGCATCTTCAAGGGGTAGAGACATAAACCCCACCTCTCGATGCAAGGAGCAACAAAGTCAGCCTTGAAAAGAGATGCACGTTGAGAAATAGGAGGAATTATTGTGGCCACCATCTACTACATCATCATTCACACACACACACACACCAGTGAAAATTACAACACAAGAAACCACTCACACACCCAGGAACATGGCTAACATCAAACTAACAGTAGCATGCATTATCAGGAAGTGAAGCAAATGAAACCTTTCATGATATTGGAGGCATACATTGTTTCAACCACTTTGGAGACCTGTTGGCAGCATCTGCCGAAACTCAAGGTCAGCCTGTGTGAGGACCCACCGATTGCACTCCAGGCTTGCCCCTGGGAGAAGTCAGGACATTGGTTCAAAGGAAGGCCTGCACCACAACAGCCACAGAAGCTTTATTCCTAACAGTAAAGAATTCAAATGTCCATAAACAGAATGGAATGTTGGAGCTCTGGGATCAAGAGAATATTGCACTGCAATGTTTAAAGATAAATTTCACAGGCTCTGTATTAAGGGAAACACCAGCCATGAGTGTTTGGCATAGTGTGTGGTTCTATATCTATGAACAGGAAAAACAAATCTATGGTGACAAGTCAGAATACTTGTTACCTCTGAATGGGGCTTATTTCCTTTTACTTTTTTTTAATGTTTATTTATTTTTGAGACAGAGTGTGAGCAGGAGAGGGGCAAAGAGGGAGGGAGACACAGAATCTGAAGCAGGCTCCAGGCTCCAAGCTGTCAGCACAGAGCCCCACACAGGGCTCTAACTCATGAACCACGAGATCATGACCTGAGCTGAAGTTGGACACTTAACCCACTGAGCCACCCATGTGCTCCTGGATGGGGTTTATTGACTGGGACTGGAGTAGGGCCCAAGAGTACCATCTGGTACTCTTAACAGCTCTTCAGGTAAACAGATCAAAGACGGATACACTGGTGTCCCCGCCCCCCCCCCATCACCCCATTCACATTCTGAAGCCTTATTCCCACTCTGGGTGGTATAAGGAGGTGGGGGCTTCAGGAGGTGAGTAGGTCAGAAGGATGGAGCCCTTAGGAATGGGACTAGTGTCCTTATAAAAGACACCCCACGGAGTCCCTTGCTGTCTCTCGGCCACGTGAGGACACAGGACGAAGACAGCCATGTACGAACCACCCTCCCCAGACACCATATCTGCCCGCATTCTGATCTCGGACTCAAGCCTCCAGAACTACGAGAAGAAAGTTCTGCTGTTCATAAGCCGCCCAGCCTATGGTAGTTTTGTTATGCAGCCCGAACAGACGAAGACAGAGACCAAAACCTATAAACGTGTAGATTTTGAAACCCGGATAATATGCTCTATCTAGGGGACACATGCAGAATACAATATATTGGTTTCAACGACACAGGAAGCATTTATGAACACTGAGCACACGCTCAGCCGTAATAAACGCATCCCTTCCCGCCCCGGCCCCCTCCCCAAAATAGCAATGTCCTGTGCCACTAAGAAGTGCATCTTTCCCGCAAAACAGGACATTCAGAAACACGGAGTGCAGGGCAGCCGCACACAGATACCAGCGGGGGAGCGGCTGTGATTTCGCGGCTCTCCTCTGCCTGCAGCCTCTACCGTGGCCGTCGGGCGGCTCCGCGAGCCCGGGGCATCGGGTCTGTTTGCACACAGGGGCGGATTCGACAGGCGACTAGCAGGATGTGCCAGATTGAGAACACAACAGGTGCCTAATGTTCAATAATAGAAAGACCACGTTTTCTGCTCACAGTGTCAGTAAATTAAAAACAGACAACAAAAGGGCAACTAAAAAACAAACAAAACCCACACCCATACACATGCAGGAACTTTCCAGAACGACAGAAATGTTGTGTACCTTGAAAGGCGTGTTGGTTACACACACGTACGGGCGCGTCTGAGTCCTCCAGCCGTACACCTAAGGTTTATGCGTTTCGCTCTGAGTAATCAGACCTCTGGAAAAATATACCCAGGTCCCGGGATTTTAAAATCTAATTACAGATACCTCACGGGCCAAAGAATCAGTGATAACAGAAACGAAGACAATACTTAGATTTCAACCAAAAGGAAAATATTATCCATCGAAACGTGTGACGTGACCCAGACAAGTACCACGAGAGACCGTTTTAGCCTGGAACGTTTACAGTCGCAGGAACCTCGGAGGGCGCCCGGCTGGCCCGGTCGGCTGGGCGTCCGACTCTCGGTTTCGGCTCAAGGCACGACCCCAGGGGTGTGGGGCCGAGTCCCGCACCCGAGCGTGGAGCCTGCTTGGGACTCTCGCCCTCCCTCTGCCCCTCCCCCGCTCTCACACGTGCACTCTCTCTAATAATTAAACAATAAAATAAAATAAATAAAACTACAAGTCGAGCGTTAATCAGCAAGGGGCCCGGCGCGCGGCGGGGACACCGGCAGCGGCAGGTGAACCCTCCTGTGCACGCTGAGCGAGGAGCTGTGCCTGAAGGCCTTGTCACACTGGCTGCACGCGTAGGGCCTCCCTGCCGCGTGCGTCCTCACGTGCACGACGAGGTGCGAGGACTGCCCGAAGGCGCGCCCGCACTCCCGGCACGCGTGCGGCTTCTCGCCCGTGTGCGTCCGGGCGTGCTTCCTGAGGGAGGAGGGCTCGCGGAAGGCGCGCCCGCACTCCCGGCACGCGTACGGCTTCTCGCCGGTGTGCGTCCGCATGTGGCTCTTGAGCGTCGACAGGCGGCTCAGCACCTGGCCGCACGTGGCGCACGCGTAAAGCTTCTCGCCGGTGTGCGTCCTCCGGTGCACGCTCAGGTGCGTGCTCGTGCGGAAGGGCTTCCCGCACTGCTGACACTCGTACGGCTTCTCCCGCGTGTGCGTCCGCAGGTGCGTCTTCAGCGACGAGTGCTCCCGGAAGGCTTTGCCGCACTGCGCGCAGCCGAAGGGCCTCTCCCCGCTGTGCGTCCTCGCGTGGCTGCGCAGAGACGACGGCTGCGTGAACGCCTTCCCGCAGTCCCGGCACTCGTAGGGCTTCTCGCCCGAGTGGTTTCTCTGGTGCAGGATCAGGTTGAAGTTCCTCGTGAAGGTCTTCCCGCACTGGGCGCACGCGAAGGGCTTCTCGCCCGTGTGCGTCCTCAGGTGGCGCCGCAGGTTCGAGGAGTACTTGAAGGCGCGGCGACACTCCGGGCATGCGAAGCCCTTCTCGGCGCTGTGAGTCCGCTCGTGCCGGACCAGGTCCGAGCTGTACCTGAAGGCCTTCTCACACTGGCCACACGCGAAGGCTTTGTCCCCACGGCGGGCTTTCGCGGGCACCGTGAGGCGGGCGGGCTGGAAGAAGGGCTTGGCGCCCTCTTGGCAAGCACGGGGGTCGCCTCCGGCGGGAGGCCCCTGGTACTGGAAAAGGGGTCCGAGGCCGGCAAGGGGTCTTCCGGGTGCGCCGCATTTATAGAGTGTTGGTGCCGTGTGAGGCTGCTCCTGTGGATGGAGGTAGACACGAAGACCTGAGGCTTTAGGACGCTGACAGCCGTTCTCCCCCGGGGGGGTGGGGGGCTGCGCAGCGGAGGCGCATTCCTACAGCTGAAGCTTCTACCCTTCTAGTGCGTCTGGACCATTTCCACCCCGAGCCCCTTCGAGGGGATGCCCTCCACAGCGCACCGCCGTCGTCGTTACTTCCGTGAGCCTCTTAGAGGCAGAGTTTTGCCGAGTTAAGGGCAAATTAAGTCTTAAACTCTTGGTATCTGTTCGTTTATGAACGCGGTTGCTTGCGGGAACTCTGTGAAGACACATGCCTTGACCTACATGTAGCGTTTCCCCAATTCATGACCTTCACCGACCCTCTTCCAAGATACTGTGTTCGCCTGGGTGAGCACCACTCACCTTGAATCCATCTCCGTCTCTCTCTCTGGCCTCTTGAGCTGCTTTCCTTCCTTCCCCCCACTCCTTCCCTCCCTCCTTCCCTCCCTCCTTACTTCTTCCCTCCCTCCCTCCCTTCCTTCCTTCATTTCTTTAAGATTTACTTATTTAAGCAATCTCTACGCCCAACATGAGGCTCGAACTCACCACCCAGACCAAGCGTTGGACGCTCCTCCGCCTGGGCCAGCCAGGCAGCCCTGCTGTTTCTAACCTGCAGCGACCCCGGGCTCGTCCTACGAGGGGACCGGGACGGCTCCCGGGGCGCCTTACCCTTTTCATGCCAACAGATGGAATCCCTCCAAAAATCTCTTGGTTAGGAATTGAATCTTGGGGTGGAGGCTGCGGTTCTGAAATGAACAAGGAAGGAAAACGGTAAGTGCACAGAGAAGGAAGCTGTAGTACCAGGGCAGCCAGGACAATAAGCAGGGCCAGCGGGGAGGTTTTTTTTTTTTTAATACTGGTTCTAACTACGGGAAGGCAGTGGGGAGAGGAGGGCTGTATCAGAGTGCCCAGGAAATGCTGAGGCGTCTGGCTCTGTAAGCAGTTACGTAACCATGGCAACGAGGAATGGAAATGCCAGATAAGTTACTGGGAAAGGAGCCTGTGAAGGTGGAGGCCGAAACTGAAAGTGTCAGCAAGAACATATGGTGGGGAGGCACCGGATCAAACGTGCACACGCTACGTCCACGGAAAACACACACAGGAGCAAATAGACACGCGGAGGCGACCAGTGCGAGGGGGGGAGGGACAGACCGCCCTGTGAAACCAAAGGCAGGTATTCGAGATAAAAAGGAAAGGGGGTGGAGTCCAGCAGAGCGGCTCCGTCAAGGCCACTGAGAGTGTCTGCCCTCCTGACAGATGTGCACACCTCACGCTCGTCTTGGGATCAGCGCTGGCGCTCGCCTGGTCCGCGTGCCGCTCACCTGGACAGTTTTCCGGGAAGACTCTTCTCTCCGTGGGCCGCCGCCCTTCTCCTTGCTCCCAATGGGAAAGCCAGCTGGGTGTGCCTAGCTGACCGCCTGCTCGTGGGAAAATATGCAGGGTGTGAGCCGGGCCTGCCATTAAACCGGGGCTGATATCCTGACATCTTTGGGGGACATGGGAGACGGGAAGAGCAAAATGAGCACCCCTACATTCTGACGGGCACGGCCAAGCTCTTCCACTAAGGGGCCAAAGTGCAAGCTCCGTCACTGGTCCCAAAGGACCGTGGGGTTCTCCGGTCCCCAAAAGCCAGGGCCTGACTGAGAGACGCACTTGAAAAGCCCAGCCGCTTTTAACCATGGAGAAACAGAGAGCAGCAGAGAGACTTCCATTTCCACAGGGAAGCCGCTAGACCATAAGCCCCATGAGAGCAGGATTTGTCTGTTTTTTCACCTCTCGATTTCCCAAACCAGCACAATTCTGGGAACCCGCAGGGGCCGTGGGGGTGTGTAGATGAAGCCGCGGGGCTGGCCTTACCCACGGAGGCCAGGTTCCTATAGTTCTCCAGCATCACATCTCTGTACAGGCTTCTCTGGGCGGAGTCTAGAAACATCCATTCTTCTGGGGTGAACAACACAGTCACATCCTCGAAGGTGACTGGTTCCTGAAACACACGCCCGTCCCGGCTCAGCCAGGGGCCACCCCCACCGGTACCCAAGAAGCTGGCGAGGGCCCAGCCTGGGGAAGGAAGACGGCGCAGAGGATTCTTACTCGGGGCCCTGTGGCCTCTCGGAGTTCAGCCCCTGGCTCAGGCCCCAGAACCAGAACTCTCCTCCATCTATTCATTGGTCCCTGAGGGACGGTATCCAGAGGTGTGGCATCGAAGGACTTAGCCGTTAGCCTCCAGCCAGGAAGCCACGGCCGTTTTATCCCCTTCAGGCTCCCTTGGGCCCAGAGGCCTAAAATGCGTGGCGAATGGCCACTATCTACCCTGGAAAGCTGTGAGGACCGGCTGACCAGGACAGCTCACAGCCTCACTCAGCAGAACCCGGCACACCCCAGCAAGGGACAGTCTGAATGAAGCAGGGGGATCACTGCATGTGTCCCCCCCCCCGCCACTATAAGAGGCCCAGGGCCTAGAAGCCTGGATATCAGCCCTGTAGGGTCGGGAGCCTCCGGGCCAAGGGAAGCAGATAAGGGCCTCAGCAACAGGCATCTCCTACTCACCTGTGGACAGCGGCCCGGTATCCCAGGAACCACAGACTCCTCCTCCGTGCGCCCCTTCTGCACCCAGCCAGGGTCCCCGGCAAGCAGAGCTAAGGAGAGGGAGGCCGGGAGGCCCAGTGAGCACACCCGCAGGGCCCAGGGCTGCCCGCCCCAGCCGTGAGTGACCACAGGTGCACACACGCACGTACGACACACACACTTGTGTGCTTAGGCGCATGTGTGCACACACCAGCACACACACGTGCATGCATTCACACACACACAGACACATATACACAAACACAAAACATACACAGACAGACAAGTACACACCGCAGAAATGGACACATGGACACATGCAAACGCGCACAAATACGCACGTGTTTCTTACATCCCAAATCTCTGGAGTTACAGACTCAATGCGCCAACAGGCTCTGGAGTTTTGGGGGCCCCCCCACCGCCCCTTGAGTCAGCCCTGGGTCCGTATTTCCTCCCTAGCTGCTCAGCTCCACTCTGCGGGGCCGGCGGCACCCAGGACTCAGCACCAGCAGGGGCCAGAGAAGCGGCCACCACCCCACGCGTCTCCCCTGGAGAAGGAAGCCTCACCCCTTCCTGCCTTCAAACTGACCACACCCCTCCATCCAAACGAGCAGCACCTCTTCGCTCTGGCACCACTTTGCTTTGGCTGCGTTAAGGGTGAGCAAGTGACCTCCCCGACCAGCCCCGTCTCCCTGCACGCCCACCTCCCCCCACCGCGGGACCTCTCCCCTTGGGAACTAATCCTGAACTGAAAAATTATGCATATCACGCAAAGAAAGAAAATTACTTGCATCTAATAATTTAAAAAAAAAAAAAAACCTGACCCACGTCCAGTCTCTGAGCCCGTGTATTCCCTCCCTGGAGCTGTTGTAACCAAGCACCCCACGAACTGAGAGGCTTAAAACCGCAGATGCACCTTCCGTCTCAGCTCTGGAGGCCAAAAGCCCGAGACAAAGGTGTCGGCAGGGCCGTGCTCCCTCCGAGACTCTGGGCAGAGTCCCTCCTCGCCTCCTCCTGGCTTCTGGCGGTGACTGTCCCGAGTCCTGGGTGCTCCCTGGCCTGCAGCTGCGTCCGTCCCATCTGTGCGTCTGTCACATGGATGTCCTCTCCCCCGCGTGTCCCTGTCTCCACCTGCTGTTTTTCTCTTGTTAAGAGGACGCCCGTCACATTGGGCCCCTGCATCACGACCCCATCTTACCCTGCAGCTGCACAGACCCTGTTTCCAGGTAAGGTCCCAGTCCCGGTCACGGGTACTGGTCAGGACTTCAGTGTATCTGGGGGGCAGGAGGGGGCACAGTTTAAGCCACAACAGTCTGCTTCCCCTTCCACACTGTTTCTGTCCCCCCACCGTGGGCAGCCAGTCCTCTGTCCAGGTCCAGGCCCCTAGGCTGACTCTCTCCCCTGAAGTCCACACCACCAGCTCGTGTCCCCACTCATCTGTCCTGGGGACTCCATGAGCTGGGGGGAGGGGGGTGCTGCCCCTCACCCCCAGCCCCACAGCCAGAGGACTGCCATCAGGCCTTGAACTTGCCCTGCTGGGTTTGGAGCTTGCTTGGGACCCATGATCCCTTCTTTCTCTCCCCTCGGGACAGGGAACGAGGACCCTGTGTGTGTCCCACAGCATTCTGGGAGCACAGGACCTGTCTTCTCAGTTCACAGGTTCACAGATGAAGAACTCTGTCCCTGGGATGGACCACACCCGAGTCTCACTCATGCCTCATCTGAATGATTCATATGAGGACACAAGGGCTTTCCGAGCTGAGAAGATTTGGGACTTGGAGTTGATGCTGAAAGGGGTAAAAACTCTGGGGGTGTCGAGATCATCTGAGTGTACTTAGTATGTCGGGGGGACATGAATTTGGTCGTGGGGGGGCAGAAATCAGACCATTATGGGTTAAATTGTGTCCCCCCCCAAGGATTGTGAAGTCATAACCTCCCCAGCGCCTCAAAAGTGTGACCTTATTTGGAAACAGGGTCTTTGCAGGTGTGATCAGCTAAGGTGAAGTCACAGTGGAGTTGGGTGGGTCCCAACCCAACAGGACTGGTGTCCTAAGAAGGGGGGGAAGGCAGAAGCAGGGACACGAGGGGAGAAGGCCATGTGACCATGCAGGCGGAGACCGGAGCCATCTCTTCAGGCCCAGGGACCGGCAGCCGCCACTGGATGCCAGGAAGGAGCCTCCCTACAGCCTCGCAGGCGGCACAGCCTCGCAGGCGGCACAGCCCCGCCTGCACCCTGATTCTGGCCTCCAGAACCCTGAGAATTTCTGTTGTCTCATTCCCACCCTGCCCCCACACCCTGCTCCAAAAAGAATGTGCTCACCGCCTGATTCTCAAAGCCTGTTCTACCGGCACCCCTGATCTCAGGAAGTGGCATCCATGCCTCAGACAGGAAGTCTCACCCCTCCCTGATGCTCTCCAGACCCCAAAAATTAATCCAAAAAAAAAAAGAAAATCAGTGATGCCATCTCTACAGAGAGCACCCACCCCACTCCCTTTCCTCCTACTCCTGGCCCCGCTGCGGCTCGTGGCACATCAGCTGTCCCTTCTGAGCCCACTGAGAGGTCACTCCCTCAGAGCGCCTCCCCGTCCCCAGCGTCCCCCACTTCTCTCTAGAAGGGCCTTCCCCCTTTCCTCACAGCCCTCACCTACTTGTAATCACACAGTTATTTGCTCCCTTGGGTATGAGTTTTCTGCCACCCTCGTGGGACTGGAAGCTTCTGAAAGAAGAAGCCTGGGCCCCCTCTCCTTTCACCCCCCCAGGTCCCCAGTGCTCGGCTCATGAACACTCTGGACTGTCTGGTAAACGAAAGCATACGGGACTCACCAAATCGTCTCAACCCAACCTCCTGCACAGGCCTTAAACCACTGCACAATCCCTACTGTGTAGACAAGAGCTAACACCATGGGCCCGACTGGTGGCCCTTGGGAACATGGACCTCGAGAGGGTTCCGAGCACCTTAACTGGTAAGAAGGGCTTAAACTGCTTCCGCGAACGCTGTGGTTCATGCTGACCCCCTGCCGTCCCTTCGGGGTCCTGGGACACGCGGACCGGAGCCAGGTGCACTTCAGAGGCAGCGTCAGAGTGGGCCGGTGTGACCAGCCCCGAGGGAAAACCCACGCACTGAGCCTCTACTGAGCTTCCCTGGGAGACGTCGCCTCCCATGTGTGGTCAGGGCTTGCTGCAGGGGGTATTAAGCACATCCTGGGTGACTCCTCTGAGAGGCCTCTGGAAGCCCAGGCCTGGACCCCTCCAGACTTCCCCCCGTGCACCACCAGACTCAGCCCTGCGCCCCTTCGCTGTGATAAATCACCGCGAGGAGCATGGCCGCAGGCCAAGGCCTAGGAGGCCTGGCAAATGGCCACAACTGGGCATGGTCCCTGGGACCCCACCACACAGGCCAGGATTCATACTTCCAGGCCTGAAAGTTCCAGAGCCCAACCCTCTCCAGTCAGCTTGCACCACGCTCCCTCCCCTTCCCTCCGCTCCCTCCACACAGCCTTTGGTGGGCCCCTGGGCACATCCGCCTCTGTGCCCCCCAAGGAATTTCCAGATGCCATTCCTAGGCCTGAAGTCCTCCCTGCGAACCTTCTCCAAATAGCCCAACGTCTGGCCAGGCTCAATGATACAGTAATCATTTATCAGGGTCTCAGCCCACACTCGTCCCCCCTGTGACACACAGCAGGCTGGTATCTTGGTCAGCTCTGCTGCATAACAAATACCACAGATGGGGGTGGGGGAGAGGGGCTTAAACAGTAGAAATTTATTTTCTGGGGCACCTGGGTGGCTCAGTCACATAAGCATCCTACTCTTGATTTCGGCTCTGGTCACAATCTCAAAGTTCATGAGTTTGAGCCCTGCATTGGGCTCCACAATGACAGTGCTTGGAATTCTCTCTCTTTCTCTCTCTCTCTGTCTCTTTCTCTCTCTCCTGCCCCTCCTATGCATTCTCTCAAATAAATAAACTTAAAAAAACACTCACTTCCTCACAGTTCTGGAGGTGGGTGCCAGTGTGGTTGGGTGCTGGTGAGAGCAATCCTCTTGGCTTGTATACAACTGTCTTCTCACTGTGTCCTCACACAGCAGAGAATGCTCTGGTGTCTCTCCCTCTTCTTACAAAGACACCAGCTATGGGATTAGAGCTCAACCTTTATGACCTCAACGAATCTTGACCACCTCCTTAAAGGCCCAGTCTCCACCACTGTCACATGGGAGGGTAGGACTTCAGCATATGATCTCGGGGGGTCAGAGGCAGGGACCAGCCACAGCTTCAGGAGACGTTTTTGGCTGTCATGACTAGGACCTTTTATGGGCTTGTATCCCTCCAAAAATGCATAAGATTAACACCCAGTACCCCAGAATATAACCGTATTTGGACATGAGGTCTTGAGAGGTAAGCAAACTAAAATGAGGTCAGTTGGGTGGGTCCTTGGAAGAAAAGAAAACCTCAACACAGACACAAAGAAAGAGAAAACACAAGAAGACAACCACCTACAAGCCAAGGACTGATGCCCGGAACAGCTCACAGCCCTCAGATCTCAGACTTCTGGCTTCCAGAACCATGAGAAAACAAAGGTTTGTTCTCTGAGCCGCTCAGGCTGTGGTACTTTGCTATGGTGGCCCCGGCCAGCTAACTCAGGACGTGCTACCGCCATCTAGTGGGTGGAGGCCCCACAATACGCAGAATGGCCACACCACAGAGAATGAACTGGCCCTAAGTTGCGCAGCTGAGAACCTACCGTCTGACTTCAAATTTCCTGAAACTCCTTCCTGCCCTCAAGATAAAGTCCTTGTGTTACATGCTTCCATCATATCCCGGTCTTCACTGAAAAATTTGACCCCACGGGCCGACTGAGCTCAGGGGTCAATATTTTGTTTGAGACTGTCTCCCAGGGCCCATCTCACCACAGGGTGACCGACTAGAGCACTTCAAGAGTACTTTGAGAGCTTGGAGTGTTCCAAGTACTTCAAGAATATTTCAAGAGCACAGGGTACTCTGAGTACCTTAAGAGTACTTCAAGGCAGAGCTGGCCCAGGAAGCTTACCAAAACTACACAGAAGAGCAACACTTAAGAATCACTTCCTGTCAATGACATAACACAATTTCCAAATGCAAGACTAGATGCTATTGTTCATAAACAAAGTTTATTATTCCCATTAGAAGGCAACATGCAAGGAAACAAATGCCTTGAAATTAAAGCTAAGATATTATCTGTCCTCCAGAATTAATGAGTTAATTCTCCCCCTCCCCACTTCTCAGGACATGTGCCTTGTCTCAATCCCATTTTTTATAAACTCAGTTAAAAAATGGTCCGTTGATAGTAAATCCGACTGTCAATTCAGCATCAACATAGTTGCGGAGTGAAGAATTTAACCTTGCCCAGAAAGAGGTCTGGACTTAGCCATAGCTTAAAGGAGGCTCCTTTTTCTTCAAAGAAAGATTAAAGGCCAAAAAAACAAAAACAAACAAACAAAAAAAACGCAGAAAGAATCCCAGCCCACAATCCTGAGGGAGTGCCTTTCCCCCTGAATACATAAAGAATGGGGACCTGACTTTATGTACCTTCCTTACAGGGCAGGGAAATACCTACTGTCGGAGGAAGTGAAGGCGGGAGACGCACATTCCCAGACAGCACACCACACAGCACAGGAGGGTAGAGGCCCCTGGGCCACGGGCTCTGCCCAGCGCTCACTCACCAGAACCTATGGCCATCCTCAGCTCAGGGAGACTCAGCGCAGGCACCGGCATGCCAACCCTCTGAATGTGCACAGCCTCCTTCAGCGCCTAGACAGTGACAAGGACAGATTAGGGTCACACAGTCAATGGAGTCTGCTCGCCGCCCTTCGGCCTGACGGAATCTGCAAGACTGACCCTGCTCGGGGCCACACAATGATAAAATTGGGACATGCCCGATTTGGCTTGTCCAGATCAATCCCATTCATGAGGACAAACCTCATCCCTGGGATAGAATTTCAACTTCAGAATGGAAAGGAGAGGGGGCCAGGGTTGGGGGTGTGGCCTCATCAGCAGGGGAAATGCTGGGGCAAAGAAGGGTGTGGGTGACCAGCAAGCTGGGGGGTTGTGGGGGGACATGGAGGTAGACCCGTGTACACGCGGAACAGTTACTAAGTTATTCCCAGAAGGCAGTCCTGTTGTGAGCGAAAGGATGTGAACTCTCCGCGGGTGTCTGCTCTGCCTGGCATTTCGAAGGGATGTCTCTGGACTCTGTGTCCATGGTGGGGCCCAGTGGAAACAGGGGCCTGTAGGGAGCAGTTCCAGGGGCCCCAGAGAACTAACAGCAGCTCGGGGCAGGGTGGTGGCAGTGGGGACAGCAGGAGCAGTCAGAGGTAAGTTATATTTGGCGGGGAGGGGACGCTCAGGACTTAGTGGTGGATGGGAAGAAAATGTGGCGGGTCCCTCAGGACAAGCAATGGGCCTGGGCAGGTGGGGGCAGCCCTTCTCCCCGGGGGGGGGGGGGACTCAAAGGACACTTAAAGTGTCCTTCTCCGATCCTCTCCACTTTAGAATAGAAACACAGGACCCTGGGCCAAGAGCTCAGTCACCAGCAGGGGCTCACTCCCCAGCCCTGGGATCACACGGTCACTCATTCTTATAGCTTTCGCGGCCACGGACAGGGTGGGAGTGAGAATGGAAGGAACAGAGGAGGAAAGGCTGGGCCAGGGGAGGCAGGGCCAAGGCCCTGGGTGCTAGTTCTTCCCGGAGGCCTGCTCTGGGCCGCCACCACCCTGGGGCGAGAGGAACGTTAGGGCCCATTCAGTAGTTCCTACGGGAGCTAAGCCTGGGCCTCCGGCCCGTGCCCAGTTCCCAAGAGTTGGTCCTAGATCCCTCCCTCTCCCCCTGCCACCCCATTTGCAGAAGTCTCAAACCCCAAGCCTCCCTGGCTGGGGCTGGGCCCTCCCAGCAAACCCCCTCCCCGGCTTACTGTACATCCAGGAGACCAAGGCGACACCCGGAGAGCTGGCCTGTCCTCCGGAATCGAAGGTGTCTCTCTGTCTCCAACTGTGGGCGTGATGTGCATCCCCAGGTCCAGCCGCGGCCCCTAGGAAAAGGCACGGAAGGGACTGAGCAGGACAGAGGTGGCACTGAGGCCCTTCTGGGCCTGAGAGACCCTCAATCTGGGGGGAATGCCATCAGAAGTCAGGCATGTGGGTCTGGAAGCTTCAGATCTGGTGACAGCCCCTACTCCACGGTGGGCGCCGGCCAGCAAGGGTCTCAAGGGCCAATCACACCCCAGGCACAGAGGTGGACCCAACCCTCTCTGGTTCTGGGGGGAGGGGGGGCCTGGTGGCAGGTCAGGCCAGGGGCCCTCAGAGGCACTGCAACACGCTTCCTTCAAGGAAGGTGGGGAGCCCTTCGTTCTGAATAGGCACGTTGTTCTGTGTTTTCTTAGTCTGTGTTGGTCTGTTTGACATCCATCAATCACAGGGTCAAACTGCGGGCCACTGTCAGTTACGTCCGCCCTGCCACCCAGGGCCTGTCCCTGAACCCTGCCCTTGTCCAACGCTCACAGCAGCCAACGTTCCTGTGCCCTGAAATAGCATGGAGGAGACACGGCGTGGGGGAGGCTGGGGCGGCAGAAAGACTGAGCCCGGAGACACCCCTTCCTCGGCCTCTTCCGGGGACTCCTCCGAGAGCAGTGTCCAGCTCTCTCCCCTGGCCTCTCTCGCCATGAAGGGGAGGCCACAGGGCCTTGATCTGTCCCTGGGCACCGGCGCTTATTCTCATATGACAGGGAGGCTTCAAAGCTGCCGCAGGGGCCTTGGTCGTTGGGACACAGCCCACTGATGCCCGGAAGGATGAACCCAACAGTCAGCATCTTCGCCCACATGACAGGTTGTGTGAGTCCCAGGCGGCAGGTGCCAGCGGCCAGGATGCGGCAACCTGTGCGGTTAGGCCTGGGCTGGACCCCCAGCCCCTAACGCAGCCGCACCACTCGTGGGCTGTGTCTTCATGATGAACCACTCGATTTCTCCACATGTGCGTCCGTGTGGCCCTCCTCTCCCCGCTCAGGACGCTCTGGGACTGACCGCCTGCTTCCTGGGGCTCCATGAAACAGAAGCCCCTCCTCACCCACAATCGGTGCTTGCTTCTGAGCTGCAGGTGGAGCTCTGTGGAAGGTGCTGGAGCCCCACACTGGGAGGAAAGGGCCCACAGAAACGGGGAAGGACAGCTGCGGGCCATCCTCGCTCCCTCCCTCGCAGGGTCCATCTGCTCGTCGAGACGGGGGGCAGTAAGGGCTCGGAGCATCTGCATTCATGTACTCGCTGCACAAGCATTAACCGAGGGCTCTGTAACGATGCACAGGATGCTCTGCGTGGCGGTACTGCAACAATCCCATCAGGTGAGGCCGCTGCAATCCAGCAGCTCCAGTGAGATATTTCTAGAGATTTTCAGGGCCTCGAAAGCAAACGGGCCCTTTCCCAAGCAGCTGCTGGAGGGTATTCTCCTCCGAAACAAGAATGTGAACCAGCGGTGAGGAGGACATGGGCAGCAAGGAGTGGGTCCGATGCAAGCCACGCAGGGCTGAGGGTTTCAGCTGCCCTGCAGCCCACATTGGGCTGTGCAGGGTTGAGGCTGTGCATGCTTGGAGCAAAAGAATGAAATGGGTCTCCATCACCCAGGCCAAGCCACTCCCTCCCCAGAGCCAGCATCTCTGACACTCTGAGAGGGACACCAGCCACTACGGAGGTGGAGGGGACTCAGGCTGAGGGAGCCCAGAGATCTCACTGACTCTGGCACAAACAGGCCCAGCCTTGGGGAGGGGCGGGGAGGAGACTGGGCTCTGTTTGTCCTTCTATCCAAACCCGAACCCTAACCTTTGAAATCCCCAAGGGTTTGGGAACCCAAACCTTGAAAACTCATATAGTTTGGGGAGGCAGGAACTCAGGGCCAAAGTTGGGGTGGCCACCCCCCCCCCACGTGTGCTCCCTGGGGCACTGGGATGCGCAGCGGCTCTGAGGGCTTTTCCCCGATTTGACAAGGGTTTATTTCCAGTGTGAGATCTCGACTTGGGGTGTGATCCACGACAGCGCTCCCGCATCCTTCATAGTCAGGGTGGCGGTCCCCTAGGGTCATCGTGTCCAGTCCAGTTCAGGGCTCCTCCTGAAGCCGTTTCGGCTGCGGCTGGACCAGCGCTCTGGACACAGGTTGCTCCCGGCAACAGGTGAGCCAGGACGGAAACCTTGCCGACACCCGCGCAGAGCCCGGGGCTGCGCCCCTCCCCGCCAGGGCACGTTTCCGGAGTGTTCCGAGGTGGCCCCTGCTCAGGCGGCCTGAAGGTCCGGGGACAGGGCGGGCTCTCTCCCACTCCGGCCGGCCCTCCGCGGGGCTTCTCCACCAGGCAGAAGCTTCCCAGGACCGCGGAGGGTCAAAGCGCACTGCGCGCAATCGACGTGTGACTCGTGCTGACGGAAATGCTGACTCGGGGCACCCTCCTGGGAAGAAAGGGTTTCGAGGGACAGGAGGGGCTTGCCCAAATTCAGGAGGCACGGGCACCCCCGTCGCACCGCGGGGGCGTGTCCGTGAGGAAGTGCGCCCATGGCCCCGGGGCTCCGGTGTGCATTCGCAACTCACGTCCCCCTCACCTTCTCCCAGGAGAGGGAGCAAGGACGACCCCATGAGTCTTACCATTTGCAAACCCGGGGACGACTTTCCCGCCACAGTGTCCTGCACAGGACGAGGCGCTCTGGGTTTAAGTGGAGGGTCCCAGTCTAAAAGGAATTGGGGGGAGAAAAGTTACGTTCTTTCAGAAACATAGAGGGGTATGAAATTGACCAAATATGTATTTATGTATTTATTTACTGTTTTAAAACACTCTTTCTGAAGTATTGACTCTCAACTTGGGACAACACTGAAACGGGAGAAGGCATCAGTGAGCAAAGGGAGACTCTGAGGGGCGCAGCTGTGTCAGGAACTTGGCAGTGATGGGGGGGGCAGGGCGGCGGAGAGGACAGGCTAGTTCCCATGGAAACGGAGACGGATGTCGCCCGTCAGACAGTGTCATCAGAGAAACAAGCAAGAAGCAATTAGACAAAGAACACACAGAGAGATGTTCAATTTAAAGAGGAACTGGAGGGGCGCCTGGGGGGTTCGGTCAATTAAGCTTCCGCCCCTCGACTTTGGCTCCGCCCCTCGACTTTGGCTCCGCCCCTCGACTTTGGCTCCGCCCCTCGACTTTGGCTCAGGTCCTAATCTCACAGTCGTGGGACGGAGCCCTATGGCTCCGTGCGGCAGTGTGGGGCCTCCTGGGGACTGTCTCTCTCCCTCTCTCTGCCCCTCCCCTACTCATGCGTGCTCTCTCTCAAAATAAATAAAAATAAACTTTAAAAAGAAGAAGGACCAGCCTGATGCCAGCCTTACCCCTGGGGGCCAGAGTCCGGCACTCGTCCAGGATCACGAATCGACACAGGTTCCTCCGCGCGCCGGCCAGCAACGCCCACTGCTGGCTGAGCGGCAGCGCCGCATCCTCAAGGGTGACGGACTCCTAAATCGACACCCACATTCTGGCTCAGCCAAAACCACCTGCGGGGCAGCCGGTTACCGCCGGGGGAGGGAGCCCATTCACAACACTCTCTCCGCCGCAGGGCTCCGCAAAGCCGGCCTGCCTCCTGCCTTTTACAAATAAAGTTTTATCGGCACGCAGCCGTGCCCCATTTGCTCAGCCATCCCTGAGGCTCATTTTGTGCTGTGCCCTCGACGACGAGTAGTGGCTGTGACAGGGACAGGGATCCTACGGCCAACCGAGCAGATGGTACTCCCTTTCTTCTCACATTTGGACAAACGACAAAGTATAAGCTTTGGCTCTTGGTCACTTCACACCGCCAATGACGGCACAGCCTATTTCTGGGCTCTAGAGAGAGTTCTTCCTAAATTCTTGATTTAAGGCACCAAAACTTTGGGATCGATCACTTCATTTTGGTGAAATCCCTACCCTCCCAAGACTTACGTAAGCATCGTGTAATCCTTTGAGGCCTTGTTAACACAGGACTCCCACTGCATCTGAGAAGCCCAATGGCCTTTTCACAGCATGGTCAGCTAGAGCGCTCGGTGACGGTGGGAATGTTCTCGGCCTGCACTTTCCAGAAGCCAGCAGCATGTGTAGCGACTGAGCACTGGAGAAACGGGACTCAGGCCACTAAGAAACCGAGTCTCTCATTTCACGGAATTGTAATTTATTGAAATGCATGCAGACACGTGTGGTTTGGGTAAGTGTCAAAAGGGCCACCCCCACCGGGGCTCTGCTGCTACGGATTCTAAATGAGCCTCGTGCAGGGTGCCTGGGTGGCCCCGGCGGTTAAGCGTCCGACTTCAGCTCAGGTCATGATCTCGCGGTTCGTGAGTTCGAGCCCCACGTGGGCTCTGTGCTGACAGCTCAGAGCCTGAAGCCTGCTTCGGATCCTGTGCCTCCCTCTCTCTCTGCCCCACCCCTGCTCATGCTCTCTCTCTGTCTCTCAAAAAATGAATAAACATTAAAAAAAATTTTTTTTAATGAGCCTCATTCTACAGCCCCAGGGTCACTGGGGGGACCCTTCCTCCCAAGCCACTCGCTCCAGAGGCCAGGCACTGCAAGAAGCCACCAGGTCCCCCGGGGCAAGGCAGAGGGGCTCCACGCTTCCCCTCCCCTTTCTTCCTCAGCTGGGGGCGGGGAGAAAGGGGACAGGGCCCAGAGGACAGAATCATCCCTTCCCCCCCCCCCCCCCCCCCCCCCCCCCCCCCGCGCAATGATTCCAACTCTCCCAGCCCCCTCACCATAACACCAGAGCCAGGATTTAAGGTCTCATGAGGCGTCCTCCCTGCAATAAAAGAAACCAAGGTAAGGAAAAGGGGTGAGGGTGGAGCAGAGCACTGAACAGGGGTTTGGCCCAGGTAGGGAAGCCCAGTGAAAACCCTTACACGGAGTCTTTCCCAATAAGCAACATACTGTGCCCAGATCCACCTTCCAGACCACAGTCCCTCATCGTTTCTGCTGGTTCCTCTCATCTAATAAAAACGATTAGGGGCGCCTGGGCAGCTCAGTTGGTTAAACATCCAACCCTTGACTTCGGCTCAGGTCACGATCTCACGATGAGATCGAGTCCCGCTTCGGGCGCTCTGCACTGACAGTGCGGAGCCTGCTTGGGATTTTCTCTCTGCTCCTCCCCTGCTTGCGCTCATCCTCTCTCTCTCAAAACAAATAAATAAATAAACATTTTTTTAAAAAAGGATTGTTTCTCCTCTCACATTCCCTTGAAAGATCTCTAACAGCCTCTAACTTTCTTCCACTGCTGTGATCAGGTTGTGATTTTTAATTTATTTGTTTGGGTAACTCTGCATCTCCCTCTCCAACTGTATGGGACATTCCTGAAGTACGAACCTGGGTCCACTTTCCTTCGGGGCTCCAAACCCTGCCCCTGGGTATACTAAGTACTGTATGTATCAGGGGTTGGCAAACCTTTCCTAAAAACGGCCAGATAGTAAATATCTAAAGATCTGTGAGCCAAATGGCCTCTCAACCAACCTTTGGAACTGTGGCCATAAGGCGAAAACAGCCGTAGACAGCGCATCAACAAACGCATTCCGGTAACACATGTTTTCTGGAAACCAGCATTGGGACAGATTTGCCAGTTTTTGCCGTGAAACAGATGTGACGTGACACATCAACCACATTCCCTCAACCCCGCCTCCTGCATGCCTCTCAAACACGCCAGCTTTGCCAATCCATAGTCATCACAAGGCCCCAGCTGCCGGCCTAAGTCCTCAATTTATCCAAGCTCCTACACATTTGGACTTTGCATTCATTCTGGTCCATCCCAAACTCCAGGCTCAATCCTGGAGCAGGTGTTTTGTCTAAATCACAAACAAAATCATGTCACACCTCTCCCCCTACTTAAAACTGATTCAAGCGTTTCCCGATGACCTTAGAACAAGGTCCGAAGTTGAGGGGCGCCTGGGTGGCTCAGTCGGTTAAGCGTCCGACTTCAGCTCAGGTCCTGATCTCACGGTCTGTGAGTGTGAGCCCTGCGTTGAGCTCTGTGCTAACAGCTCAGAGCCTGGAGCCTGCTTTGGATTCTGTGTCTCCCTCTCGCTCTGCCCCTCCCCCACTCGAACTCTGTCTCTCAGAAATAAATACACATCAAAGAAAAAGTTTATGGCAAAGTTGACTATGGCCTTCAAGGCCTGCTCTCCTCTCCAACATGGCTCAACCGTTCCACACTGTGCTTCCTCTACTTTAGCTGTCCCTGTCTTTCTTTTTTTTCAGCTCCTGGAACACACCAGGCTGTGTCCTGCCTACAGAACTGTGTATCTGGAATGATCTCTCAAATCTCCTCCCCACACCTACTCGACAGCCTGACCCTTGTTTAACTACACGCAGCTAGCTCTTTGGGGGGAATTCAAACATTTGTCCCTTGTAAGTTATTTTTCCTGACCTCCTCCCCAAATTCTCCCTTCCTGTTTCCATAGCACCCAGGTCATGATTCATTTAAAGTAGAATATAACCTTCACAGGGGCAAGTGCTGTATCTATTTCAGTTACTTCGTTTCTCCCGGTTCACAGAGGGCCCCTCAATGGAAACGTGCCCAAGAATCCGCATTCCCCAAGAAGACAGCCTAGCTAGCCTAAGAAGGCCCGCACCTGCACAGACACACAAAATAACAGTATAACACCACAAAATCCAATATAAAAGGGACTTAAAACGCCCATCCATATCACATAAAGCAACACATGTGTTCAGATGTCTTTTTAAAAGGGTAAGGCCGGACCTGTGCTCTTTTTTGAAAACAAACACCTCTCGTATAAAATTGAAATCTGATGTCTAATTTTCTTCCAGAATTCATTTTTTTCCCCTCACGTCTCAAAAGTTAGTTTTAACCCTAAAAGTTTGAAAAACACCGCCCCCCCCCCCCCGCCCTCCCGCCTACCGCCAAGTCCATTTCAGTTCTCTGTACTAGCAAAACTGTCATCTTTTTCCAGGAGTCCCATATGTTTTTTAAGCCTTGTGCTGATTCACTCACAGGCTTGGGGCAACGCGGGAGGGAGGTGCTGTGAAAAGAACTGAATAATCTTATTTTTCCTTGATGGTAAGACTTGTGACATAACTGGGGAAGTTTTCTTAGGGCATCCTCCTCTCGCAGTGAATGCTCACAGGCAAACTGAAAGCTTTTTTCAATGGAAAAATGCAAGCAAGAAGGGAAGGAAGGGAGGGAGGGGAAGGGGAAGGAAGGGGAAGGAAAAGACAGGAAGGGCAGAAAAGGAAAGGGAAGAGGAAGAGGAAAGGAAAATGGAAGGAAAACTAAGTTAACAAGCCCTAAGCTAAGTAACTGCAAAGCGTCAGTCAGCAAACCCAAAAATCTCTCTCATCTAATCCATCCCTTGATAGAGGGTATATTCCATTGTTTACATTCGCTTCACAAGTCGCTCCCCAACCTGCACGTGCAGACTCAGACCTCACTTTCAAGCGGCAGCGCTAGATGACGGTGAAACGTCATAGGAAAGGAAACGTGAATTACTAATAAGCAGCTCGCTTGCATAAGGGAGATCGGGGGGGGGGGGGGGGGGGGGGGGGGGGGGGGGGGGGGGGGGGCTACAAATCCCGGAGGGCGGCCGAAGGCTGGGCCGCCTGGTGGCATCACATTCCTAAGCGGCGGGACCTGACGGTACTCGGCGATTTCCCTTTCGACGGATGGGGCGACAGTCCTGTCCAGGACGCGGGGTACCTGGGCGCAAGGGGCCGAGCCGGGGGATCGGGGACGACGGCTGCGAGGCCGAGCTGTGCGGGACCCCATCCCTGCCCCGGGGCGGCCGCTGGGAGCAGGCACGGCGGCAGGAACTGCGGTCCTAGGCCCTTCGGCCCCTCCCCGCGCCCGCAGGGCCCTCCCCGCCTTCCCGAGGGGCCGGCCGCACCTGCAGATCGGCCGGAGACACTCCCACCGCAGCGCACTGCGCGGCCCACGGCACCCGACGCCGCAGCCGCGCACTTCCGCTTCCGGACGCCAGGGGCGGAAGTGGCCGGCACTCCGGCTCCCGGTGCCAGAGGTACTTCAGGCAGCGAGAGAAATGTTGACTCCTTCTTCATCCAGCCTCGGAGAACAAGTCCTAGTTTCCTTCCCCGCGGGGTGAGGTTAGGCTCTGGGATGGGGTCGGATTGGACCCGGAGACGGGACGTAGAGGTGGGGCCTTTGCCGGACGGACAGGGCCTGGGGGCGTGGCTTCGGTGGTGGGCGGGTCCTGGGCGGGTCCTGGGCGGGTCCTGGGCGGGTCCTGGGCTTGGTGGGCGAGGATACGGGTGGGATCTCACTGGCACGCTGGGATGCTCAGTGTTTATTTAACTTCCCTTCTCCCACCTCCGCTCTGATCATTTGGTTCAATCCATACCCCAAAAAAACACCCCTAGGTAGGGTTTATTTTTCAGTCTTTCTAATTTCTTCTAAAATTAGGATTATATATTTTCTTTCTCCTCCAGTTTACCTTTCTCACTGAAAATAATATGTGAAAAATGTTCAAGACAATAAAAGATCTGACTCTTCTTTTTAAAAACTAATGTGTTGTATAGTATAGGTAAGACACACACAGGGAACTTTCAAATGGGGGGGGGTCTCAATCCCTCTCCAGAATTTTCCAGAAATAACCACTGTAACCAGTTCACTGTTCTTTATATATCAAGCACATATAGGTATTATTTCTTTCAATAAATACTGATACAGCTTTCGTTGATTGCTACCTGCTAAGCGCTAGGGTTACAAAGTGCCTTTCTGCAGGGGTGTTCTAGTGGAGAATGGGAGAGGAGATATGGGGAGAGATGAAGTTGATCCATTCCAGTAAAACTAACTCAACACATCATACATAGTATGTGCTCATGTTTGCAGAATTTAAAAATAGAGCTGATAAGGAGGGGCACCTGGGTGGCTCAGTGGGTCGAGGTTCAGACTCTTGATTTTGTCTCAGGTCATGATCCCAGGCTGTGGGAGCAATCCCCATGTAAGGCTCCACACTGAGCATGGAGACTGTTTAGGATTCTCTCTCTCTCTCTCTCTCTCTCAAAATAAAAAATACATACAAAAACTTTTTTTTTATTTTTTATTTCTAGGATAGAGAGAGACAGCGTGAACAGGGGAGGGTCAGAGAGAGAGGGAGACACAGACTCCGAAACAGGCTCCAGGCTCTGAGCTGGCAGTCAGCACAGAGCCCGACGCGGGGCCCGAACTCACGAACCGCGAGATCATGACCTAAGCGAAAGTCGGACGCTTAACCGACTAAGCCACCCAGGCGCCCCCATACAAAAACTTTTTAAAAAGAGTTCTCTTTGCTCCCGGAATTATTTTAGGGCACTGTGGTAGCTTCCTAATGCTAACCGTTGTCAAAACTGGGAATCTGCTGAGGCTGCAAATTTATCTGAAGCCGCACTTCTATCTGGAAAATAAATTTTGAGGTTAGTTTTAGAGTATTTCAAACTTGAGGCTATAAGAACTAAGAGATTAATTTACTAAAGTAATATGAAAGTCCCTGATTCCCTGACAATGGCTTGACCAAATATTTTAGGACTTTGACCTTGCCGTGCTTTTTTTTTTTTTTTTTTTTTTTTAAGCTCCCTGGTACATATAGAAGCAACCGGCTGACCCAGCAGCCCTCAGATTCCTCACATGCTTCTGGTTCTTCAGTGCCAGCGGCCACTTGCCCCAAAGCTTTCCATGGCCACTCCTTCCAGAAGAACAGTGGTCATTGTTTGACGGTTCCATTGCTACTAATGCCCCACCCCTTAATACTGATGGGATTTTCACTGCCTTTAACCATAGCCCATAACCACTGACCAATCACTGCCTTCAAACCATAGCCCATAACCACTGACCAGTCACTGCCTTCAACCATAGGCCATAACCACTGACCAACCACTGCCTTCAACCGTAGCCTCTAACCACTGACCAACCCGAGATTACCATTTCTTTGAAGATCTGTGGCCTCCAACCACTCTTGGTACTACTATTTCGTTGAGGATTCTTAGTTCCAAAAAAGTAGAAGCCGACTCCAAATACTTCAGGCTGAATTTATTAATGGATATAAAGTAGCTCAGAGACTCCAGGAGTTTATGTAAACAGGATTAAGGCTCCAAATCAAACTTCAGAAATAATGTAGAGGGGCGCCTGCGTGGCTCAGTTGGTTAAATGTCTGGCGCTTGATTTCGGCTCAGGTCATGGTCTCACGGGTTGTGAGTTTGAGCCCTGTGTCAGGCTCTGCACAGACAGCACAGAGCCTGCTTGGGATTCTCTGTCTCCCTCTCTCTCTACCCCTCCCTGACTTGCACCCTCTCTGTCTCTCTCAAAATAAGCTTTAAAAAAAAAAAAGGTATTTTTAACAATTAAAGGGAACAATGGGGTGCCTGGGTGGCTCAGTTGGTTAAGTATCCTGCCCTTGGTTTCATCTCAGGTCATGATCTCATGGTGTTGTGAGTTCAAGTCCCAAATCAGGCTCTGCACTGGCAGCATGGAGCCTTCTTGGGATTCTCTCCCTTCCTCTCTCTCCGTCCCTCCCATATCTCTCTCTCTGCCTTTCCCCCACCCACACTGTTTCTGTCTCTCTCAAAATAAATAAACTTTTTTTTTTAAACAAAGGGAAGAAAATCAAATTTGGCTTTTGTCAATGCCATGGATGTATTTTTTTTCCCCTAAAGAGTAAATGGATTGGCAGGATTTTAAGTGTGAAAAAGGTAAGACTGAGTAAAATTAATCAATCTGACATGAAATCACCAAACACAGAGAAGGCATATCCTAAACATTTGTGGGATGGATGGACAGAAGGAAGGAAGGAGGGAGAGGAGGAAAGAGGGAAGGAAGATGGATGGGTAGATGGATAGAAGGAAGGACTGAGGGATGGATGGATGATGGATGGGTGGATGGAAAGGTGGATAGATGGGTGGATGGATGAATAACCCCAATTTCCTGCATGTATTACTAAATTTAGTTTGTTAATTCAGTAAGTATCTGGGGAGCTGACTTTCCAAATGCAGTAAGAATATACTAGTATATTTAACATAAAAAAGGACTGGTTAATTCCTTTGTAGGATTTGCCTCAGCTCCTTCTACTCCAAAAGGTTTAAATCTTGGGGCGCCTGGGTGGCTTAGTCGGTTAAGCGTCCAACTTTCGCTTAGGTCATGATCTTGCGGTTCGTGGGTTCAAGCCCCGCGTCGGGCTCTGTGCTGACTGCCAGCTCAGAACCTGGAGCCTATTTCAGAGTCTGTGTCTCCCTCTCTCTCTGGCCCTCCCCTGCTCACGCTGTCTCTCTCTCTCTCTCCTAGAAATAAATAAAAATATTTAAAAAAATAATAATAAAGGTTTAAATCTTTACAAACCCAACATTTGAAGCTACTTTGAATTTTTTATTCTTTAGTTTTCCCAGAAGGTGGCAGTGTGGTGTAAAGACTAAGTACTCTGTATCTAAGTCCAAATAGGATTTAACCAACATCGTCGTCAATTAAATAGATTGCTAAGGGATCTTGTTTGTGCTTTGACATAATATTATTTCTAAATCTTGTTCCAGAATAAAATCAGAAAGCGTTAGGAACCTTGAATTTTTTTTTTCTACTTTATTTTGGTGACATAACCAAATAAGGGAGGGATTATATTAGGTCAGGCTCCCTAGGCTTGTAATTTACTGGGGACTGTTCAGGAGAGAGAGAATAAGGAAAGCAGGATATGGAAATTGAAGGAGCTGAACAAAGATGTGGGTTCAGCTGCAGTCAAATATCCACCTGACCCCATGGTGCGCCCTGGAGTACACGTGACACCCCACAGGTGCTCCCACTTTGAGACAAGGGCTGACCTTTTGTACCCCCATCTCAGATCAACATTGGCTGCAAGATGCTGCCTAGGGAGGAGCGTCCTATCTTCCCAGAGCAGCTTCTTCAGTTCAATTAAATATCTATCTATTTTTGAGAGAGGAGAGCATGAGCAGGGGAGGGGCAGAGAGAGAGGGAGACACAGAATCTAAAGCAGAATCCAGGCTCCGAGCTGTCAGCACAGAGCTCGACACGGGGCTCAAACCCACGAACCACGAGATCATGACCTGAGCCCAAGTTGGTCGCTCAACCAACTGAGCCACCTAGGCGCCCCATTCCTCAGTTCAATTAAAGGCAATTCTCTGGAGGAAGGGGCAGATATGAGTGATAACAGCCAACTCAAAAGAGCTGGGGTATGGGGACATAAAGAAAAATCCATGCAGGGACTTATGGGCCATGGTGAGGACCCTGGCTTTTACTCTGAGTGAACTGGGAGTCCTGAAGGCTCTCAGCAGAGGAGGAACAGGATCTGACTTAGATTTAATAGGATCACATTACCCTTGACCTCAGTAGAGCTTTATTAAACATCACAGCTAGGTTGATATATGCCGAGAGGAAGCAAAGAGGACATTTCCCACCTGAATCTAGGACCAGGGTGTCAGAGGTAGGAATCAGCATAAGACAATGAACAAACTATCATGAAGTCAACAGTAGCAAAGACAGCAGTCTGACAGTAAGGTGAATTTCTGGGATGGAGGGATGGAGGGATGGAGGGATGGATGGATGGATGGATGGATGGATGGATGGATGGATGGATGGATGGATGGATCAATTGAGGGATCGATGGATAGACAGATAGAAAGGGTGTCTATGACTTGGACCTGCAGGAGACCCTCAGAAATAACTGAGAAGACACTTTCAGAGGGTCTTATTTTCAGCAAGAAAAACCTGGAGTTTTATGCTGTAATGTCATGGTAGTAAAAGGAATTATAATCTCATCTTGTATCACAGGTAAAAGGCTAGGGACATTCTGGTTTATGTTTATGTGCTCTACAAAGCAGTGTGAGAATAACAGACAGCCATCAGGACAGGTGGACAGCCTGAGAAGAGAGAGGAGTGAGAGATGAGTCTAGAGAGGTGGACTCAGACGAGATCAGGTAGACTTTATGAGCCTATGAAGCACGTTTAGCCTGCAAAGTATCCATGGGGCTGTGAGGCAGAGGTGTGATAGGCTCAGATTCATATTTCCAAAAGCTATCCCAGCTGCGGGTTGAAGAATGGGATGGAAGGACATATCCCAGATCAGACATGTCTGAGGGGCAGAGAAGTTGAGTGACTTTCCCAAAGTCACACAGCTAATAAGTGGCAGAGCTAAGATTTGAACCCAGGTGGCCTGACTGCAGAACCAACACTCTGTAATAGCACGTGCCCGACCATCAGGTGGTGCCACCCGTCTTTCTTGGTCAACTCTTGCCTCCAAGTACTCTTTCTCCTTAGTGGTCCTCTGTGAGTGTGGCTGCTTGCATTATTGGGGGGGAGGGAGGGGGTAGGCTGAGAGCCCAACAAACTTGTGATGCAGGACTTATGTTCTCGACAACCCCAAGAGTTAGCCAATTTCGCCAGGCTCCAATCACCCAAGGAAATCCCGCTGTTCATTTCTCCTGGCTCACACACTTGCCCCCAACTATCTCTGGAGTCGATTGTACCTGCTATCTCCACTTCTTCACCTCGCATTTTTCTTCAATCAACTCCATTCTGACTTCCACTACCATGATCATCATTACCACTACCATCAGCACCAGCACCACCTCCACCACCTCGTGAGTTCCATCACCTCCACCATTTTTACAACCATCATCATCACCACCATTGCCACCAGCACAACTTTCCCCACCACCATCATTATCTGCACAACCACCTCTACTATCTTTACCACCAATGTCATGATCACCATCACCACCACCACCTCCACCGCCATTGTCGTCACCATTATCTTCCTCATCATCATCCTCACCATTGTAACTTCTCTTGATGAGAATGCAACCTCCTTACCACTCTGTCCTGTGAGTATTTTTCAGTCTTAATTCAGTCTGATCTCTTTCCTTTCCTTCCATGACGCCGTACTCTGCTCATTTCTCCCCATCTGCCCAGCCACCCTTGCCCTGTCTCCCCTACTTGCTGCTTCTCCACTCCCTGCTTTTTAAATTACTTACTTAGGGTGTTCTTCTTAGTCTACTCTCTCTCCTGAATGATTTAATCTAGGACCATGGCTGCAATTACCATCTAGTGGCAGGGGGGAAAGCCCTCTCTTTTGTGTGTGAACTAGACTGTGTGTGTGTGTGTGTGTGTGTGTGTGTGTGTGTATAATGAATGTTGAAATCACAGTACCTCAAAATCAATTTATCCAAAACCTAATCTTCTCTCTCCCCAAAAACATGCTTTCCCTCCAACTTTCCTTTCTCTGTAGTTCTATATAGAAAACATGGTGTAAATTTTGTTCACTGCTGTATCCCTAGGAAGTAGCCCAGATCCTGTCATGTAATGATATTTGTCTTGATAAATATTTGTTGAAGGGGGGAAGGACTTAAATTTGTCTCCCAAATCCTGCGCTTGGTTTGGATTGCTCCAAATAACCAAATAAGTTATCACCCTGGACTGGATTTTTGAGACTCCGGCCAGATCTGTGGAGTGCCATCTGCTAAGGAGGTAAAAAATACCAAGATTTGTGAAAATGACTCCTCCAGTAACTTGAGATACCAACAGAGACACCCTAAATTCTGGCTTTTACCCAACTCAAAATCACAGGGTTATTTAAGCTTTATTTTGACACCAAAGTCACTTCCCACTCCCCAGATAATGATCTGTAACTAAAAGGCATTCCTCTCCTACGGCCAATTGATTCTGTCACCCCAAAGGCAATCAACAAGAGCTGTGAACACCTACCACCAAAGAAACATGTGAAAATGAGTGCAGGAAACGTACAGAGAATAAACAAACAAAAAAGCAGAACCATGGGTCTGGTGGTGAAAGACAAGAACAAGTTCCCTTTTCTGATAGAAATTTCCTTAGTTAGCTAACCTAAGATATGTGTATCAAGTCTCCTAATATTTCCTTGTGATAGGAGAGGTGGTCAGCTTAAAAGCACAGTAAGGCGCTTCAAGAGCTGGCTGGCAAGGGTTACCTACATGCAGGAATGCAAGGGCCATCACTCCTTCCAGGTATGTGTGACCTTGGGATTGACTGTACCTTAACCTACCCCCTCCCAGTAGCTACTCGGTTCAACAATCAGCTGCCTTTTCCTTCTCCTCTTCTGCTCTGCTTTAAACAATCTCTCCTTCCCCTTGACTTATGGTTTCCTTCCTCACCACCCTGTTGAAACTGTGTTGTCAGATATCCCTCAAATTCTCCCAGTGGTCCGATCCAATGAGTTGTTCATGTTCATCTTCACAGATTTTGTTTTCTGACATCCTCTCCTCCTTGATAATTCTGTGACCTAGCACCTATCTGACTTGGTCCCTACCTCTCTTGCCATTCTCTCCTTCCCCTCCTTAATTAATATATATTAATAACAACCAACATTTTTGAACATTCACTATGCAATTTATATGCATTAACCCATTTAATCCCCACAATGGGCCGATGAGGTAAGTACTAATATTTTCCTCGTCTTAGGGATGAGAAACCTGGGGCACAAAGAGATTGCTTTACCTGCCCAAGGTCACACAGCATGTAAATGGCAGTCAGGGCTCGAACCCCAGCCACCTGGCCCCAGTTCTTTGCCATAATGCTCCTCCCACAGGATTCTGCTCAGGACTTTCTCTTTTTCCTGCTCCCTCTCCTGGAATCTCTTGACCCTGTGGCTTGTCACCACCTCTGTGTAGATGGTTTCCCAACTCCGAAGTCCCATCCATCCTTCTGGATCCAGATTAAATAGCAATATCAATAGCCACAATATCAACCAAAGCTTATATTTATTGAGCACAAATTCTAGCCTCACATCAGGCTAAAATTGTTTTACCTGCATTATGGCACAACTTCTTCACATGAAAAATGTAAAATACCATCACGGAGAGGTTATCGGACTTGCTTGAAGTCTCAAAGCTGTGTAGTCTCGGAGGCAGGTGGTAGATCATAAACTCTTTCAAAATAATATAAGCTAGAGGCGCCTGGGTGGCTTAGTCGGTTAAGCGTCCGACTTTCGCTTAGGTCGTGATCTCGCGGTTCGTGGATTCGAGCCCCGCGTCGGGCTCTGTGCTGACTGCCAGCTCGGAGCCTGGAGCCTGTTTCAGTCTGTGTCTCCCTCTCTCTCTGACCCTCCCCTGCTCACGCTGTCTCTCTCTCTCTCCTAAAAAAAATAAATAAAAAAAATATTTAGGAAAAAAAAATAATATAAGCTACTTGAAGGCACGTGCTGTTTGCCCCTCACTTTTGCAGTCCATTCCACATCTTATAGATAAGAGGTGTCTGATGCATGTCTTTGAAATCAAATCTAAGTGAGACAGTGTGCAATTTGTTTATGTATCTTAATATATATGCCTCAATAAAGCTTAAACAGAAGCTCAAACAAGATGTTTCTTGCATTTTGGTAACTGGAGGCAGAGTCCTGGACGGCTTCTGGAATGGATTATTTGTGAATTCAGTTGCCTGTGAACTCTCTGCGCATATCACTGGAAGCAATGCGCGGTGTAACAGAATGCATATCTGGTCAAGAATAAGAATTGGGTTCTAGTGCAAGGGCGCCTGGGGGGCTCAGTTGGTTAAGCGTCCGACTTCCGCTAAGGTCATGATCTCACAGTTTGTGGGTTCGAGCCCCACATCAGGCTCTGTGCTGACAGCTCGGAGCCTGGAGCCTGGTTCAGATTCTCTCTCTCTGTCTCTCTCTCTGTCTCTCTCTCAAATAAATAAGCATTAAATATTTAAGAAAATAACTGGATTCTAGTGAACATAAAATGACAATAGACAGCTAGCATTTATGGAGTAATTTCTGACAAACATTGCGCTTCACACATGCCCTCGTTTTTGTCATCACCCCCAACCCCAGGAGGCAGGCAATGCCATCTCCCTGTTCCATATAAGGAATTAAAGACATTAAACAATTTGCTCAAATAGTGTCCAAGCCCCTTGACCTCCAGGGACCTGTTTCCTCATTGACAAAGAGTCAGAAGAGGATTTCTAAAGTTTCTTGGGGGGCGCCTGGGTGGCTTAGTCCGTTAAGCGTCCGACTTTCGCTTAGGTCATGATCTCACGGTTCGTGGGTTCGAGCCCCGCGTCGGGCTCTGTGCTGACTGCCAGCTCAGAGCCTGGGGCCTGTTCAGTCTGGGACTCCCTCTCTCTCTGACCCTCCCCTGATCACGCTGTCTCTCTCTCTCTCTCTCCTAGAAATAAATTTAAAAAAAAAAAAAGTTTCTTGGAACTGTGGGATTCTGGCACGCTCATAACTCTTGGGAAACCCTAATTTTGAGGCACACACGCATATTATTGAGTGGGGTTGCTGGCTGGACTGGAAGGAGCCCTTGAGAACTAGGCTTGAGGAAATGTGGGGGTGCCCCAACTGTCTGAGTGGAGAACTAGGAACTGCTTTTCAACCTGTATGCTTTACTACTTGGCTCTGGGAGTTATAGTCATTGTGTGGGCAGGTGTGGCGTTAGTACACTTCTGCAGAGTGATTATTATACAAATGTAGGAGGAAGGGAAATGGAAGTATAGCAGGAACTATGCCAGGACCCTGCCACTAAGCCGTCCACAGCCCAGCTGAGAATATATTTGTTGGACAAACAAAGCTATTCAAAATGGCCCACCAAGTCAGTTGCGTAAGTAACTGATCCCAACTGCCAGCTTCTTTATTTTTTTTATCGTTTATACTGCTTTTATTTTTTTATTTTTTATTTTTTATAAATAGTTTATTGTCAAGCCGGTTTCCATATAACACCCAGTGCTCATCCCCACAAGTGCCCTCCTCCATGCCCCTCACCCCCTTCCTCCCCCCACACCCATCAGTCCTCAGTTTGTTCTCAGCATTCAAGAGTCTCTCATGGTTTGCCTCTCTCCCGCTCCCCCATTATTTCCCCCTTCTTCTCCCTCTCGGTCCTCCGTTAAGTTCCTCCTAATCCTCCTATATGTGCAAATATATGGTAGCTGTCCTCTGCCTGACTTATTTCGCTCAGCATAACACCCTCAAGGTCCATCCATGTTGCTACACATGGCCAGATTTCATTATTTCTCATTGCCATGTAGTATTCCATAGTATAGATAAACCACATCTTCTTGATCCATTCGTCAGTTGATGGACACTTAGGCTCTTACCATGTTTTGGCTACTGTTGAGAGTGCTGCTATGAACATTGGGGTACGTGTGCCCCTGTGCATCAGCACTCCTGTATCCCTTGGGTAAATTCCTAGCAGTGCCCAACTGGCACCTTCTTTAATGAAGGGTGTCTGTCCCTCCGTGGAAGGATGAATAACAGCCCCCCAAAGAGGTCAACGTCCCAATCCCCCGCAACCTGTGAGAAGGGTACCATATCAGCATACGGGGAGGAAGAACTTCACCTCTACCCTCTTAGGGTCTCTGGCTGAGAATAAGAATTAAACTGACATAAGACAGATTACTAGGAGAGAAGTATACAAGTTCCGTTACACCGTAATGTGTCCGTGAGAGCCTTTGCGAGAGAATGAAGACCCAGGGACGTGACCAGAGCACAAAGCTCTTGTGCCTTTTCAACAAAGAAATGATGAACCCGTCAAGGGACAAGGCAAAGGGGTTGGACATCTGTCCGGGGCGGGGGGGCAACGGGGGAGGACAAGGGCCATTCCGGTGAGTGTGTTCGGGCAGATCCATTTCAGCGTGCGATCCGAATCTCCGGGAGTAAGGACATCCTTCACTTCATGGCAAAAGGAGAGCAGCTTTCTGGGGGGAGGTACGTCAGAAAGCCCTTCCTGCAAGTGCTGTTCCTCAAGAGCCTCCCTCTCTATAAGGGGCGCCTGGGTGGCTTAGTCGGTTGAGCGTCCGACTTTCGCTTAGGTCACGATCTCGCGGTTCGTGGGTTCGAGCCCCGCGTCGGGCTCTGTGCTGACTGCCAGCTCAGAGCCTGGAGCCTGTTTCAGAGTCTGTGACTCCCTCTCTCTCTGACCCTCCCCTGCTCGCGCTGTCTCTCTCTCTCTCTCCTAGAAATAAATAAAACATTAAAATAAATAAATAAATAAATAAATAAATAAATAAATAAAATAAAATAAGCAGCCTCCCAAAGCGGCATGTTTTGAGGTGTCCTGTCCCGAGCAAGGTCACGTGGTCAAAGGGACTTTACAGATCTGGATTACGCCAAGGATCTGGAGATGGGGAGGTGATCCTGGATTATACAGACGAGCCCATTATAATCATGAGGAGTCCTTTCAAGAGGGCGGCCGGAGACCAGAAAGGAAGGAAGATGCTCTTCCTTCCGTGGGAGGAAATGGGTTCTCCCCTGGAGCTTCTGAAAGGAAGTGGCCCCACTGATACCTTGATGACAGCCTAGAGAGGCTAACTTCGGATGTCTGGCCTACAGAACTATATGAGAATAGATTTCTGTTGTTTTTAAGCCGCTAGGTTTATGGTAATTGAACAGCCACCAGAAGTTCATAAAGGGAGACGCAAAAAGAGGTAGCACTGCCCTCCCTCCCATTCTTTGTTTTTTAATTATTTTTTAAATGTATATTTTTGAGAGAGACAGACAGAGCGTGAGCAGGGGAGGGGTGTAGAGAGAGAGGGAGACACAGAATCTGAAACAGGCTCCAGGCTCTGAGCTAGCTGTCAGCACAGAGCCCGACGCGGGGCTCGAACTCACAAACTGTGAGGTCATAACCTGAGCTGAAGTCCAAGGCCGCCCAATCGACTGAGCCACCCAGGCGCCCCTCTCCCCCCCATTCTTAAAGGGCCACTGCTAGCCCATAGGGCTATGTCTCCCAAATCCTGCAGTCAGTCTAGATTTCCCCCCAGATAACCAAGTAACACATCACACCTTCCACAGGACTGTCCGGGGAGCAGCATCTACTGGAAGAACAGGCGCCCTTTCCTCGAGTCACTGTCACTGTAAACATGTGACTGCCAACGGCACCTCCGTGCATGCAGCATGTGTGGGATTTCTGAAAGAGGGGTCATGCAGATTGATAGGTTATCAGCAGGAGCCCAGAGCCCGAGTTTAATTTCAGCTGTGCCCCTGCCCAACTCTCAGAAGTGGAGCAAGTAACTTAGCCTCTCTGTGCCTCTGGTTTTTTTTTTTTTTTAATGTTTATTCATTTTTGAGAGACAGAGAGACAGAGAGACAGAGAGACAGAGCACGAGCAGGGGAGGGGCAGAGAGAGAGCGACACAGAATCTGAAGCAGGCTGCAGGCTCTGAGCTGCCAGCACAGAGCCTGACACGGGGCTCGAACCCATGAACTATGAGATCATGACCTGAGCCGCCCCGCTGCCCCTCGCTGCCTCTGTTTCTCCATCTGCACAATGGGGATCATGCCAACAGCACTCACTTCGTAAAATCATTGCAAAGCTACATGAAGGGCGTGTGCCTTGGATGCTTAGAACAATATCTAGCCTGTATCAGAGCTCAATTCCCCTTAGATGTGGTAGAGACTGGCCTTAGAAGTGTGCCCACCCCCCACCAAGGAGATCCTCTCTCCAGGAAACAGTATCTCTCTCCAACTGGCGTGTTTATAGGCAGGATTGGGGGGGGGGGGTTGCCTCACAGGGCATGCTGCCTTCTACTCCAAAAAGTCCCTGTCTCCTCTGAGTCTTGCTCCTCAGCCACCAGCTCTGCATGTCCTGGACCTCCCCAGGGAGCCACACACCCCCATCTTCTCCATACTCTCAGCCCCAGACTGTCTCTCAATCCCTTGATCTCAATCCTCTCTGTACAGCCGCAGCTCTACCTAACCAGTCCACCCTGACCTACTCAACTACCCATCACCCAACATGGTTAACAGAGACCCTTTCATTGCCAGGACCCACTTTCTTTTTTAATTTTAGCTTTATTGTGCTTGCTTCAGCAGCACATATACTAAAACCAGCTTTATTGAGGTATAATCAATATACTGAAAAATTGCACACATTTAATATATACGTCTCGATAAGTTTGTACATATGCGTACACTGTGCACCCAGAATACCATCACCACAATGGAGGTACCAACCGTGTCACTTCCAAGATTGTCCCTGTGTGTGTGTGTGTGTGTGTGTGTGTGTGTGTGTGTGTGTGTGTGTTTGGTAAGAATGCATAGCATGAGATCTCTTCTTTTAATGCATCTTGAATTGCACAACACCATATTGCTAACTATAGGTACTAGGTTTTACAGCGAGTCTGCAGAACATACCCATCTCATATAACCAAAACTTTATACCCATTGAAAGGCAGTTTCCCATTTCCCCCTTCCCCCAGCCCCTGCTAACCGCCAGTCTATCCTCTGCCTCCCATGAGTGTGACTCCTTTAGATATTTCATGTAAGTGGAATCATAAAGTATTTGTCCTTTTATGTTTGGCTTCTTTCACCCCGAATAATGTCCTGTAATCTCATCCACGTCACTGCAAGTGACAGGATTTCCTTATACTTTAAGCCCAACTATATTCCATCACATATCTCACATTTTCTGTATCCATTCATCCGCAGCACCCACTTTACCAAGCGGTAACCAAAGTTGCAGATAAGGTGACTAGTCACCAGAGCTAAATTTCAACCAGTGCGCACTAGAAAAGCCATTAGTTGGTTGTTCATATTAAAATATTCCCACACCCGGGCGCCTGGGTGGCTCAGTTGGTTAAGTGTCCGACATCGGCTCAGGTCATGATCTCATGGTTCGTGGGTTCGAGCCCTGCATCAGGGTCTGTGCTGACAGCCAGCTCAGGGCCTGGACCCTGCTTCGGATTCAGTGTCTCCCTCTCTCTCTGACCCTCCCCTGCTCACACTGTCTCTCTCTCTCATAAATAAATACATTATATTTATTTTATATTTTATATATTTTAATATATTTTATAATATATTATATCTCTCTCATAAATAAAACATTAAAAAAATAAAATAAAATATTCCCACACCATTTATAAGTAATCATGGCCCGGAACCAGCTCCCACATCACTCCTGCCCGCGAAGATCCCACCCTGGGACCCCACCCACCTCCTCACGATTTGGCATCTTCACTAACATCTGCTGGAGTAGAGAAAGGGTGTCCAGAGTCCGTTCTGATTGGTCGAGTCCTGCACCAGAGCAGCTGTTACTACTGTCCTTGCAAATGACAGATCATTCCAGATATTAGTATGTAATAAGAGTATGAAAAGGAGGCAAGGACAGAACTAGCCATCAGAGTGGTGTCGGGTTTTTCAGGAAAGGGAGAGAGAAGCCACCTGTCTCTCCTGAAGTGGTGTCTTCAGGTCTTTGCCTGAGGGGGAACATGCTGTGACACCACCAGATGTTGGGCAAGTTTGGGGACGAGGAAAGAACACTTTATCAGCCATGGTAGAGGCAGCCTGCATTTCCCGAGAAGGCGAAAACAATACTTCCCTTCTGAGAAGTGTTTCTAGAATCTTGCCAATCTTCCCTCAAAAGGAAGACTGGTTTTTATCCACTTAAAATCTACCTGAGTAGATTGGGGACTTGCTTGTAGCCAAAAGGATGTGATAGAATCAGAGGTGCATGGCTTCCAGGGCTGGGTCTTAACAGGACACTTAAGCCTGTCAGCTGGGAAACTCCTGCATAGAGCTCTGAACTGCCCAAGGCTGCCATGTTGGGAGGAAGACCAGACTCACCAAGTCTGGGGCTACGTGAAGGGGTGACAGTGCACAGTCAGTTCCCAGCTGCTCCAGCCCCAGCCACTGTCTAACTGCAGCCGTATAAGAAACCCCAGAATCACCCAGCTGAGCCTTTCCTAGATTCCCAAAGCACAGACATCATGAGCGATGATAAAATGAACCTTGATGATTTAAGCCGCTACATTTTGTGATGGTTTTTATGCAGCAGTAGATAACGAATAGCAGCCCTTGGGGAATTTCCTGGAATCTTTCCGCAGTCACGTCACATGTCTCCCTTCTGCTTCCCTGTTCCAGGACTCTGTTTTCTGCTGAGTTTGTCAGAAGTTATGGTTCAGATGACCGAAGGTAAGCACTCGACGCCTGACTTCTCCACAGCCCGAGACCAGGAAGGGTGGAGACCAAGGGGACGCCTTGGACCGCTCGCGTCCTCCGATGGGCTGGAGCAAAGGGGCTTGTCCTGAGACCATGATTTGGGGACGCTTACTCCTGTAATTCTTTCTAATTCATCATTTCATCAAATTTTAGTGTATCTTTAAAGGTCTGTTTATTTATGTAATCTCTACACCTAACACGGGGATCGAACTCACGACCCCAAGATGAAGAGTCACATGCTCTCCCAACGGAGTCAGCCAGGCACCCCTTAATGTATCTTTTTATTTTAGTGTCCTTTGTCTGGTCGTTTGTTTTCAGTCACCACAATGTGCCCAATGTAGAGATAGAACAGAGGCTAAAACACACAAAGGAAGTGAAGAGAGCACTCCAGAGCGGGGAGACAGAGCATGATGGTGATCGTTTTATTCTGATAATAAGCGAGGCACCAAAAACCAGAAAAAGTAAACAAGATGATCTCAGGCTAGCTTTAATCCCCTGGAGATCTTGCTAGATTCTGATTCAGCAGGTGTAAGGGTGGGGCCTCAGATTCTGCATTTCTAGCCAAGTGCAAGGGGATACATTCTGAGCACCCAGACCGTGCATTGTGGCCCCATCAGGTTCCCAGCCCCCTCTCCTTGTGAACACTGCATGATTGCCACATTTCTCCACCGGACCCAAAGCTCGAGATGCTTCCTCAGCTCCATTCATTCCCAAGAGGGCTCACATTAAGATCATTAGCGGGGCACCTGGGTGGCTCAGTCGGTTGAGCATCTGACTTTGGCTCAGGTCATGATCTCACGGTTCATGAGTTCAAGCCCCACGTCAGGCGCTCTGCTGTTAGCCTGTCAGCACAGAGCCTGCTTCAGATCCTCTGTCCCTCTCTCTCTGCTCCTCCCCCGGCTTACACTCTGCTCTCTCTCTCTCAAAAAATTAATAAAAATATTTTTTTAAGATCATTAGTGTATCTATCTAAATGGAGTTACACACAGACTTACAAAGATGATATGAACTCGTATCAAAATATACCTCCTATGGGTCCCTGCACATTCAAGTTTTTATAATCCTAGCTGATACTTATTATGTGCCAGGCACTACCCAACACACTTTACGTGTATTAATTCACTTGCTCCTCACAATAATCCATTTTGCAAATGAGGGCTGTGAAAGGAACTAAGGCACAGAGAGATGCAGACACTTGGGCAGAGAAACATGGCTGACACGTGGTGGAGCCAGAATCGACCCCAGGCGCTTAACCAATTCATTCCCCCATTTAAAGAGTCTGCAATGGGGACGCCGGGGTGTCTCAGTCGGTTAAGCATGCGACTCCTGATTTGGGCTCAGCTCACGATCTCACGGTCTGTGAGATCAAGCCCAGTGTAGGGCTCTGCACTGACAGTGCGGAACCTGCTTGGGACTCTCTCTCTGCCCCCCCCCCACCAAAATAAATTAAAAACTTAAATAGGTAAATAAGTAAAAATAGAAATCCCTCAGAGATCTTGAGAATAGCACAAGCATATCGCCTTGAAATTTTTGTGTGAAAATTAACGCCAACTTCAGTCCTCTGTCATGCAAACGAATTCTCACTTTCTTCTGTAACTTGGGTTTGGTAGCCTTGATTTTGTCAGGTACTGAGATCTCCAAAGGGGAAAGGAGTGTAAGCTTCCTCTTGGTTGAGAGGCCCTGGTCCGACAGGCAATGATAACAGGAAATGGCTCAACCACGGTGACCTCTGACCTGCCCGTCTTCTCCCTGCAGCAGCTACTTGTCGGTCCTGCCCCCAACATGCTCTCTGTGTCAACAGCACTCACTGTACCTGCAACTCCGGATACACTGCTGCGTCTGGGAGGAAATTCTTCACATTCCCCTTGGAGACGTGCAATGGTAAAGGGGTAATTTTCAAACCACCCAGAGGCAGGAGTGGAAGGGAGGCGGCATGGGGACCGTTGGGGGTGATGACTGCCAATACCTTGCATGCTGAGAAATCTACCAGCTCAACACTCATCAGGAAAGAAACACTTTTGGGGCACCTTGATGGCTCAGTCGGTTACGTGTCTGACTTGGGCTTGGGTCGTGATCTCGTGGTTCCTGAGTTTGAGCCCTGCATTGGGCTCTGTGCTGTCAGCGCAGAGCCGGCTTCGGATCCTTTGTCCCATCCCCCACCTCTCTCTCTGCCCATCCCCCCACAGGCATGAGTGTTCTCTCTCCCTCTCTCTCTCTCAAATTAAGTAAACTTAAAAAATGTAACATCTTTAAGAAAGAAGGAAGGAAGGGAGGGAGAAAAAGAAAGAAAGAAAGAAGAGAAAGAAAGAAAGAAAGAAAGAAAGAAAGAAAGAAAGAAAGAAAGAAAGAAAGAAAGAAGGAAGGAAGGAAGGAAGGAAGGAAGGAAGGAAGGAAGGAAGGAAGGAAGGAAGGAAGAAAGAAGAAAGAGGAGAAAGAAAGGGAAGAAAGGGAGGAAGGAAAGAGATAGAGAGAGAGAGAGAGAGAAAGAAAGAAAGAAAGAAAGAAAGAAAGAAAGAAGAAAGAAAGGGAAGAAAGAAAGAAAAAAGGAATGAAGGAAGAAAGAAAGAAAGGGAGAGAGGGAGAAAAAGAAAGAAAGAGGAGAAAGAAAGGGAAGAAAGGGAGGAAGGAGAGAGAGAGAGAAAGAAACAAAGAAAGACATTCATGAAATCAGCATCTTTTATTTATTTGAAGTTCTAATATACCTTTTAATCCCCTTCATGGCTACCTTGTCTTTCCTTAATTTCATAATCACACATGTGTATCTGTACTGTTAGCTTTTATATTTTTTTGTTCTGTTAGCTTTTAAACTCAGCAATTATTTCCCCCACCGACATGCCTTGGTTTCCCAAGCAAGATGCTTCATTTCAGGTAAAGGAATGAATAGCAAACACCTGATGAGCACTGAGTAACATCTCCAAGTGTAGACTCACTGTATTGTACAACACTGCACGTTGATGATACAGGAATTAAAAAAAAAAAAAAAAAAGATGCGTCACTTCACCCTTCCTTCCCCTCCCCCAGTAAAGAGGTGAGATCGGAAAATACTGTTGTTTCCCTCCCTTCCTCAGCTCTCCCCTTTCCACATCCTCATGAGGTTAAAATTTTCTCAAGGTTCTGCTCGCCTCTGCTTCCTCTGCCCTCCATCTCCCTGCCAGCTGAGGTTTCTCTTCTTCCTCATTCCGTACTTGCCATCTGTCCTTTATTTGGAGTACTTTCTCATGTGCCTTCTTTACGCTGGACACTGTCTCCACTGTTGTGTTATCTCACATTTCTTTCACTTTCGCGAGCCGGTTCTATCCTGACAAGGTGGGGAATCTTGTCCTTCCGTCTCTTATCCAAGTGATCCATCAGTGAATCTCGCAGGGATCACAGAACTGTCTTCAAGCTTGCAGGACTGCAGGTGGGAATTCTAGTACCGGTCTGAGTCTCATTCTTTCTGGTGACTTCTGTCTCAGGCTCAGTGAGGTTCCTCACAGACTCCCCAGGAAGAACATCTTTACTTCTCATTGCCTTACGGGTGTGACGTGAAAGCTGAACTGGGGGGCGGGGGGAGAGAGTGCCTGCGAGATGGGAACAAGACGGTCATGTTCCTCAAAAGAAAATGGCTATCGAGCAGGTGACAAAGATCATCTGCTACGCCATATTGCAGTCTGAAAATTCCCAGTGTCATGTTTGGAACATCAGATGGGGAAATCACACATCTTTGCTACCCACTGGACATTTGGAAAGGGGCTACTGGGACCCTCAGAGACATGTTGACTTAATCAAGACATTCTAACTCAGTTAATCTAGCAGGTGTATTACTCTGCTCGGGTGGCTGTAACAAAACACCACAGACCAGGTGGCTTAAACAACAGAAATTTTTTTTCTCAGGATTCTGGAGGCTGGGAAGCCCATGGTCAAGGTTCCAACAGTTCTACTCTCTGGGGAAGCCTCTCTTCCTATCTTGAAGATATCTATCTCCTTGCTCTCTCTTCACATGGTCTTTCCTCACTGCACACACACAGAGGTCGGGCAGATGGGGAAGCTCTCATACTTCTTCTTCTACAAACACTAATCCTATCAGATCAGGGCCCCATTCTCACAATCTCATTTAACCTGTTACATCCTTAGACAACTTATTTCCAAATACAGCCACCCTAGGGGTTAGGATTTCAACATATTGAATTGAGGGGACACACAAACATTCAATACAGCAGACACGGTCAGTATTCCACTTAGATGCCTTCAGCCTTTGCCGTTCTTTTGCACACCGAGTCCAAGGCTCTTTCCGGCTACGGGAGACCACTCAGTTCATGCTCAGGACAGGTGGAAGTATCAGATAGTTAACTACCCCTGCAACCACTTCTCTCCCAATAAATGGTAAGATTTGGCAGATAAAAGCATTATCAAAAATAGCCAAGTAATGTAAAAAACCCAAGGGTCCACCAATTGATGAAGGGATAAAGAAGATGTGGTATGTCTATACAGTGGAATATTACTCAGCCATGAAAAAGAATGAAATCTTGCCATTTGCAATGACGTGGATGGAACTAGCATGTATTGTGCTAACAAAATAAGTCAGTCAGAAAAAGACAAATACCATGATTTTATTCACATGTGGAATTTAAGAAACAAAACAGATGGACATGGGGAAGGAGGAAAGAAAGGGGAAGACAAACCGTAAGAGATTCGTAACTATAAAGAATAAACTGAGGGTTGATGGAGGGAGGTGGGGGGGATGGACTAGATGAGTGATGGGCGTTAAGGAGGGATGTGCACTTAGTATCGTGTTGGGATAAGCACTGGGTGTTGTACGTGATGAATCACTAAATTCTACTCCTGAAAGCAATATTACACTATATGTTAACTAATTACAGTTTAAATAAAAACTTGAAAGAAAAAAAGATCTGGCTGATAAATATCCCAGCCCCCCAGCGCTTGGGGAGTCACTCTGAAGTGTGTGCTCTACACTGCCTCCCAGAGGCTCCCAAGGGAGTTGAGTCCCAATCGCCCACAATGGAAACTTCCCTCTATTTTCTGCCTTCCTTTCTCTGTCTCATTTGACCACCTCCCTTCCAGTGTTTTCTGGGATCACCTCCCACATAAAGTACTTGAACGTGAATTCTTATCTCAATGCCTGCTTCTCAGAGAACTCAACCAAAGTCAGTGAGGAAAGGGAAGAACAAAGACAATCCATCACCTCACTGAGTTGTCCTGGAAAGGCAGCACAGACCCTGGTGGAAAGGGCATAGCACATATTAGATGCCCCATAAATAAATCTTCGTCAAATGAAGGTCCAAATTCCTCCTTTTGTTCCAGATATCGATGAATGTAAGCCACCCATTAGCATATATTGTGGGTCTAACGCTGCATGCCAAAATGTCGAAGGAGGTTTCCACTGTCGCTGTAATCCCGGATATGAACTCCTCTCTGGGGACACACGATTTGAGAATTCCAATCAGAACACTTGTCGAGGTAAGAAACTTCTTGTCTCTCTTCTTTATTTTACATTGAATCTAATGCCAGAAAGTGTGTGTGTGTGTGTGTGTGTGTGTGTGTGTGTGTGTGTGTGGTGAGGCAAGGACATGTTTCCATTTTTGGAGGCAAATGGTTGATGGAAAGGGGAGAAAAAAGGAAAGAAAGAAGCTTAGAGCAATAATGGGGTTAATAAGATAAGTGGGCTTTGGAAATGGGGGTAATGAGATGCTAAGACAGGATTCTTTGAATTGCAAAGAGAAACTCACTCAGGCTAACTTGAGCAGAAAAGATGAATTGATGATAAGGATGCTTGGATGTGTCTTGGAACTCAAGGACAAAAATAGAGCTGGGCTTCTGGAATGTATTGGAACAGGAGACCCCACACTACCAGGGCACCTCAGTCTCTGATACTCTCTAGCTCTGCCCCTTTCTTCTTTTTCACTGCAGACTGGCTTTCTCTGACTTCTTAGTCCACAGGACAGAAAATATGGCCACCAAGTCCAAGTCTTACCGTTGCTAATGACCCACCCACCCACAGATAGACCAAGTGACTCTCTTTTGGACCCAATCATAAATTCTTTGGAAATGTACCAATTAGTCCAGTTTGAGTCATATGTCCACCCTTGGATCTGTGTCCAGGAGAGGCACCATCTCGTATAAGCATGAGCACTCTCACGGAAGCCACATAGACAGGGAAATCTATGCACAAGAAATATAGCTCGGAGAAGTGAGGGGTAGATGGTGGGGTTGGAGCATCCTGAACGTACCTCTTCCCATGAAGACACCAAGCTGCAACCTCATACAGACCAACTCTCTCTGAGAGTAACCCGAAGACTAAGTGAACAGCTCTTCTAAATTACATGCAGAGAAAACCACATCAACAAGGGTAGAAGGAGCAAAAACATAGTCGGGTCAGGAACCAAAACCTCCAGTGCTGTGACCCACACGCTGGAGGGATGTTCCAAGTGCAAAGGTTCTCCCTGAGCAGCAGGGGCTTCAAGCTCCACATCACGCAACACCCACCTGCGGACCTGCACCAGGAAGGCGAACACCCATAATGTCATAGGGGATATCTATCAATAATTACTTTAGACGTCAATGCTCCAATCAAAAGACATAGGGTGACTGAATGGATTTAAAACACAAGACCCGTCCATCTGATGCTTGTACAAGACTCACTTCAGACCTAAAGACACATGCAGATTGGGGGCATCTGGGTGGCTCAGTTGGTTGAGCGACCAACTTTGGCTCAGGTCATGATCTTGTGGTTCGTGAGTTGGGGGTAATGAGAGGGGTCACCGAAAACTGACACTCTTGTTTCAGTTGTCATTCCCGGCCAGCCTGAATTTTTTTTTTTTAATGTTTTATTTATTTCTAGGAGAGAGAGAGAGACACAGCGTGAGCAGGGGAGGGTCAGAGAAAGAGGGAGTCACAGACTGAAACAGGCTCCAGGCTCTGAGCTGGCAGTCAGCACAGAGCCCGACGCGGGGCTTGAACCCACGAACCACGAGATCATGACCTAAGTGAAAGTCGGACGCTTAACCGACTAAGCCACCCAGGCGCCCCCGGCCAGCCTGAATTTTAAAACCAGAAGTATCTAATTTCTTGTTCCCTCGATCATTGCCATTATTTTTGTCGAGCCAAGACCGAATTAAAGAATTTGGAGCTTGGGGCGCCTGGGTGGCTCAGTCGGTTAAGCTTCTGACTTCAGCTCAGGTCTTGATCTCGAGGTTCATGGGCAAGCCCTGCAATGAGCTCTGTGCTGACAGCTCAGAACCTGGAGCCTGCTTCGGATTCTGTGCCTCTCTCTCTCTCTCTGCCCCTCCCCACTCATGCTCTGTCTCTGTCTCTCAAAAATAAATAAACATTAAAAAAAAAAAAGTAAGCTATCAGGCAACACCCCAAGCCTCCACCTGTTAGATGCCATTAGCATCCCCCATCACAAGCTGTGACTGCCAAAAATGTCTCCAACCATTGCCAACGTCCCCTGGGGCCAAAATCACACACATACATACACACGCACACACACACACACATACACACACACAATTCCCGTCTAAAAACACTGTTCTCTACCATGATAAGGAACTTGACTCTGATCTCTCCAAAAGGCAGAGCTTTGTCATTGAACATAAAAAATTTGAGTTCAAAAAAAAACAAGAACAAAATCCAGACTCTTAACTATAGAGAACAAACCAGTGGTTGCCAGAGGGGAGGTAGGTGGGGGGATGGGTAGTATAAGTGATGGGGGTGAAGGGTGCCCTTATCCCAATGAGCACTGACTAATGTACAGACTTGTTAAGTCACTACACTGTACACCTGACACTAATGTAACGCTGTCTGTTAACAATACTAGAATTTAACAATTAATAATAAAAATTTTTAAAAATAAAAAAGGGGAGCCTGGGTGGTTCAGCCTGTTAAGCATCTGACTTCAGCTCAGGTCATGATCTCACAGTTTGTGAGTTCAAGCCCCGCGTCGGGCTCTGTGCTGACAGCTCAGAGCCTGGAGCCTGCTTCAGATTCTGTGTCTCCCTCTCTCTCTGACCCTCCCCTGCTCATGCTCTGTCTCTCTGTCTCTCTGTCTCTCTCTCTCAAAAACAAACAAACAGGGGCGCCTGGGCGGCTCAGTTGGTTAAGTGTCTGACTTCGGCTCGGGTCATGACTTCACAGTTCGTGGGTTCGAGCCCCGCATCCGGCTCTGTGCTGACAGCTAGCTCAGATCCTGGAGCCTGCTTCAGATTCTGTGTCTTCCTCTCTCTCTGACCCTCCCCTGCTCATGCTCTGTCTCTCTGTCTCGCTCTCTCTGTCTCTCTCTCTCTCTCAAAAATAAATAAACAGGGGCGCCTGGGCGGCTCAGTTGGTTAAGTGTCTGACTTCGGCTCAGGTCATGACTTCACGGTTCGTGGGTTCGAGCTCCGCATCTGGCTCTGTGCTGACAGCTAGCTCAGAGCCTGGAGCCTGTTTCAGATTCTGTGTCTCCCTCTCTCTCTGCCTCTCCCCCAATAATGCTCTGTCTCTCTTTGTCTCAAAAATAAATAAAAAACTATAAAAACTTTTTAAATAAATAAATAAACAAAAAGCTTTTTTAAATAAAAAAGAGTATGGGTTCAGACCTTCTAAATGCAAAGTTATTCACCCTCCACCCTCTCTGGCCTTTCGCTCTCAGTTCCAACAGTAACTTCCCTTGATATCTTTTGCAGAAACCACTTCCTCAAAGCCAACCAAAGATACAGAAGAGGTGAGTGGAAGTTGAGTCCTGGAGCCCCACCAGATACCAAGTATCTACAAAGCCCCAAATTAGCATGTGGGTGTGGATACCATATATTATATGTGTGCTAGACATTGTGTATCATATATATACCATGTAAGTGTGATATGCTATATATTTTATATTTCAAGTTATGGTATGTAGTATGTTTTAATGTAGTTTTAAATTATAATATAATAGAAATTAATTATAATAGTACAATATTATATGTAATTTATATTATGTGTAACTATGAAATATGCATACAGTTAATCACTATATGTATACTGTTATATATCTCATGGTAAAGTTAGATAGTATGTGTATGTACACATGGGTGTGTGTGTGTGTGTGTGTGTGTGTGTGTGTATGTAAACTGCTCCCTAAAGATAGGATCTCTCCCAGGCCAAGAAAGGCAGACCTCAGCTGTAGTCAGACCCTTAACCAACTGACCCACCCAGGTGTCCTGATTTTTATTACTTTCTGAGTTAACAGTCCAGGCGGGTGAGGCCATTCAGGGCACCCACGTTCTTCCCGTACTGCTGCCCCACAATCCCCCCAGCACCTTGTCCTCAATGACATGACCAAAACTGGGTTGCTCCAAAGCCACAACCCATTGTATTGGTGGGTCGTGGGGAGATAGAGCCCAGGGCAGTTTGTCCGGAGCACAGGGTGAAGAGGGGAGAGTGGAGAAAAGGGATACGTCTGCTCACTCTATAATACGCTAATGAAGTTGTGATCATTGCCTTGAGAGCTGCCTTAAAGCAACAATCCAGAGGCTTAAGGTAGCCCGACCAAAACTAGCTGCAAGGGAAGCTGGGACAATGTGGTCTGTACATGGGGAACATGGTCCATGTAAAATCTGAGGAATTCATTCAGTTATTAAAAGGAAGGAGGAGGGGCGCCTGGGTGGCTTAGTCGGTTAAGCACTGACTTTCGCTTAGGTCATGATCTTGCGGTTCGTGGATTCGAGCCCCGCGTTGGGCTCTGTGCTGACTGCCAGCTCAGAGCCTGGAGCCTGTTTCCGAGTCTGTGACTCCCTCTCTCTCTGACCCTCCCCTGCTCACACTGTGTCTCTCTCTCTCTCCTAGAAATAAATAAAACATTAAAAAAAAATTTTTTTAAGGAAGGAGGAGGGGCACCTGGGTGGCTCAGTCCATTAAGTGTCTGGCTCTTGATTTCAGCTCAGGTCATGACCTCATGCCTCGTGAGTTCAAGTCCACATAGGGCTCTGTGATGACAGTGGAGCCTGCTTGGGATTCTCTCTCTCTCTCTCTCTGCCTCTACCCTGCTCACTCTCTCTCTCTCAATCTCAATATAAATAAATAAACTTAAAAAAAAATAAAAGGAAGGGGGAGGGGAATGGATATTACAGGCCCTTACAAGAGACAGACCAAGAACGTGACTGATAGGTAGCAATCACTTAGTGTCTGTAAATGGACTCTGAATGTTAACAAAGAGAAGGACCCATGTCTCTGCGAATCTGCAGTCTAGCAGAATGGGCTGGTCCCTTCCTCGCCCCATTCTGCACCCTCACCCTGCTCTACTCCAGAGGGACTGCTCACATCTTGACCTCCAAGCCCCAGGTTTCCAGCTACATGCCGCTGTCTCTACCTGAAACTGTTCCCAGTACCTCACCCGGCTGCCTTCCTTCCTCTCTTCTCTTGCTCAAGACTCAGTTCAGGTGTCACATCCTCCTGAATGGCCTCCCTAAGCCCTTCCATATGAGTTAACACCCCCTTCCCCAGTTTCTTCTGCTGGAGGGGTGCAGAGGTTAGATGTGCCATCAGAGGTTCAAATCTCAGCACCTCAGTGGCAAGTGCCATGGGCACAATGACACACCTTTCTGCATTAGTCAGGGATCCCCAGAGGAACAACCAATAGGGGACACAGAGAAGAGATTCGTTATAAGGAACTAGCTCGTGTGATGACGGAAGCTGACGTGTCCCAAGATACGCAGTAAACAAGCTAGGGATTTGGGACAACCTCTGCTGGCGTTATGGTTCAGACCCAGAAGAGCCGATGTTCCAGGCAAGTATGAAGGAAACAAAACCCCTGCCCCAGATCCAGGCAGTCAAGCAGGCAGTCGGGCAGAAGACAGTTCCCTCTTACTCAGACTTCTCGTTCTATTCAGACCCTCATCCAACTGGATGGGGCCCCCTCACTTTGGGGAGGGCAATCTCCTTTCCTCCGTCTACGCATCCACACATTCATTTCATCCAGAACCACTCTTACAGACACACCCAGAATCATGCTTGAGCAAATATATCTGGGCACCTCTGGCCCAGCCAAGGTGACACATAAAAATAACCATCGCACTCTCCAGGACCGATTTACTCATCTGTAAGATGGGGGTAACGACGGCATCCACCTCCTTGGAAGGATGGGAAGGTTAGATGAAATAGTACATGTGGAATACTTTGCATAATGCCTCGTCTGTAATACGTCTTCCATTCGGGTTCTCCAGTGTTCTCTCCCGCGAACCCACAGCAGCCACAGTCATGTGTCGTCAACACCTAGACAGTGTACTTCTTGAGGGCAGGAATCAGCCCAAGCCCACACTGGGAGTGCAAGTGTTCACTGAAGTAGTGAACAAATAACTGTAATTATCATGTAACAGGAGCGTTTCTTTATGAAGTTTCATTGCCCATTTCCTCAAAAAGTTAAACAGAGCGGGGCACCTAGATGGCTCGGTCAGTTGAATATCCAACTCTTGATTTCAGCTCAGGTCAGGATCCCGAGGTTGTGAGCCCCATGTCAGGCCCCATGCTCAGGGTGGAGCCTGCTTGAGATTCTGTCTCTGTCTCCCTCTCCTTCTCTCCCCTGCTTGCTCTCTCTCTCTCTCTCTACAATAAAATATTAAAAGAGTTAAACATAGAATTACCATATGAGCCAGCAATTCCACTCCTAGGAATACACCCCAGGGAATTGAAAGCAGAGACTTAGATACTTGCACGCCCAGGTTCATAGCAGTACTAGTCACAGTAGCCAAAAGGAAGAAACAGCCCAATTGCCCATCAATAGATGAACGGATTTTTTAAAATGGTAGATCCATAGGGTGGAATATTATTGAGTCATAAACAGGAGTAAAGTTCTGATTCACGTTACAACACGGGTAAACCTTGAAACCATCCTGCTGGGTGAAAGAAGCCAGACACAAAAAGTCACATAGTGTAGGATTCCATTTTTATGAAACATCCAAAGCAGACAAATCCACTAAAGCAGATTAGTGGTTTCCAGAGGCTGAGGGAGGGGAGATTGGAGGAGTGATTGCTTAAAGGGTTTTATCTTGGGGTGATGGAAATGTTTTGGAACTACGTAGAAGTGGTGCATTGTGCGTTTACTAAATTGCCACCACACTTTAAAAGGGTGTATTTCGGGCTGCCTGGGTGGCTCAGTCGGTTAAGCGCCCGACTTTCAGCTCAGGTCATGATCTCATGGTTTCTGAGTTCGAGCCCCACGTCGAGCTCTGTGCTGACAGCTCGGAGCCTGGAGCCTGCTTCGGATTCTGTGTCTCCCTCTGTCTCTGCTCCTTCCCCGCTCATGGTGTGTGTGTGTGTGTGTGTGTCAAAAATAAATAAACATTTAAAAAAGGGGGGTGTATTTCATGCTGTGTGAGGTACACCTCAGTTAACAAATGCATTGCCAGAAAAAGGTGCAAAGTCTCCTTGCTGAATCAGATACTACAGTAGCAATTCTGAAGGGCAAATACTTTGGTGCCTACTCTGTGTACAAATGAGTTTAAACCATGAAGATTTCAGCAGTCATTTAGTGAACAGAGGTATGTTTCCTATACTGGGCAAGCTTAGAAGCTGCTTGTAAACTAGCAAACGCAGCTCAGAATCTCCACAGAGCTCAGACTGAAGGAGCCAAGCCTTCCAAAGACTTACTTGAACCCTGGTTCTGAATGTTCCTCCAGCCTTTTTTTTAATATATCCCTCAGCTTATAACTTTTCGGTGCGATAGCATTTTCCTCCTAAGAGCATTCATGCAGCCCATAAACATTGAGCACCTACGTTCACCAAGGACTGTTCTAGGTGCTGTTTTGTGACAAAGGCAAAGTCCCTATCCTGATGGGTTTTACTGTCTAGTAACTGAACACACGGGTGTACCTCGCGTCATTGGGCTTCACTTTACTGCACTTCTCAGGTATCGTGTTTTTTACAAATTGAAGGTTTGAGGAGTCCCCCCTCCCCATGGAACAAGTCTATTGGTACCATTTTTCCAACAGCATTTGCTCACTTCGTGTCTCTGTGTCACATTTTGATAGTTCTCGCAGTATTTCAAACTTTTCCATTATGATTACATCTGTTATGGTGATCTGTGATCAGTGATTATGAGCCACTGAAAGCTCAGGTGACGATTAGCATTTTTTTTTTGCTATAAAGTATTTTTTTACTTAAGGTTTGCACATTTTTTAATTTTACTTGATTGGTTGGCTTGTAAAAATATTTTTAATGCTTATTTATTTTTGAGAGAGAGAGAGTGTTAGCGGGGGAAGGACAGAGAGAGAAGGAGACACAGAATCCAAAGCAGGCTCCAGGCTCCAGACTCTGAGCCATCAGCCCAGACTCTGACATGGGGCTCAAACCCACGGACTGCAAGATCATGACCTGAGCCGAAGTTGGCTTAACCGACTGAGCCACCCAGGTGCCCTCAAAGTTTTTATTTTAATCCCAGTTAGTTAACATACAGTGTTATATTGATTTTAGGTGTACACGACAGTGATTCAACAATTCCATACTTCACCCGGTGGTCATGGGTTACATGGGTGATGGGGATTAAGGACGGCACTTGTGATGAGCACTGGGTGACGTAAAGCTCGTACATTTTTTAGACACACTATTGCACACTTCATAGACTACAGTACAGTGTAAACAAAAGTTTTATATGTACTGGGAAACCAAAAATATTATTTGAATAGCTTTACCATGATACTCACTTTACTACTGTGGTCTGGAACCGAACCTGCGAACCCACAAATGCCCTGGGACTCTTGTTAAAATGCAGATTTGGACTCAGAACCTCAAGAGTCTGCATTCCAAACAGACTTCCGGGTGATGCTGACGCTGCTGGTCCAAGGACCACACTTTTTTTTTTTTTTTTAATGTTTATTTATTTCTAGGAGACAGAGAGAGAGAGACAGCGTGAGCAGGGGAGGGTCAGAGAGGGAGTCACAGACTGAAACAGGCTCCAGGCTCTGAGCTGGCAGTCAGCACAGAGCCTGACGCGGGGCTCGAACCCACGAACCGTGAGATCATGACCTAAGCGAAAGTCGGACGCTTAACCAACTAAGCCACCCAGGCACCCCCCAAGGACCACACTTTTAAGTGCAAGGACGCGATGTGCATAAAAATAGCCTTTCAAGTCCACCTATGTTACAATTTTATTACACCTATATTTATAAAATTTCACCTCAGCCTTTCATTCTTTTCACCTTCTGGCTCATCTCTTTGCTTTATAGACAAATTTCTTGATTTAAAAAGGCCAGTTAGGGGCGCCTGGGTGGCTTAGTCAGTTAAGCGTCCGACTTTCACTTAGGTCATGATCTCACAGTTCGTGGGTTCGAGCCCCGCGTCGGGCTCTGTGCTGATAGCCAGCTCAGAGCCTGGAGCCTATTTCAGAGTCTGTGACTCCCTCTCTCTCTGACTCTCCCCTGCTCACGCTGTCTCTCTCTCTCTCCTAGAAATAAATAAAAATATTTAAAAAAATAAAAATAAAATAAAAGGGCCAGTTAGAATGTCTTGTCTTCTCTTCTTCTTCTTCTTCCACAAGGAAAGAAACTGCTAGAAGACATATTCCCATAAGGCTTTTTTTTTTAAAGCATATTTATTTATTTGGAGGGGGGAGAGGCAGAGAGACAGAATCCCAAACAGGCCCCTCACTGCAGAGCCTGATGGGGGCCGTGAACCCACAAACTTTGAGATCACGACCCGCGTGGAAGCGGAAAGTGTAACCGACTGGGCCACCCAGGTGCCCCTAGAATGTCTTTTGAGCTATAACAACTCCACCTTTTCTCAGCTTTGGCACCACTGACATCTGAGCCTGGGTTGTTCCTTACCGCAGTGTGGGAGGGGCTGTCCTGTGCATTCTAGAGTGCTGAGCAGCACCCCTGGCCCCACCCACTAGACACCAGTAGCATCCCTCAGTGGCAACGATCCAGATGTCTCTAGATGTCACCAAATGTCACTGGAAGTTCAAAGTCGCCCTACTGGAGAACCACTGTACTATTCCTAGGAAGCCTATCGCTTCCCTGTTGGTAAAAGACATTCAAGTAACTACCCTCATCTGGTGTTTACCAGGCACAGACATTGTTCTTCAAAGGTAGCATCTCTTATTCATTTAATCTTCCCCAAAACTCTATGGGGTCCTTTTACTGTCCTCAGCCTTAGGGGGGAAACCAAGGCACAGAGCAATCGAGTTATTTTCCCAAGTTCATGCAGCTGGTCAGTGGCAGAGACAGGATTCCAACCCAGTCCTCTGGCTGAAGATCCTGATTTCTCGTGCCTTCCACCTCCTCTCGGGGTGTGAGACCTATCAGATTGGATTTCTTTCTTATCCTTTGTGTCTTCAAAGCTGCAACATGTTGTTGAGAAATTCGAGTCATTTCTCACTAATGACACTGCGTGGGAAACGGGAGAGAAGAGAAAAGTCGCGACCTGGGCCACAACTGTGCTCCAGACTATAGAATCGAGTGCTCTAGAAACTGCCTTGAAAGCCCCAGACCAAGAAAGCCAGAAAATTCACAACAGTACTGTGGGTAAGAACGATCTGGCCTGATATGCACAGGGGATATTATGAGCTGGAGTCTGGGTTACACAATTAGAAAAATAAATAAACACACTGCATGAGTCCATTTATATAGAATTCTAGAAAATACAATCTAATCTATAGTGACAGGAGAGGGGGGAGAGAGGAGTAAAAGAGCATGAGACAATTTAAGGAGATTGTTGGGGATGGGACACATGTTCAGTACCTCAGTTGTGGTGTTAGTATCACAGGTATATGCCATGTACACACACAGGCATATACACACTCTGTAAAACTAGTCAGACTGTACACTTATTTTTTCATAAATTTTTTTTACATTTATTTATTTTTGAGACACCAAGTGAGGCAGAGTGTGAGCAGCGGAGGGGCATAGAGAGATGGAGACACAAAATCCGAAGCAGGCTCCAGCCTCTGAGCTGTCAGCACAGAGCCCGATGTGGGGCTTGAACCCACAAACTGTGAGATCATGACCTGAGCCGAAGTCAGACACTTAACCAACTGAGCCACCCAGGTGCCCCAATTGTACACTGTTTTATACGCAGTTTATTGTACATTAATCACACCTCCAAAGAGCTGTTAAAGAAAAAGAAAAGTAAAAAAAAGAAAACAAAAGAGAAAAGAAAAGAAAAGATGGTCAGTTGTTTCCAATCCTGAGTCTAGGATTTTGGCTTAAAGTAGTGTTTTTTCTTTAAGTTTGTTTATTTATTTTGAGAGAGAGAACACGCACATGCACGAGCAGCGGAGGGGCAGAGAAAAAGGTAGAGAGAGAGAATCCCAAGCAGGCCCCACGCTAACAGTGTGGAGCCCAACGTGGGGCTCGAACTCACGAACCTGTGAGATCATGACCTGAGCCAGAACCAAAAGTCAGACAGTTAGCCTACTGAGCCACCTAGGCACCCTTAAGATTTTATTTTTAAGTATTCCCTATGCCCAATGTGGAATTCGGACTGAGTCTCAGATCATGAGTCACATGCTCCCCTGACTGAGCCAGCCAGGCACCCCAAAAAGTAGCGTGATTTTAATGCAATGTCTAATACCTACTGGCACATGTCACAGTCATGATTTGTATGGCATCCCAGAAGGAACGGCCTAGTACATATTTTTAAAATAAAAATGCTTTTATCACACTTGTCATCCATATGTATAATATAACCAGGTGAGGAGATGATATTGTTAAATAGCTTGACTTTAGTAATCATTTCACTATTTTAAAAAGTGGTTTATCTATACCATGGAATACTACATGGCAATGAGAAAGAATGACATCTGGCCATGTGTAGCAACATGGATGGACCTTGAGGGTGTTATGCTGAGCGAAATAAGTAAGGCAGAGAAGGACAGATACCATATGTTTGCACGTATAGGAGGATTAAGAGGAACTTAACAGAGGACCATGGGGGAGAAGAAGAGGAAAAATAGTGGGGGAGAGGGAGGGAGGCAAACCATGAGAGACTCTTGAATGCCGAGAACAAACTTGAGGGCTGACGGGGGGAGGGGGAGGGGAAGGGGGGTGATGGGCATGGAGGAGGACACTTGTGGGGATGAGCACTGGGTGTTGTAAGGAAACCAACTTGACAATAAACTATTTAAAAAAACACAAAGGTAAATAAAATACCATAGCAAAACCAAGTATTAAATTAAAAAAAAAAGAAAAACACATAAACAAAACTAAATTTAGACTAGCCAAATCTGCCCACAGCCCAGTCTTCCAATCCCATAGCCACATAGGTACATGTTTGATGAAGGAACGTATTTGCTGGGTATGCGATATTGTACATACAGTTTTCACTTATGACATCACCAATATATTTCCATATAAATTGTATACAGCATCATTACTTACATTACTGTCTTCAATGGTTTGCCAAATTGCATTACATATAATTTATTTGTACTATATTTATTTCCCTATTCTGGGAAATGTAGTTTGTTGCCAAATACCCTCAGAAAAAGACCATTGAAAATTTGACTGTGTACATTTGTTTGATATATTCTTAGGATAAATTGATAGAGGAAGAATCATTAGGTCAAGGAGAAAAGAAGCACTTTATAGACTTTGTTACATATAACCATATTGGCATCCAGAAATGCTGTTTGCTGTGTTTTTTATTATTTTTTTAATGTTTATTTACTTTTGAGAAAGAGAGAGAGAGAATGTGAGCAGGCAAGGAGCAGAGAGAGGGAGACACAGAATCCAAAGCAGGCTCCAGGCTCTGAGCTGTCAGCACAGAGCCCAGTGCGGGGCTCAAACTCATGAACTGCGAGATCATGACCTGAGCCCAAGTAGGATACTTAACTGACTGAGCCACCCAGGCACCCCCATTTGCTGTGTTTTTATTCACCTCAGGGATATCAAAGAATTTGTGTATGCCTACCTAAAGATTTTATTTTACCAATTTTCATGATGAGATAGTTTATGTTCCATAATAATAATAATAATAATAATTTTTAATATAAAATAAAATCCAATGTCTTACCTTCTTGGGAAACAGAAATCGGGATTCATTTATTAATTTATTTGTTCATTCATTCACTCACTCATTCATTTCATTCAAAATTAAACCGTTTTTCAGATTACAAGTAGCTCTCACCTTTCCTGATCTGGCCAGGTCCTAACTGATGGGAAACAAGTGTCCTCACCTCAGTGGGCTTCATTCCCCTCATCTGTGAGTGGGGATAATACCATGAATGGGGAGATACAGGAAGAACCTGACTGTACCCATCACCCAGCTTCAACAGTTTCCAACCCACAACCAGCCTCCAACCATCTGCTACTGGTTAAGTTAAATATTTCCACGAGCTATTTTCATTGGAAGCCTGGCTCCCCATGATAGAGATAAGCCATCAATTATTGAATCAGTTCCTCCTTGTTGAACATTTAGATCATTTCCTATTTTCCACATGATCACCTATGCTGCTGTGAACTTTCTCATCACTAAATCTGCCCTCCCATCCATGTTGTTTTCTGAGAATAAAATTCCTAGGAACAGAATTGTTGCTTCAAAGATGATTGCTAGAGAGTGTTAATTAAGAACTTATATTTCAGGGGGCGCCTGGGTGGCTCAGTCAGTTAAGCGTCCCACTTTGGCTCAGGTCATGATCTTACAGATTGTAAGTTCAAGCCCCCATGAGCCTGCTTCAAATTCTGTGTCTCCCTCTCTTTCTCTGCCCCTCCCCTGCTCATGTTCTGTCTCTCCCTCTCTCCCTCTCTCTCTCTCAGAAATAAACATTAAAAAAAACAACAACAACCTTGTATTTCAGGAGTTAAGGAGTTAACTTCTTAACTTCAGTTTCCTCCTTTGGATAATGTCCCTCATGGGGTTATATGACAATGTACAGTGCCTGGAACATTCTAGACATTCAGTAAATGTGACCTATTCATGTTGCTGTTCACATTTTTAAAGCTTATAATAATGATAAACCTGCCTGTTATTTTTCTCACCAGCTATTGAAACCCTAGTTGTTACAAACAATTGCTCTGAAGGAGGAAAGGTCTTCAGCCTGAACACCTACATGAACTCAATGGACATCCATTGCAATGACGTCGTGCAGGAAAACATGCCAGGTACGTGGAATGGCTGCGGTCAAAACCTCTAGGACACACAGATCAGCATTATTGTGTGAGTCCTTTGGAGATTTGCCAATAAGCTCTTTCCTAATTGGTTTGTTACCCTAAGACTGTGTCATTTGAGCCTTTTCCTTTAAAAACAAACAAACAAACAACTTCCCAAAGTGGAGGCTTTCTATTCCTCAGCACGGAAGACATCTCTCTACAATTTGGAAGCTTTTCTGTCCAGGTCTCAGACAGGGTAGGAAGCATCAGGAGGTGAATTAGTCATGATTCTCCAGAGAAAGAGAATCGGTAGGATGTACATGTGGGGAGAGAGAGAAACAGAGATTTTTAAGAAATAGGCTCATATGATTATGGAGGGTAGCAAGTCTAAAATCTAGACAGCAGGCTGGAGACCCAGGGAAGAGTTAATGTGGTCGCTGTAGACCAAAACAGTCTAGAGACAGAATACATTTTTGTTGGGGAGAAGTCATTCTTTTTCGTAAGGCCTTTAGTTGATTGGATGATAGGGGGTAATCTACTTTACTCAAAGTCTACTGACTTAAATGTTATCATCCTCTAAAATATACCCTTATAGCAACACCCAGACTCACATTTGGACCCAATATCTAGGTAGCATGGCCTACCCACATGGACACAAGATTAACCATCCCATACAAGAGTGCTGATGCATAGGGGCACACGTACTCCAATGTTCATAGCAGCACTCTCAACAATAGCCAAAACAGGGAAAGAGCCTAAGTGTCCATCAACGGACAAAAGGATCAAGAAGATGTGGTTTATCTATACCATGGAATACTACATGGCAATGAAAAAGAATGAAATCTGGCCATGTGTAGCAGCATGGATGGAACTAGAGGGTGTTATGCTGAACGAAATAAGTCAGGCAGAGAAGGACAGATACCATATGTTTGCACATATAGGTAGATTAGGAGGAACTTAATGGAGGACCGTGGGGGAGAAGGAGGGGAAAAATAGTTGGGGTCAGGGAGGGAGGCAAACCATAAGAGACTCTTGAATGCTGAGAACAAACCGAGGGTGGATGGGGGTGGGGGAGAAGGGAAGGGGGGTGATGGGCATGGGGGAGGGCCGGTCGGGATGAACACTGGGTGTTATATGGAAACCAGCTTGACAATAAACTATTTAAGAAAATAAATAAATAAATAACCATCCCAGTAGGGGAGAGAAGAAATGAGAGAGACAAGAGAGGGCAGCCAATACTGGTATTATTACACTAGTGAGCAGATTACTACAGGTGGTAACTGTGACCCACCCTACTGAGCTCTCCCATTCAAGGAGAAAGAGCTGTTCTGATCCATCTCAGGCTGAGGGTCCTTCTAGGAGGATTGACTCCCAGGCCTTTCCATTCTGCCCTGTGTACAAATCAAATGCATTCCCTACAGGGAATGCCCCCAGGCAGAGAGTTACAGTTGCTTACAATAGAACCCAGCAGTATAGAAGAAACCTGGGGCGCCCGGGTGGCTCAGTGAGTTAAGCATCTGACTCTTGATTCAGCTCAGGTCATGATCCCAGGGTCATGGGATTGAGCCCTGGATCAGGCTCTATGCTAAGTGTGGAGCCTGCTTGGGATTCTCTCCTTCCCTCTCTCTCTGCCCCCTCCCCTGCTCATGCTCACTCTCGCTCTCTCTCTCTCAAAATAAATAAACCATAAAAAAAAAAAAAAAGAAACCCAAGAGTGCCAAGGGAATAGTCAAGGCACCTACAACATCTACTACACCCTGTGTACAAAGGAATAGATTGTTAAACTATTAAGTGTCCCAGTGTTGCCAGACTTTGTGGTTTTTCAAGAGAAACCAAAAATCAGGTCGGTTGCATGAATACCTTCCATTTTTTTTAATGTTTATTTTTTGAGACAGGCAGAGCACGAGCAGGGGAGGGGCAGAGAGAGGGGGAGACCCAGAATCCAAAGCAGGTTCTGGGCTCCGAGCTATCAGCACAGAACCTGATGCGGAGCCCAAACTCACAACCCATGAGATCATGACCTGAGCGCGAGTCAGATGCTTAACCAGCTGAGCCACCCAGGCGCCCCGACTACCTTCAATTTTCAAATTTGGTCTGACAATAGCTGCTATATCTTTATAACTAGTGTAACATGATAAACAGAGTCTTAAAATCCAATCCTGGGGCGCCTGGGTGGCTTAGTCGGTTAAGTGTCCGACTTTCGCTCAGGTCATGATCTCGCGGTTTGTGGGTTCGGGCCCCGCGTCGGGCTCTGTGCTGACTGCCAGCTCAGAGCCTGGAGCCTGTTTCAGTCTGTGACTCCCTCTCTCTGACCCTCCCCTGCTCACGCTGTCTCTCTCTCTGTCTCCTAGAAATAAATAAAACATTTTTTAAAAAATCCAATCCTGTAAATGTGGGCGCAGCTGGCCTGTGCTATCAGTAAAAGTCCCAAAGCAAAGAGAACAAAACATGGACAGCGAACCACATGCCGAACTGAGGAAGTGAGGCAATTCGTTCCTATTACTCCTCTCCTCCCCCAAGAAGATAAGGACTTGAATCTGCCCCGTTTGAGAACGGGGCAGGCGGGGGATGGAAGCCAACCTCCAACCACGTAATCCACACCGGCGTTGTCACCAGGTTCTCCTGAAACTCAGGATTTGTGGAGGGTGTGCAAGACTCACAGTGCAGGCCAAACAAACACATGCCCGGGACTCTTTACCCTCCCCCAACGACGCCCCGTAGTCTCACCTCTGAACATTTGCATGGGCTGTTCCTCTGCCAGGAATCCCAACCACCACTCCACTGGGTGAACTGTTCCTCTTCAACGCAGCTCAGCCCTCACCTCCTCCGTGAGGCCTCCCAGGACTGCCCGCTTCCAGCACGGCACCAAAGTCCCACCCTCCCTCCTCTACGTTCCCCCAGCATCTCGAACCTACCTTATCCTGGCATCTGACACGTTGTGTTCTGTCTTGATTGACGTCTTTGTGCTGGTATCCCCACAAGGACCGGAACCATGAAGGACTTCTCCCTACCGTCACCATTAGGGGCACATTACCTGGAGGACAGTGACAAATGTTCCCTGAATTAAATCCACAGTTAGGGCGATGCCTCAACGTTCGCAACGACAGAAATGAGCCCATTGACAGATGTGTGACAAGCTCATAGAGGGCTGTGTCTCTGTCCCTCAGGCTCTGTCTAGCGCAGGATCCTTGTCTGTCATGCGGGCCATCCTGCGCCCACTAGGCGTCAGTAGCAAACACCCAGGCAACAACCAAAAATGCCTCCAGACATTGCCCAGTGTCCCCAGAGGGGACGGAATTGCGACCCCTCCCCCCCAACTGAGACATGCTCATCTAGGCGACCTTATAAATGACCTTCAAAGAGCAACAACTTTAAGATTCAAAGGAGATGTTATCCAATCACCGGGAGACACCCATCGGTGGTGACCCGGGACGGTCCCAGGCAATTCGAGACAATCACATGACCCCACCCCCCTGTAAAACATCTCAGAGAGCAAACCCAGGCCACAGAGGCTGACCTTGGAAAAGTAAAGCCACCCTTCTCTTTTCTGCTCGTGATTTTGCCCGTAACCAGAATACCCCTGCCTAAAAATAAGCTATTTCTAAGCATCAGAGCAGGTGAACACATCACCTGCCTGTCTTTTCCAGCCCACCTACCACTGTTTCATTCTGACAAATGGAAACACTCATGAACTCAGAGAAATAGAAGTGAATTGTTTCCGATCCCTCAGGCCAGACCAGAGAAGCCTGAGTCGAGAAGCCTATGAGGAATTTATTCTAACAAGATTTTTTTTTTTTTAACTGCAGAGCTGGTAAGAAAGGCAAAGCTGGGCTTTTAATCCAGGAACCTATTAACCTAAAAGATAAATATGTTTTCTCCTTTTATATAAACAAGAGAAAGTTATTTTCTCGCAACCCTGGAGGCCCAGACACAGGCAGGTGGGTTTCTTCTGGAGCCTTCCTCCTCAGCAGATGGCCAAATTCTCCCTGTGTCTTCACCTGATCTTTTCTCTGTGAGTGTGCATCCCCGGTCTCTCTTTCCGTGTCCAGATTTCTTCTTTATTCTTCAGTGCGGCTCAGCTCTCACCCCCTCCGTGATGCCTCCCAGGACTGCCTGTTTCCATCACAGCACTGAAGTCAGGCGCTCCCTCCTCGGGCCCTGTCTTCAAACAATCACATTCTGAAGGACATCAACTTAATAAACTATGAGGGGGGACACAGTATGGCCCATACCAGTGTCCTATTGACATATGTCATGTGCAAGTCCTTCTACTATATAATAAAGTTATAAATACATGATACGAATATGTCCTGAATATGTCATTTTTGATATATGACTATATCGTGTGCATAGATATTTTTAGCCTATTAATAAAGTATGTTAAATTATGCCATTCCTTTGCTTAACATCCTTCAGTGCCTTTCCACTAACTTCAAATAAAAACCTTTTTTTAAGGTTTTTTATTTCTGAGAGAGAGAGACAGAGAGACGGTGTGAGCAGGGAAGGGGCAGAGAGAGAGGTAGACACAGAATCCCAAGCAGGCTCTAGGCTCTGAGCTGTCAGCACAGAGCCTGACACAGGGCTCAAACCCATGAACTGTAAGATCATGACCTGAGCCACAGTTGGTCGCTCAGCTGACTGAGCCCCCCCAGGCGCCCCTATTATGAGTTCTGTCTACACTATTTCTAGATCTGGTTTACATACATAATATATGGAAGGAGATGATTACATTCATCCATAGAAAGAAATAGACATACGTGTAACCCAACTGTTAACGAATTTCCTTAAGTCCAGTCTCAACATTATTCTTCATCCAAAGGGAATGCAAAACCAATTCTAAAAGTCTTGAAAAATAAGTCAGTCTTTCCAGAAGTCTCCAGGAGGCAGCGGAGGAAGTGGATAGCATCACATAAGACCTACCTAACTTGCTGAGTTTCCTTTTTGAGGACTGACCCACCTCTCTCCACTCCTCCTCCCTTAAAATCCCATCAGCCTCCTCTTTGCCCTCACCCCAACTTTTATATCATTTTCTCCGAAGGCCGGAAGTGTCCTTTCTTATCCAAATCAGCTTAACCTCTCTTGATCCATCCAGTTCTTCCCCCAAGTTTCCCCCTATTCGGTACAAAAAAAGGGTCCAGGGCCAAAACCACAAAGTCTGTCTCAGAAAGGAAAAAGGGAGAGACAGTGAGAATCTCTATTTCATCTGCCCCTCGTGTACGTGACTGTGCGTGCACACATATACACGTGTGCACGCATAGTAGGTGTGGGGAAGGGACTGAGGCATTTTTTTAAGACTCTCATTTTTCTGTTTTTCAGGTCCCACTGCAATTGCCTTTATTTCATACTCTTCTCTTGGAAACATCATAAATGCAACATTTTTTGAAGAGGCAAAGGACAAAGACCGAGTTTACCTGAACTCTCAGGTAGTGAGTGCCGCCATCGGGCCTGAAAGGAATACATCTCTCTCCAAGTCTGTGATTCTGAATTTTCAGCACGTGAAGGTGGGTCAGAGCTGCGCTTTGAGCGTTCTTAGGTTGGACATGGACCCAACAATGTGCGTTTCCTCTCCAGTCTGTGCTTCTGGAACGTGCTGTTGAATACTGTGACCAGGGGCCTCAAGTAGCTATGGAGCCCTTGAAATGTGGTGGGCTCAAATTGAGACTTTGAAGATGTAGTGTTTCTAGATTTACACTCAGTATTTCCAGATTTTGAACCATCATAAGAAAAACACCATGCAGAGTAACTCATGAATAATTTTTAAGGGGCTCCTGGCTGATTCAGTCCGTGGAGCATGTGCCTCTTGATCTCGGGGTTGTGAGTTTGAACCCCACATTCAGGGTAGAGATGACCTGAGCCATGAGATGAGCCTGATACAGGGCTTGAGCCCACAAACTGCGAGATCATGACCTGAGCCGAAGTCAGACACTTAACCGACTGAGCCACCCAGGAGCCTCTCTCTGCCCAAAGTTTTGTTTATTTTTTTAAATATTTATTTATTTTTGAGAGAAAGAGAGAGAGAGAGAGAGACAGAGTATGAATGGGAGAAGGGCAGAGAGAGGGGGAGACACAGAATCTGAAACACACTTCAGGCTCTGAGCTGGCAGCACAGAGCCTGACGCAGGACTCGAACCCATGGACCATGAGAACATGACCTGAGCCGAAGTCAGACACTTAACTGACTAAGCCACCCAGGCGCCCCTCTGCCCAAACTTTTAAAGGAAGCAGGATCCAGGGGCACCTGCTTAGTCAGTTAAGTATCTGACTCTTGAGCTCAGCTCAGGTCTTGATCTCGGGGTTGTGGGTTTAAGCCCTATATTAGGCTCCACACTGGGTGTTAAGTCTACTTAAAAAGGAAGTGGGGAGGGGCCCCTGGGTAGCTCAGTCGGTTAAGTGTCCGACTTCGGCTCAGGTCATGATCTCACAGTTCGTGGGTTCGAGCTCCACGTCGGGCTCTGTGCTGACAGCTCAGAGCCTGGAGCCTGTTTCAGATTCTGTGCCTCCCTCTCTCTCTGACCTTCCCCTGCTCATGCTGTCTGTCTCTCTCAGAAATTAAAAAAAAAATTAACAAAAACAAAAAGAAAGTAAGAGTTGAAAGAAATCTCACCATTTGCAACAACATGGATGGACCTTGAGGGCATTATACTAAGTAAAATAAGTCAGAGAAAGACAAATATTCTACGATCTCACTGATTCACAGAATCTTAAAAAGACGCTGAGCTCATAGACACACAGAGACTGTACTTTTGGTTACCAGGGGTGGGGAATGGGAGAAATACATGCAGGAAATCAAAGGTACAAACTTCCAGTTACCAGAAGAATAACTTCAGAGGACATAATATACATCATCGTGGCTCCAGTTAACCAAACTATGCTGCATATTTGAAAGCTGCTAAGAGAGTAGATTTTAAGTCCTCACTACGAAGTAAAAATTGCAACTACGTGAGACGGTGAATATTAACTTTACTTTGTAATGTATGCATAGATCAAATAATTATGTTGAATACCTTACGCTTACATAATTTCTATGTCAATTATGTCTCAAGAAAGCTGGAAAAATAAATAAAATTATTTTTTACTTTTAAAGAAAATCAGAACTGAGGGGCAGAAAGTGGGGATGTGCAGGTTTTCTCTATCTGAGGCACAAAATCTAAGTGTGGAAGTTTTTATATGTGGCATGGGGCAGCGGGAGTGGAGCAAGAAATCTGGAGATGGTCTAGTGGAAAGGAGATATGCCCCCCCCCCCAAACAGGAGAGCATGTGGCTCATTGCCTTGGCCCCATGAAGTGAGGCTCTGGAAACCCTTAGGACAAAAAGAAGAGGTTGAAGGCTGATTCCATTCTCTGTCTCCGGGAGACACTTCTTTCCTAAACTTCCCCTCTCATTGCATGAGTAATTATTGTTTTGTAAGGCACCAGGGACAGAATTGGTGTGAAGAAATCAGGAAAATTTGTCTTAGTGAGTGTTTAAGAGAAAACTCATGAGCCACAGATATTTTATTTTATTTATTTTATTTTAAAGTTTATATATTTATTCTGAGAGAAGGAGAAAGGGAGAAAGGGAGTTGGGTAGGGGCAGAGAGAGAGGGACAGAGAGAATCCCAAGCAGGCTCTGCATTGTCAGCATGGAGCCCAACGTGGGGCTCAAACTCACCAACTGCCAGATCATGACCCGAGATCAAGAGTCAAACATTTAACCAACTGAGCCATCCAGGCACCCCTATTTTATTTACTTCTTTTTTTTTTTTTGTCTGACTTCCCTGGTGGCAGATTTTTTTTTAATATTGACTTATTTTTGAGAGAGAGACAGAGACATAGAGTGCAAGCAAGGGAGGGGCAGAGAGAGAGGGAGACACAGAATCTGAAGCAGGCTCCAGGCTCCGAGCTGTCAGCACAGAGCCCGATGCGGGGCTTGAACCCACGAACCGTGAGATCATGACCTGAGCCGAAGTCAGACGCCCAACTGACTAAACCCAGGTGCTCCCCTGGTGGCAGGTAAAGCCCTGAAACCAATGACATCCTGTAAAATTCTGGCTCCCAGAGAGTCTGGATCGTGTTTCATGTTATGTGGACTCGCAATAGAGCTGGGACTACGGGAGCAGGTGTCCTGGCAGCCATCCTCTTCAGTTAAAATAAAAATCCCCGAGACATTGGAAAACAGTGTGGAGGTTCCTCAAAAAATTAACACTAGAACTCCCCTAGGACCCAGCAATAGCACTGCTAGGAATTTACCCAAGGGATACAGGAGTGCTGATGCACAGGGGCACATGAACCCCAATGATCATAGCAGCACTCTAAACAATAGCAAAAACATGGAAAGAGCCTAAGTGTCCATCAACGGACGAATGGATCAAGAAGATGTGGTTCATCTACACAATGGAATACTATATGGCAATGAGAAAGGATGAAATCTGGCCATGTGTAGCAACATGGATGGACCTTGAGGGTGTTATGCTGAGCGAAATAAGTCAGGCAGAGAAGGACAGATACCATATGTTTGCACGTATAGGAGGATTAGGAGGAACTTAACGGAGGACCGTGGGGGAGAAGAAGGTGGGAAATGGGGGGGAGAGGGAGGGAGGCAAACCATGAGAGACTCTTGAATGCTGAGAACAAACTGAGGGCTGACAGGGGTGAGGGGGAGGGGAAGGGGAATGATGGGCATGGAGGAGGGCACTTGTGGGGATGAGCACTGGGTGTTATATGGAAACCAACTTGACAATAAACTATTTTTTTATAAAAATCCCTGAGTCACTTCTGAGCCATGTGTCTATTCTCTTGGCCCCTGGTGTAGACTGACGCTACGTTGGGGGTTGTGCCCCCCAAGGAAGAACATCATGAGCCCCTTTTACTTTCAGATGAAGCTCAGTAGCGAAATGGCGGTCTGCGTCTACTGGAAAAGCACGAAGGAGGGCGGCCAGTGGTCCAGCGATGGCTGCTTCCTGGTCCAAGCAAACCAAAGTCACACCATATGCCGCTCCACCCACCTGTCCAGTTTTGCTGTCCTCATGGCCCTAACCAACCAGGTACAACGTGTGCCCCTAATTCCTCCAGCTAGACCTGTGGGGGCCCCTCAGCAGGGATGATAAATACGCTTTAAAAAATGGGAACAATAGGGGCGCCTGGGTGGCTCTGTCGGTTAAGTGTCCGACTTCAACCAAGTCGTGATCTTACGGTTGGTTCAATCCCCGCGTCGGGCTCTGTGCTGACAGCTCGGAGCCTGGAGCCTGCTTCACATTCTGTGTCTCCCCCTCTCTCTCTGCCCCTCCCCTGCTCATGCTCTGTCTCTCTCTCTCAAAAATAAATATTTTTTTAAAAAATTAATGGGAAAAATAAACTCAAGTGGTTGAAGTAAGCGATTGCAGCACAGAAAGGTCAGGGTGGCCTCTCCAAGAATTCAGTGTTTGAGCTGAAATCTGAATATTGAGTCTGTGGTGCTGTTATGTGGGCGAGCCTCAAAAACATCGCACTGAATGAAAGAGGTCAGACACAAAGGGCTGCCTGTTGTTATGATTCCACACCAAGAAGTGGGGGTAAGTGTTCTGTGGGCATAGGGATTTCATTAGGGGCTGGTGAGAATGTCTTGGTCCTAGACACAGGCAGTGGGTGCATAGCACTGAGAATGTGCCGAACACCACTGAATTGTATGCTTTAAATGGTTAATTTTATATTGTTTGGATCTTACCTCAATTTAGAAAAAAAAAAAAGGCTAGTAGGAAAAGTCCTCGGAAAAAAGCATCCCAGAAGAGCTGTGTGTATGTGTAAAGTTCCTGAAGAGACAGCAAACGTAGTGTCTTCCAGAAAGAAGCGTGGCTGAAGCAGAGTGAACGACGGACAAGTGGGAGATGATGATGGGAGCAGAGAAAATGTGTCAGACCCCCCAAGGCCATGGGCAGAATTTAGATTTCATTTGAGCTGCAGTGGGAAGGCAATGGAGGGTCTGCCTCAGAGATGCTGCGTATTATATCACTAGAACATTCCTCTGGCTCCCAGCTTGGCAATGGACGGTGACACAGCAATGGTGGGCTCGCAGAGAGAGGACAGTGGCCAGGATTTGGGCGGCAGAAGTAGAGGTGGTGAAAGAAAGTCAGACTGGACACATGTCCCCAAGGCAGGGGCAGAGGAGTCACCAATAACGTAGGCTGGGTGACAGTCCCCAGGAAGTCCTGATCCCAGCCCTCCTCTCAGAGATGGAGGTAGTACCTCCGGAATAACGCCTGGTGGGAATCTCTGACCTCTCCTACTTACAGACGGCAGAAGGCAAGGTAAAATATGTTTGAAAACATAAAAGATGTCTTTCATCCATCATGACATCTATGAGTTGGACAGAGTCCACTTACTTTCAGTTCTATATAGTATCCTCCTGCATGGCTGTTCTAGAACTGAGTTATCCATTCTAGTAGTTAATGCATCCCGAGGCTTTCCCCATTGGGGGCCATTAAAAGCAATGCTTCTCTGGGATGAGACATAAGAAATCCCATGTGGGATCCTCCACAGGGATGAGGAAGCAACATACTCCAGATGGTGAAGCCCCTGTAATAGTTTTCTGAGTGAAGGGGTGGAGCAGAATGTGGCCTCATCTATTCAAAGTTTAAAAACAGACACAACTTGGGGCTCCTGGGTGGCTCAGTCAGTTAAGCATCTGAATTCAGCTAAGGTCATGATCTCACGATGAGATCGAGCCCCACGTCGGGCTCTGTGCTGACAGCTCAGAGCCTGAAGCTTGTTTTGGATTCTGTGTCTCCTACTCTCTCTGCACCCCCTTCTCAAAAATAAATAAACATTTTTTAAAAGTTTTTAAACCAGACACAACTAGGGCACCTGGGTGGCTTAGTCCGTTCATCATCCAACTCTTGATTTTAGCTCCCATCATGATATTGTGGTTTGTGAGTTCAAGCCCCACATCAGGCTCTGCACTGGCAGTGCTTGGGAGTCTCTCTCTCTCTGTCCCCTCCACCTCCTCCTCTCCTGCTTGCACTCTCTCTCAATATAAATAAACTTCAAAAATCTAAAAACAGAGACACCTGGGTGGCTCAGTCAGTTGAGCATCTGACTTCAGCTCATGTCATGTCATGGTTTGTGGGTTCAAGCCTTGAGTCAGGCTCTGTGCTGACACCTTGCTCAGAGCCTGGAGCCTGCTTCAAATTCTGTCTCCTCTCTCTGCCCCTCACCCATTCATGCTCTGTCTCTCTGTCTCTCAATAATGAATAAATGTAACAAAAAATTTTTCTAAATAAAAAAATAGAAGCGTCTGGATGGCTTAGTTGGTTAAGTGTTTGACTTCAGCTCAGGTCATGATCTCACAGCTTTTGAGTTCAAGCCCCGCGTTGGGCTCTGTGCCGACAGCTAGCTCAGAGCCTGGAGCCTGGTTCAGATTCTGTGGCTTCCTCTCTCTCTGCCTCTCCCCTGCTCATGCTCTGTCTCCCTCTCTCAAAGATAAAGATTTAAAAGAATTTAAAGAAAAGAAAATAAGCAAATAAATTAAAAAATCTAAAAGCAGACACAACTAAACCATATTCTCAGGAGTTGCATCCTTAGGTGGTAAAACTATAAAAATAAGCAGGAATTGTTTATCATAAAAGGATCATGGTTACCTCCGGGGGAGAAGGTGGTTTGCAATTGTAAAGAGCTTCTGGGATAATGTGTACAGGCCAGTTGAAGAGCTCACCAATCATTTAATAATTATGAGTCATATGATACATTTATGTGTGTGCTCTTTTCTATGTGCGTTATATTTCACAATTTTTTAAGGTTAAAAAAACAAAGGATTAAAAAGTTCTATAAAGTGACTTTGAAATAAGTGAAGATCCCCCTATGATTATAAGAGACGGCAACTATCATTTCCCACTGTGAGTCTTGCCGAGTCTGCCTGACTCACCAGACTCCTGGCTTCTGTCTTTAAGGAGACGCATCCCCAAGAGCTGAATTATACAGATGTCTTAGTTTGGAATCTCCTGTAAGCAGAGCCGGAGACAAAAATTTGAGGGCAACTAGTTTCTCTGGGAGGTGACCCCAAGACACATGAGTAGGACAGTAGGGAGGTGAGACAGAAGAGAAGGAAGCCACTGAAGGATGTGTTAAAGAGAAAGATGCTGGGGTCCCCCGGGTGGCTCAGTCAATTAAACATCGGTTCGATTTTTGCTCAGGTCATGATCTCAGGGTCGTGAGACCGAATCCCACTAGACAGACAGCCTACTTAGGATTCTCTCTCTCCCTCTCCCTGTGCTCCTTCCTTCCCTCTAAAGGAGAGAGAAAGAGAGAGAGAGAGAGAGAATTACCAACCTGGACAAGTGGGACTCAATCCCATTGGGTACTTCCGAGAGATATAGAACGTGCTTCTCAGAGCCTTCCCACATAAAGGTGTGGGAGCTGGGATATTTATCGACCAATGCTATAATTTCTATTGTTTGAGGGCAGCTTTAAGAGGCATTAACATCACGGTACTTGTGACCCCTCTGGCGTGTTCCAAGCATGCTCATGTAGCAGAAGAAATAGTCTCAGGCAGGGTCACTGGATTTCACAGAAAGCAGCCAAAGGGCAGGCACCAGAGAGTGGGAAGCACCTCTGCTACCCAGGGCTTCCTTCATCCCTTGGTGCACGATGTAGCCTAGCATCCATTTCAATGTGAATCTGCTGTATAACAGATGGTTAATACAGTCTTCTTCACTTGAAAACTTATCAGGAGAGTAGATCTCGTGTTGTTTCTTACCACAGAAAGAAGAAAGCAAGGGGACACAAGATCTTGGGGGTGATGGATATGTTTATTACCTTGACTGTGGTGACGGCATCATAGATCTGTGCCTATGCCCAAACTCATCAAAATGTGTGCATTCAATATGTGCAATATTTTGTATGTTAGGCACCTCAGTAAAGCTGGGAAGAAAAAGACTTAGTCTGGCAGACACTTCTTAAACTCTCCATCATCTGGCTTCATGCCTATGTTTGGGATGCCACATTCCAAAGGTGGGGGGGAATTAATCCTGAAGACTGACTGTGATGTCCTCCTTGGTGGGTCCCAGGAGGAGGATCCCGTGCTGGTCGTGATCACCTACGTGGGGCTGGTCCTTTCTCTGCTGTGTCTCCTCCTGGCAGCCCTCACCTTCCTGCTGTGCAAAGCCATCCAGAACATCAGCACCTTGTTGCACCTGCAGCTCTCAGTCTGCCTCTTCCTGGCCCACCTGCTCTTCCTCACGGCCATCAACCAGACCAAGATCAAGGTACTGACACTGACACAGAAGACCCCCCGCCCCAAGCCATGGGGTGCTCAGTTCATGGCGCCATTATTGCACTGATACCTTAATACAATATCCTTGGGCCCCAGGAGGTTGGAGAGGTAATAGTCTATTTAGACAATCTTCTCTCAACAGCTCCACCATATATATAAGAGTTCTCCCTGATGGCAAGGTATGGGAGAGGTCCTGGGGCCACCCTCCTCCCCAGCAGTCCCTCCTGGTGACTCCTTTCTCCTCCCCCAGGTGCTGTGCGCCATCATCGCGGGTGCCTTACACTATCTCTACCTGGCCTCCTTCACCTGGATGCTGTTGGAGGGTCTCCACCTCTTCCTCACTGCACGCAACCTGACGGTGGTCAACTACTCCAGCGTGAACAGGTTCATGAAGAGGCTCATGTTCCCTGTGGGCTATGGAGTCCCGGCTCTAATTGTGGCCATTTCCGCTGCAACCAGACCTTACCTTTATGGAACACCTACTCGGTGAGCTCACCTCTCAGCCTGTTCTGTGGACAGTTTTGAGGGCAGTGTTAACAATGCTGATTCGGATATGCATGTCGAACACACTCTCCTTTCCCCTTGGCTAGAACAGCTCTAACCTTCTTCCTGGTGAGACTGAGAAAGATGACAATAAGAGTGTGGAAGGTTCTGGAAGGAGGGCATTTTGTGGTTAGGCCCCAGCTTCATCTTTCCTGTAATTTGGGACCTCGAGTCCTCAGGTCTCAGTCATTAGTGAAATAGGGATAATGGTTGTCCCTGAAGCCCCACCCTCACACTGCTGGTCTAAAACCTCAACAGGACATTATAAAATGTTTGATGTTAGGTTAACATGCGGTAGTGAGCAATCAAAGCCTTCGTGTCATCAGCTGCCCTTCTCAGGTGATGTTGGAAAAGTGTTAGGAAAAGGTGTTTGTTTCATGCGCTTTCTCTGATCTCTCTTTGTGCCCCTTTTCCCATTGTTCCCAGCTGCTGGCTCGACCTGAACCAGGGATTCATCTGGAGTTTCCTTGGCCCTGTCTGCGTGATTATCTGTGTGAGTTTGACTGTTGGCTCCAATGTTCCTGACCGAAGGAGAAGTGCCAGTCTTGCTGGGTGCAAGATAAGACAAGGGACATACACTTCCCCGTTGTATGAACTGCTATTTCCACTGGCCCCCAATTCAATCCCACATGCAGGGAGGGTAGGAATTGTGTGCCGCTTATAGTGGATACAGTGCATGATTTAACTTGCATTCTGCATGGTCTGTGTCATTCTCGCAGGTAAATTTAGTATTTTTTCTCCTGACCCTTTGGATTTTGAAAAGGAAACTCTCCTCTCTCAATAGTGAAGTGTCAACCATCCACAATGTAAGGTAAGGTGGGGTAAGTGGAATTCTCTGACCCCTCTTTCTTCAACTCACCTCCCACGGGTCCCCTCTACATATCCACACACACATACACCCCACAACTGAGCTTCAGGACCTAGCAAGGCCACTGCATCTCCCAGTGTCACAATTCATGAGAAGCTGTATCAGCTGTAGTACAAGCTAAGCTTTGGTAACAAAAAGACCCCAAGAAAGGAGTGAAATTTTCATGTCAGAGTCCGCAGGTGAGCAGTCCAGGGCTAGTGGGGAACTTCTGGCCCACAGAGTCATCCAAACACTCGAGTCCTTTCTATTTCTGTTGTTCCACAGTCCCTAGGATGTTGTCTTTGCCAGTATCCCATCCATGGGAAGAAGTTGCACTTGCCCAGAATCTCAATGGCTAGACTTTGATCACATGGTGACAACTACCTTCAAGGCAGGCTGGGAAATGTAGTCTCTAACTGGTTAGCCATGTGTCCTTGATAACAACTCATAAAGGAAAGGGCTCCAACACAAAAATGAAGAAAAGATGGGGGGAGGGGTGGAAGCAGGAATCTCTGCCACATAACACAAGATACAAGAGGTTTGGGAAGGATTTAGACTAAAATACGTATTTTCTATAATACTATTTCAGGGGCACCTGGGTGGCTCAGTTGGCTAAGCGACCTACTTTGGCTCAGGTCATGATCTCACGGTTCGTGGGTTCGAGCCCCGTGTCGGGCTCTGTGCTGACACCTAGCTCAGAGCCTGGAGCCTATTTCAGAGGCTGTGTCTCCCTCTCTCTCTGACTCTCCCCTGCTCACGCTGTCTCTCTCTCTCTCTCTCCTAGAAATAAATAAAAATATTTAAAAAAAATAAAATAAATAAATAAGCTATAAAAAAATTATAATACTATTTCAAAACATTTTGGGCTGAGGGTACTTTCTCATTTTTTCCCCCATTTTACGTGAACATGTAATTTGTTGTTGTTTTCACTGTAATCACAAAAAGAGCACATCTGTTAAAATTCTTTTCAAAAGAGTTTAAAATATATAAAGTAAAACTCGAAGTGGCTAACTCCCTCCTTTCTCCACTACTTCCACCTCCCAGGGAAGCCAGAGGTAACAAACTGTATGATATGGAAAATATTTTCCCCAGAACCTTTTTCCGTGCACTTTCTGTAGAACAGACAGGCACACAGCAACTATAAAAATTGTTCTCCAACTAGCTTTCCTCAGTTATATATTACTGTATTTTTTAATTAGGAATATATGTTGGGGCGCCTAGGTGGCTTAGTCGGTTAAGCGTCCGACTTTCGCTTGGGTCATGATCTCACGGTTCGTGGGTTCAAGCCCCGCATCGGGCTCTGTGCTGACAGCTAGCTCAGAGCCTGGAGCCTGTTTCAGTCTGTGACTCCCTCTCTCTCTGACCCTCCCCTGCTCACGCTGTCTCTCTCTCTCCTAGAAATAAATAAAAAATATTAAAAAAAAATAATTAGGAATATATGCATGCATAAGTAAGGTGACATCACACCCTAATTTGCCTGAGACAGTCCCAGTTTATGCCTGCTGACCCACTGTAATTGTTCATTAGCACCACTTTTATCTCAAAATCCTCCCTGGCTGAATAATAAATTATATGACACTTCATCTATCAATGGTATAGAGAGAGATAAAGAGCACCCAGCGTTTTTTTTAATGTTTATCTATTTTTGAGAGACAGAGACAGAACACAAGCAAGGTAGGGGTGATGCAGAGGGAGAGGGAGACCCAGAATCTGAAAAAGAAAAGCACCCCATTTTAGAATGCCTTATGGAGGAACTAGTTTTGTTCTATGTACTGTCCTAAATACTTTACATAGGTGAGAGTCCCGTTTAAGCTTGCCAGCAACCCTGTGAAATAGGGCTATTACAAAGATGAGGGAACTGAGTTACAGAAAGGTAAAGTCACCTTCCCTGGGTCACAAGGCTGGCTAGTTCTGCCTTAGATTTGAACCCAGCCAGTCTAGCTCAAGAGTCCTCACCAGTAACAACTACACAACCATTATTATTAGCTTTGTCCGTTATTAGCTTTGTCACAGCATTGTATATGACTCCCCTCAGGATGCTGACATTCAAAGCGACGGCTCAGCTCTTCATCCTGGGCTGCACGTGGTGTCTGGGCCTCCTGCAGGTGGGGCCAGCCGCCCACGTCATGGCGTACCTCTTCACCATCATCAACAGCCTACAGGGCATCTTCATCTTCCTGGTCTACTGCCTTCTCAGCCAGCAGGTGAAAAACAACCCCTTTTTTTATTGTCGTAAAGTTAGGACATATTTGGAAGTATGTTGTGTAATGAACATTTGAATCATTTAAATCTATGTTCTCTAAATTTTCATATAAGCTGCAAGCCATGTGTAAACACTATATTCTCTCTGCTCTAAGATGTTGTTGATTATAAGATACATGAATTTATTAACAGCTGTCAGAAAGTATATAATTGCTACATCAAGCAAATATGTTTTTCTTGTTTTCCCGTTTGTAATAGTCAGCTACTGCTGTGTAACAAATGACCTCAAAAATCTCCAAAGCTGAAACACAAATGTTTACTTTTCTCATTCTCAAGTCTGAAGATTGATTGAGGTTCAGCTGATCTTGTCTGGACTCAGCTTGGCTTGGTTTCAGGATGCAGATCATGTTCAGGTCTTCTCTTTGAGACTCATCCTGAGGCTTAGTGGAAAGGGAGCAGCTCCCTAGGATACATTCTTCTCATGACAATGGCAAAATCACGAGAAGACAAGCCCTACTAGACAAGGCCATCTCAAGCCTTGTGGGCCTGCTTGAATCACTTCCACTGATATTCCCTTGGCCAAAGAAAGTCATACGTCCAAGCCCAAAGTCAAGGGAACAGAACACTCCACCCACCATGAGGCTAAGACGGAGTATAATACTATGACAGAGGAGTGAATAATTGAAATCTATAATGCAATCCACCACACCACTTAAACACATGAATTCTTAAACACATTTCCATGTGACGGTATAGTTTCCATACTAATATGTTTTAATAGTTCTATGATGGCATTAAATAACAAGCTAATTTTTCCAACGTGTTGTTATGAACATTTTAAAACACATAAAAAGGTTAAAACAATTATGCAAGGAACACATATATACCAATCACTTCAATGATCTTTGTGCTATATTTGTTTTATCACATTGCCTATCCACATATCCATCCTTCCACCCATTCTTTTAGCGGTAACCACTATTCTACTTTCTGGCTCAATTAATTAGACTATTAAAAAGACTCCCTGTATGTGGAACCATACAATATTTTCCTTTTGTTCCTGGCTAATTTCACTCAGCAGAATGCCATCAAGGTTCATCCATGTTGTAGCTTGTGTCAGAATACCGTTCCTTTTTAAGGCTCAATGAACAATATTTCATTGTACATATATGCCACATGTTGTAGGAAAAGTTTTTTTAATAATGCCTTTATTCTCTTCCTGACTCACTGGCTTTTCTATTCACCCACCAATGTTAACAAAAACGACTCCAGTATTTTCCTTGATATTCCAGGTCCGAAAATGGTTCAGAGAGATCATGACATCTAAACCTGAGTCTGAAACCTACACGCTTTCCACCAAGTTTGGCACAAACTCAAGATCCAGTGAAGTAAGAGGACTTGTGATTTATTCTAATGTTTCCTCCCTTGATACCCAAACCCCCCTCTCCGTGTCTTAGTATGAGCTCCCTTCCCTGGAGGGTATGACAAAGAGCTCTTTTCCTGATGACCTGGTTTGCATTTCTCATTCTTACTATAATGTTCCTCAGTGACTCTTCCCCGATCACTGACAATGCTTAACCTGGCTTCTGTATATATTGTTGTCATACAAATGAGTTAGAGTAGGGGCGCCTGGGTGGCTTAGTCGGTTAAGCGTCCGACTTTCGCTTAGGTCATGATCTCGCAGTTTGTGGGTTCGAGCCCCGCATCGGGCTCTGTGCTGACAGCTAGCTCAGAGCCTGGAGCCTGTTTCAGTCTGTGACTCCCTCTCTCTCTGACCCTCCCCTGCTCACACTGTCTATCTCTCTCTCTCTCTCTCCTAGAAATAAAAAAAAATGAGTAAGAGTAAAACATATCACCAGCACCACTACCATCTAATGTAGAATCCTTTGTGGGGGAGAGAGGGGGACATACAATCACAGACATAGCATAGTGGTCATCATCCTCAAATCCCGCTCTCCTGTAGACAGGTGGATGTAACCCCAGTGGTGTTGACAGATACCTGGAAAGGGCTCCAGAGAGGGACCTCATCCCAGCTGCTCTACATAATTATAGGAGAGGAGCACATGGAATAATGGGACCTTCCAGGGGGAGGAAATGGTCCTGTTAGAAAGAGGACCTCCGTGGAACCTGATTGCTGGTATTCATCTGTTCTTCCCTTGATTTAACTCAGACTCAATGCACCAAGGAATGAGCCTCTGGCACTACCTTGGACCCCTCTACAGTTGTCCTTTATGTGTCTTTTAGGAGAAATGAGAGAACATACTTCTCCAAGAAGATATGCCCCTAGATAAGCAAGAAGGGCTCCAAAACTCATAATCCAAAATGTTTCCTAATCTCATTTGTATACTCCCACGTGTCCACCCACCACATCTGCTAGCCAAGGAGCTTTCGAATGTTTTGTTTTTTAAATAAGCAGAATTGAGGGGCACCTGGATGGCTTAGTCGGTTAAGCGTCCGACTTTCGCTTAGGTCATGATCTCGCGGTTCGTGGGTTCGAGCCCCGCGTCGGGCTCTGTGCTGACTGCCAGCTCAGAGCCTAGAGACTGTTTCAGTCTGTGACTCCCTCTCTCTCTGACCCTCCCCTGCTCACGCTGTCTCTCTCTCTCTCCTAGAAATAAATAAAATAAAACATTAAAAAAATTTAAATAAGCAGAATTGAGACACATGGTTTTGCACATTCTTTGAGCTAATCTGTGATATTCTCAGCACTGGAAATATTGCGCCACTAATGAGACGTCTATCCCTAACTGGAAAGCAGGAAGGGGAATTTATTCTAAATCTTTCCAAAAGGGCCAAAAGGAAAACAGGACCAGGGGAAAAAAAAGTCTTAAACAAATGCCACTACTGCCAGCTGCGCAGTGATTCCAGTGGGTGAAGCTAGGGCTGACGAATTCACAGGACATGCTCAGCTGAGGAGGGAAAATGAAGCATGGTGGAAAACTGATTCTGTGATTTAATTCCTCTGATAAAACTTTGTTCCATTCCCAGAATTTTACCTAGAAAGAGTGCATTTGCTTTGTTTGACATCTTTATGTTTCTGTTACCATGTTTCCTACGTATTCCTATGGCCAGGACTTTATTAACTCAAAACTATGTGTAAAACTAGTAATAAAAATGTATAGGCTGTTCCCTCCACCTGATTTAAAAAACAAAGAAAAAGAAAAAACTCTTAGGGCAAGTCAAGTGATCAGGAAAAAAAACAAAAAACAAAAAACTATGAGTATTAGGTTTAAATCATTCCCAATAAGAGTAAAATTGTAAAAAGGGCTGACTGCTGGCTGCGACCGTTAAAAGACTTCCTAGATAATCCAGAATAATTCCCAAAGTTTCCAGCATTCCAGTAACTGGCTTCCCACAATAAAGAAAGAAAATTTTTTATTATTGTTATGTAACATTGTGGAAATTGAATAAGATGAGTGTATCTTTGAAAGGGGAATATATGGATTAGCTCCCTGTAAGAAATACATTCACTTTAATTGAAAGAATCTCTTAAGATTTTATTTTTCTAGGCACAGAGTATGATTAAAAAGCAAAAAAAAAAAAAAAAAAAAAATTCAGGGTGCCTGAGTGGCTCAGTCAGTTGAGTATCTGACTCTTGATTTTGGCTCTGGTCATGACCCCAGAGTCATGGGTTTGAGCACTGTGCTGAGCATGGAGCTTGCTTAAGGTTCTCTCTCTCTCTCTCTCTCTCTCCCCCTTCCCTCTCTCAAAATAAATAAACATTTTTTAAAACTAAAAAAAAACAATTCTTCATTTGGGATTTTTAAGAAGTTCTCCCATTTTTAAAAAAATTAAGTTTAATGTTTATTTTTGAGAGAGAGAGAGACAGAGCATAAGTGGGAGAGGGGCAGAAGGAGACACAGAATCCGAAGCAGGCTCCAGGCTCTGGGCTGTCAGCACAGAATCCAGCACAGGCTGGAACTCACAGACCATGAGCTCATGACCTGACCTGAATCTCAGATGCTTAACCGACTGAGCCACCCAGGCGCCCCAAGAAGTTCTCCCATTTAAGCTGAAGAAGGCCACACCTGTCCTAAGATTCCAAAATGCTAGATGATCACTCCTGTCATCCTCGCCTGCTGGATGCAGCTCTTGTCACCAGGGACTTGCTAACAGGCTCCGAAAAAGCCACAATAACCCCGCTTTTGACCAGTTCGATCCAGTTCAGACCCTCCAGATGACCTCAATATCATTTCCATCCAACTGTAATAACAAAAGCACACCTACCAGCACTATGACAGATCCAACTGTGTCCCCAGGAGGGAAGAAAAGAGGTGGTGCTTTGATTTTTAGAAGCCTCTTCCCCCTCGCCTGAAAACCCCCCACATCAGCTTGCTTATCAGCCCCTTAATCAGCCTAACCCCATAAAGCCCTGACCATGGAGCCTAATCAGGGAGAAGGTGCCTTTAGAACATGAGCTTCCCAGGGCGCCTGGGTGGATCAGTCAGTTGAGTGTCTGAATCTTGATTTCTGCTCAGGTCATGATCCCAGGGTCATGGTGTCATGGGATTGAGCCCCATTTTGGGCTCTGTCTGAGTGTGAAGTCTGCCTATTTGACAAATGGTATTGAGTAGGGAAAGAACCTACCACTTCAGTAACACTCTCTGCCTTTAATCCACTTCTGCTCTTTCTGTTTTATTGGTGGTGGTGGTGGTGGTGGTGGTTTGTTCTTTTTCATCCTCCCATCTATCTTTAATCTAAACATCTTCTGTTGGGGGGTTGCTTTTCCAGATGAACTGAAGAGAAAATATTCAAACTAGAACCTTCAACTCCACATAGAAAGTCACACCCATGGATTTGGCTGACGTTGTGAAGAACAAAGCTGAAGACGAGCGGAATCATTACCTATGACATCCTTGGAGAGGAAATGTTTAGCCTTTACTTCCTTAAGTGTTTGGTCTGCATAATGGGCTCCCAGTAAATGTGTGTTGCATCAGATTTCTCTTCACTATCATGGGCTGAGTCAGTGCTTGTCTCTAGGTACCCAAATCATGACCATCGCAAATACTCCCTTGACATTTTGTAAACAAGAAGCCCCTTTAAAGGCTTTTCCTCAAGTTCTTACACTCATTCTTCCTAACCTTGCTCTTTAAACTCATCCAGTCCTTCAGACCATCAGTTTCTTCCAAACCATCAGCTTTACCTCCTTTCTTATCCAGGCTAAATCTCATGGTCAACCGTGTCAGATGATTTTCTCCCATAATCTCAACACCTTACTCTCTCATTCTGATTCCATAATTACCTTGGAAAACCTTGATCCAGGACCAGTCCAACAGTGGCAGTCATTACAGATTGCTTACTAAGCAGCCATTGCCATATCATATGCTCCTTGTCAACAGAACCTTGGTTATTTGCAGATTTGGGACAGCCATGTGCCTGGACATAGGAAGCCAGTTAATATTGGTCTAAGCCCAGTTATTCTCAACTGGAGGTGATTCCCTCCCCCCCACCCATAGGGACATTTGACAAAATCTGGAGACATTTTTTGTTGTCATGACTGGGGAAAGGCAGGGGAATGCTACTGGCATGTATGTGGTAAAGGGCAGAGATGCTGTAAACATCCCATAATAAACAAGATAGCCCCTGCATACACACAACAAAGGATTATCAATCTCTAAATGCCAGTAGTGCTGAGGTCAAGAAACCTCAATCTAAACTAACCATAGTGATTGATTTAGGATGGGTGCATTTGGACCATTTCTAGGCAATGAGATATAAGAAACATCTACTAGAAAATACTTTTTCTCCTTGATAGAAACAAAGACAAATTCAAGGACAGCCTGCCCATGACTTTCCGGTTTGGGCTGCTATACAATAATACGATGCTTGGATAGAAGGTGCCATGTAAATACTGAGGATGTAGAAAGATGGAAATAATCCGGGCTTTTATGACATTGTTGAGTTGCTGAACCAAACCTTGGACTTCCTCCTCTGTGAAACAAATAAGACCCTATTGCTAAGCCACATTGGGTCAAGTAATGTTATTTGTAGTCCAAATAATCCTTCCTTGTGAACAAACCACATCTCAACCACTTCTCTATCAGGGCAGTGAGATCCCAGAATCACTTATCTTGGAGTCATTTCAGATAGATGCTTTCTGACATAAACAAGACTCTCCATGCTACCCGGCACTTGTTCTTCCCATACCTAGTCAACATCCCCCCATGAAAAGTTGTATCTTTCACTTCCTTCCTCAGTCTCCCCACCTTTCTCCTTACATGAGGCAGAAAACCTTGTCTACTACTTCACAGAGATAATAAACACCAGCTGAGGGAAACTACCCCAACTTCCTGACATCCTTTACAAATACATCTACATCCATACCTTCCCCCATTATTCCACAACAGCAAAGGGATCTGTCCTCTTGTTTAAGACTAACCCCTCCCTCTGTGCTTTGCTCATCCCCTCCTGCCTCTTTGGGTACTTTTCTCCACTGATATCTCCTCCCTCTGTCTTGAGTCTTCTATCTCTCTGACATCCTCTCTCCTGATTCTTTCCCAGTGGTATTTAAATATACTAAAGGGGCACCTGGGTGGTTCAGTCAGTTAAGCATCCAACTGTTGGTTTCATCTCAGGTCATGATCTCTCAGCTTGTGAGTTCGAGCCCCATATCAGGCTCTGTGCTGACAGTGTGAAATCTGCTTGGAATTCTCTCTCTCTCTCTCTCTCTCTCTCTCCCCCTCTTTCTCTCTGCCCCCCCAAAATAAATAAATAAACTTAAATAAATAAATAAACTAAAAATAGGTCAGCAAACTTTTTCTGCCAATGGCCAAATAACAAGTATTTCAGACTTTTCAGGATCTGTGTGTGTGTGTTTCTTAGAAATATAAAAACCATTTCTAGCTCACTGGCCATACAAAAAAACAGGCTGCACCACTCAGGATTTGAACTACCTCTCCCCAAGCTATAGTTTGCTGGCCCCTGTGCTAAAGGAAGAGAAATGGTTGATTCTAGGAAAATGGCCACTTGTACATTTCTCAATTCCTCTCCATCCCCCACACTAATATATCTGCATATATCTGCTTCTTTAAACCCAAAGTCTGCTGGGACCAATGGCAGCTGGGTAGAGATGAGGGTGGTATCTTGGGGGGAAACCCCAAAGGGAGATCTGGGGTTGAAATGTCTCCCCCATGCACCAGGTGGAGAGTCCCAAGATAAGCTGAAGAACACTCTAGGTGGAAAATCAGACACCGTCTATCCCAGGAAGAGTCTGGCCCACAGGGGTCCATGGACCTCCTGGGATAGGCCAGCATCACTCCCGTGTGTGTGTGTGTGTGTGTGTGTGTGTGTGTGTGTGTGTGTGTTCTTCCAAGAGTTCTGAATCTAGAAGGAAGCAGAGACTGGGAAGCAAGGAGGGTCTCTGCATACCTGCCTGTGCACATGCACCTCTTGGAGCGGAGAACCCATCTCCTCTCATCACTTGGGGAACTGTCCCTACTTCGAGTTCTCAACTCCCATGTCTGAGCCCCAAAAAGAAATGACAACACAGAGAGGTCCCAGCAGCTGGAAAGGGGACACAGCCCAATGTAACTGACATCCATCAAGTAGGCCTGCTGGAGTGTAGACAGACAACTTAAAACAAGACTAATTCCAGTAAGAATTGAACACAATAAAATAAGAATGTAAGGAGATTCAAGTACAGCACCAAAATGCTCTTTGGAACTGAATAAAAATGGGCTAAATAAGAAGAGAAATGTTTCTGGATGAATTAGAGAAGAGTATGATCACTATCAACAGCCAAATTAGTGGCTTGGAAGACTCTGTGGAAGAAATATCTCAAAGCACAGATAAAAATGCCAAAAGATGAAAATTGTGAAGGAAAAAAATTAGTCTGGGAGACCCAGGCGATCTGACATGGGAATGATAGTGGGTTTTGGAAGAGTAGGGTGGAGGCATTTGAGTCCCTTCTACATAAAAAAAAAAATCCTCTCTGCTGCAATAACTTCTCTCCACTCAACATTCTAGAAAAGCTGTTTACGCTCTGTTATCCCCACTTCCTGCCGCCCCCTCACTGCTCAACCACTGTAGTCTGATTTCTGCGTCCTACACACCCAGGAATGGCTCAATGTCCCAAACACTTCCTCTATGCTGAGGATGGAGGCTTCTCAATCTTTTCTCACTTGACCTTTGGGTCACATTTAATTGCACTGGACTTCTTTTCTTCATTTTTTAATAATCAAGTATTTTAATTCTGTCCAGCTTTATTGAGATATGACTGACAGATAAAAATTGTACATGATGGTTTGATCTACATATGCCTTACCCCCTTTTCTCCTTAAGCTTTCTCTTCTTGGTTTCTCTGGTACCATACAAGCCTCCTATAAGAATAATCAACACATCCCAGTTTGTCCAGGACTTTTCTTGCTTTAGCACTGAGAACCCCACATCCCAGGAGCGCCTTCCCCCCAGGCAAGCCAGAACCACATCACAGGCTGGTCTTCTGTCCCAGAGAGTCTCAATTTGAATTCCCTCAAGAGCAAATGCTGAGACAAGGATTCAGGTGTAAGTAGTTTATTTGGGAAGTGATCCCAGGAAACACCAGCAGGAATGTGAAGACGTGAGTCAGAGAAAGAAAGGCAGCCAGTCCAAGCTATGTTCAAAGATGCGTTATCAAGCAGACTACCCCTGTAGGCAATGGAAGCTGAATCCCAGTGGGGACCTCAGGGTGAGATGAGATCAACCTCATATCATCTGGGGGGTGAAGGGCTGACATACTGTACACCAAGTCCAGGCTTTGGTTGAGACCCTTCCAGACAGCATTTCCCTGCTGGCACCCTTCACCTGCCATGTGCCAGACCAGGAGGACTCTGGTGGCAGCTGCTGGCCATTAGACGTCACTGAAAATGTGGGGATCAAGGATATACGTAGGGCATGACCACATCTGCTATACATGAGTCCATTCTTGAACTTCAGCAGGAATTCATAAAACACCTAAATTTAAATGTGCTCAAGGGGGCTTGGCTACCTCAGTCAGCAGAACACATGACTCTTGATGCCCAAGTTGTGGGTTTAAGCTTCACGTCGAGTGTAGAGTTACTTAGAATTTTTATTTAAATCATAAATAAATAAATAGATAGATAGATGATAGATAGATAGATAGATAGATAGATAGATAAAGTGTTCAGGGGTGCTTGGATGGCATAGTCGGTTGAGTGTCTGACTCTTGATCTCAGCTCAGGTCATGATCTCGCAGTTCATGGGTTCAAGCCCCACATTAGGCTCTGCACTGATGGTGCAGAGCCTGCTTGGGATTCTGTCTCTTATTCTCTCTGCCCCTCCCTTGCTTGTGATCTCTCTCTCTCTCCCTCTCTTCTCTCTCAGTAAATAAACTTAAATTTTTTTTAAATAAAAAAATAAATGTGTTCATACGTTTTTTTTTTTCTTCCTCAGCTGTAGGTAACAATAACTCCATCTTTCCCGTTCCTTTAGTTGAAAATTTTGGAGTAATTCTTTACTATTCTCTTTCCTTCACACCCACATTCACTCTGTCAGCAAATCCCATTAGCTCTAGCTTCAAAATAGATTCATTTCCTTCCTACCTGGTCCCCTTCCTCTCATCCACATTATCATAATAGCCCCAGGAGAGCCACACAGATTACTATCAACAGACCCAGAACTCAATTCCTAGTCTCCTACCTCAGCCCAAAATGCCTGTTCCACCACACCACACTATTCCCTTTCCATAAGTTCCAGCTTAGACCAAAGCTACAAGCTTGGGGTCGTCAGGGATAATTCAAGTTCACAGACAGCCCCTTGAAAGGTGGCAGGTGCTGCAGAAGGAGATTAACCTTTGGAGGCACAGACTGAGTCCAACTATCAGCTGTGCTGCTAGATGACAATGGACAAGCCTCAGTTTCCCCAGCTATAAAATGGGGCTCGTAATTGTTCCAACTTCACACTAAGATTCAGTGAGAGCAGCCGTACCTATCTAGCACACAATACATGCTTGAGAAACTGTGCCTTTGTTATTTTTATCTACCAAGAATGCCCAGCCTTTGCTCCCTGATGCCCAAAGTAGTAAAGGGGACCTCCTTCACACTTATCTCTCTAGGTAAACTTAGACAATCATGAGAGATGTGGGAGGGAGATAGGTTTGAGCTAGCTCCACTGTGTAACACCCCCAGCATGACCCAAAGATGTGACCACAGCCCCGGGTTCTCCATTTATCAACATATTGGAAGAAGCTGACATTTCCTCTTCTGAGATGCATGAACTTCCCCTGACCCCAGACAAACAGTCATTTGGGCCAGTGGCCCCCTGGGTGGAGGGCTTGGAACAGGATACCGACCCACTCTGCAGTCTATGGGCTGTACAGGGGGGCTGGTTTCAGTACTGGTGACTTGGGGACAGTGTAGAGGCAGCAGAAGACACGTACAGAGGGGAACAGGAAGTGAAGTGAACGCTAACCTCCCCCGCTGCCCCTCTGCTCAGAGCCATAATCACCTGCTCTCAGTCAACACAAGGATTCCGCTATTCATCAAGGGCAGTTGTTGATCAAGAAACTGATCAGTTTGGAGAATGCCTACCTGCCTTTGGATACAATTCAGGAATTGTCCAAAGGGATGGCCGTGTTGTGTCGTGTTCAGCAGGGGGCAGTACCAGCCTCCCCAGAGGGTGTTTCTGATTGTCATAATCACTGGACTGAACACCAGTCCATCAGAGGCTAATACGGCTGACTTGCATCTCCCCCAAAATTCACGTGTTCAAGTCCCAACCCCCAGTACGTCAGAATGTGACTGTATTTTTCGAGGTAGGGTCTTTGAAGAGGTAATTCATGAAAACGAAGTCATTACAACGGGCTCTAGTCCAATGTGGCCTACATCTCTATAAGAAGGGATTTGGACACAGACACACACAAGGAGAAGTCCATGTGGAGACACGCGGAGAAGAGGACCAGACACAACTCAAGGAGAGACACCTGCCCAGAAACCAACCACTTCGACACCTCGATCTTAGAGTTCAGCCTCCAGAACGCTGAGACAATAAATTTCTCGCACGTAAGCCAGTCTACGGTGCTTTATTGTGGCACAGCCCCTTCCCCTGCCCCGAGCAAACCACCACAGTGGGCAAGGGCCACATGCTGAACGGACATTTTCTGCAGGAGCTGATAGCCCAAGAAGGTCCACTCCAAGTAAAAGTGAATTATTCATCAAAGATCTTTACAAACCACACACAGCCTAAAGGCACATGCAGGTAGGTAAAGCCACGGCTGTCCTGGGACACACACTGAGGGAGGGGACAGTCTTGCCTTTCAGTTGGTCTGCCTTTCTAGAAGCTTCACAGGCCGAGTCTTGGCAGAGGCTTGATTCTGCCCCCTCGGTCAGGCAAACCTCACCTGGGACATTGAGAAAGTTGCTTCCCAAAAATAATTTTCCCCCACCTGCTTTCCCAAAGCTGTTCCCCATTGGGGAGGCAGTAAGGGAGCCCAGCACACCTGCGTCCAGAGGTGCCAGGAAATTTTCCGCTCCAGCTCAGTCATTACCAGACTGGGAGCCCCTGTGGCCAGGATTGCTTCCTAAGAGCCATGACCAAGGACTTAGTGAGTTTCCTCCAGACCCCAGAACTGGGAGACAGTGTTTAAAACTTGGTCTCCCACCAGCTCACCACCCACTACAGACTGGATTGTGTGTCCCCCACTCAATTCATATGTTAAATCCTAACCCTCAAGGTGCTCGCTCAAGGACGCAGGGCCTTTGGGAGATGATTAGGTCAATAAGGGTGGGACTCTCTCGTCCTTATAACAGGGACCCCAGAGGGTTCTCAGCCCTTGCAGCATAGGAGAACACAGCAAGACGGCCCTCTGTGAATCAGAAAGTGAGCCCTCACCAAACACTGGACCTTCATCTTGGGCTTCCCAGCTTCCAGAAATTCAATAAATAAACCTCAATTGTTCATAAGCTACCCATAAGCTACAGTATTCTGGTATAGTAGCCAGAACAGACTAGGACATCGTCCAGTTGAACAGCCCTCAAGTCGTCACCTAGAAATGCTCTCACTTGCACCCAAGGGGACTTGCTGCATCCAAGCTGCCGGTTCATCTTAGGTGTATCCGTCAGTTCACAGAGAGGCAGGGCCTTCCATGGAAGGGCAGGAGGTTCTCATCCCCGGAGTCAAGGGGCACTCGGTATGGACCCCCACCCACCCTCGGCCATGGGGTTCAACAGGAACATTGCCGCTCACAAATCCAGTATGTAGTTTTGTCACAAGAGAGGTCATTCCAAGTGCCACCCTTGTTCATGCTGGCACAGTCCTCGTTATTGATGTTGTTGGGCTCCTCTGGCTCCCAAAAGCTGCAAGAAGGAAAAGCATGGGGAGGGATGAACGGGTGGGGCACAGGGCATTTTTTCAGAGCATCACATGAGACTGCGATGGTGGCTTCGTGACATTACACATGCATCAAAATCCACAGAACACACACACACCACCCTGGGAGTGAACCCTAATGTAAACTGTGGACTTTCATTCATCATAATGTAGCCATATCGGTTCATCAATTGTAACAAATGTGCCACAAAACAATGCAAGATGTCAACAGTAGAGAAAACCGTGTGCAGAAGAGGACTATAGGAAACATTTCTCTGAAACTTCTGCTCAATATTTTTTTTGCAAAAAAATAAGTCTATTAATTAAAGAAAGAATATCAGGGCATGGGAGAAGGAAAGGCCTTAGTTCAAGGCTCTTTCTTCCATCGTAACCATTTTTTCAGCTCTTCAGAATTACCTGGAGCTGTCGCGTTATCCCCTTCGCCCCACCGTGTCGGTCTTAATTCAGCCCCGCTTCCCCATTCACCAGGACTGTCTCCTGTGCCTGAATCCATTTCCTACAACTGGTCAGGTTCTGCCTCTTACAAAGAACCCTTCTCTGCACCAGGAATCGTCCCGACCTCAGGTATTATAATATCTTAACTCTCTTCTATTAAGACGGAGCCTGATTTGGCAATTCAGGGGCACGGGATTTATTAAAGGATGCTCTCAGGAAAGGAGTGGGAGAAGCAGGATGGTGCAGGGGGAGAAGATGAGCAGGAATGTGGGTTCAGCCTGCTCTTGCCTCAGCCTGATCCAACAGGGAGCTCTGAGTGTGAATAGCACCAGAGAGGTATCTCAACTTGTAACAAAGGGTCCAGGCTTCTCCGAGCCACTGGTTGGCTGTGGGCTGAAGTAACCTCCTAGGTGAGCTGGCCTCCATTCAGCTGAGGACAACTCTCTAGAGAAAGCACAACTGTGAGCCTTTAGCGGTCAGTTCGCCCTGCTGGGGGGACGGGGGCTGCACCAGCCTCATGAGGAGTCTAAACTGGGCACTCACAGCACCACGCTATGCCATGTCTCTATTGATAGAGCAGTGCCCTCTTCCGGGAATCTTTAACAAAAAATGAGATCCTCTGTCAGGACACTAATATTTCTAATATGTAAAGAGTTCTTAGAAATAAATAAGAAGGGATACCTGAGTGGCTCAGTCAGTTAAGCTTCTGACTTTGGCTCAGGTCATGATCTCACAGTTCGTGGGTTTGAGCCCTGCATTGGACTCTGTAGGCTCTGTGCTGACAGCTTGGAGCCTGGAGCCTGCTTCGGATTCTGTGTTTCCCTCTCTCTCTGCCCCTCCCCTGCTCATGCTCTGTCTCTCTCTCTCTCTTTCAAAAATAAGCATATAAAAAAGAAAGAAGAAAAAAACTAAAATCCCAGTATAAAAATATACCAATGATATAATAAACACTTCACAGAAAAGTTAATACCTGTGGCTATTAAACATGTGAGAAGAGACCCAGAGGTGCTTGGGTGGCCCAGTTGGTAAGCGTCTGTCTCGATTTCAGCTCAGGCTATGATCTCATGGTTTGTGGGTCCAAGCCCCACATCGAGCTCTGTGCTGGCAGCACAAGCCTACTTGGGATTCTCTCTCTCTGCCCCTCCCCCCTCACTCTCAAAATAAATTTTTAAAAATAAATAAATAATTTAAAAAGAATATATCCAACTTAAGTCTTTATAAGAGAAGGCAAATTAATACTAAATTGGGATTCCATTTTCACCTACAATTAAACCAACAAAATTGCAAAAGCTTGATGAACTGTTAATGAAGAAAAGTAACGTCAACCTGGTCAAAGAATAAATTGGTATAACCACTATGGGGGACAATTTGTGAATATTTATTTAAAATCCAAATGCATACACTCCTTGAGAAAGTAAGTATAAAGGCTGAGAATATAGACTTTAAAGCTAGGTTGGCTCCCACAGCCACCTGCTAGCTCTTCAACCTTAGGTGGGTTGCTTAACCTCTCTGTGCCTGTTTCCTCATCTTTAAAGTAGAGATGATAGAGGCGCCTGGGTGGCTCAGTCGGTTGAGCGTCTGACTTCGGCTCAGGTCATGATCTCGTGGTTCATGGGTTCAAGCCCCATGTTGGGCTCTGAGCTGACAGCTAGCTCAGAGCCTGGAGGCTGCTTCAGATACTGTGTCTCCCTCTCCCTCTGACCCTCCCCTGCTCACGCTGTCTCCCTCCCTCTCTCTCTCTCTCTCTCTCTCTCTCTCTCAGAAATAAATAAAACATTAAAAAAATAAAGTAGAGATGATAAAAAATAAAATGGAGACAAGTATACCTTCTTTATAGGATTATTAATCATTGGGTTAATATATGTAGAGAGACAGAGATAGAGAGATTCTGCTCATTCTTTTGACAAATCAAAAGCTTCCTCTTGCTCCCACCCTATAGTCACCCTTCCTTTCTCCCCAACCCCGTCCCCCAACCACTGGCCTGAGGACTTGACCTTATAGTGTGCTAAAAGGCAGAGATGTTGCAGTGCAGAAAAATTTTAAAGGTAAAGGTTCCAGAATCCCTATTAGCAAAAAAAAGCATCCCTGGGCGTCCTTTATCCAGCCTGGCCTCGGGTTCTAAAGGATCTGCTGGCTTGGACTACACAAAGACTATACCAGGCAGAGACCCCAAGGGTCCTCAATACTTGCCTCAGAGTGACAGGTGACCCATCCAGCCACCGCCAGTCCCCTTCACGGTCCTTGTCATTTAGCCCCAGCCAGTATATCCGTGGAGAGCCATGAGCCTTGGCCAAAAACTTCTGCAAGTACAAATTCCATTCAGCCATCAGTTTAATTCCATTAAATGTAAATGGTCTAAAAACATCAGTTAAAAGCCAGAAATTGTCAGACTGAATTTTAAAAAGCAAGATCCGGGGCGCTTGGGTGACTCCACCAATTGAGTGTCCAACTTCAGCTTAGGTCATGATCTCACAATTTGTGAGCTCGAGCCCCATGTTGGGCTCACTGCTGTCAACCCAGAGCCCGGTTCAGATCCTCTGTCCCCGTCTCTCTCTGCCCCTCCCCTGCTCACATGCTCCCTCTCAAAAATAAATAAAAGTTTAAAAAAAAGAAAGAAAGAAAGACCCAGCTATATGTTGTCTGCGAGAAATTCTACTTTAAAATAATGACACAAGTAAATCAAAAGTGAAATGGTGGGGAAAGACAGACCATACAAACACCTGGACTTAAATCCCAGTTCTGACGCCTACTAGTTGTAAGTGACCACAGGCAAGTTTCTTAAGTGTTCTGTGCTTCAGTTTCCTCATCTGTGAAGTACAAGTAATAGCTACCGTGTACAAATGTGTTTGCTATCTGACTGGTAGCATCAAGTCAGTGCAGTCGCTTACAAATGTCAATTCTCCTTCACAGGTGAAACTATTTCCCCACCACCTTAAAGCACCACAGGACCCACGTGACTTGCTTTGTAAACACAATTAAGTGGAAGAGTTCAGAGTTGCCTTCTACATTTCCGTCATTGAGCTCTAGGGACTGTTACACCCGCCTAACACAACCTCTCCTGACTCGCACACTAATTTACAGGGCTGTTGTGAGGATTATGTTAATGTAAGACGTAAGATGTTTGGAATACAGCCTGGAGAACGGAAAGGATATAATAGCCATTATTATATCTCTAGGTTAGAGAGAGTACTGAGACTTGGGATTTGAACTCAAGCAGAGCGTGTCCTCTGAACCTTGCTATTAAGAGTTTTCGCGGCTAAATTTCAGAGTCTGTATCTCCCTCTCTCCCTGACCCTCCCCTGCTCACGCTGTCTCTCACTCCTAGAAATAAATAAAAAAATATTTAAAAAATAAAAAGAGTTTTCATGGCTAAGAGCATCTAGGTGGCTCAGTCGATTAAGCATCTAACTCTTGATTTTGGCTCAGGTCATGGTCGCATGGTTCATGGGATCAAGCCCTGTGTCAGGCTCTGCTCTGACAGTGCATGATTGCTTGAGATTCTCTCTCCCTCTCTCTGCCCCTCCCCTACTCACTCACTCTCTCTCTCTCTCTTTTTCTGTCTGTCTCAAAATAAACAAACATTTTTTCAAACTATTTAAACACATTTTAATTGAACTGTATAAACAAATAAATTTGACATTTTGATTTATGTTCACAATTGCTTTTTCTTGGAAGTAGAAGGTAATTAATGGGCTACCTCAACATTCGTAAGCTCTTTTCTGAATGTTCTATACGATACCTGGCCTTAACAAAAATTGGTGCTTCACAAGATCCTGCTTTCTTAAATTTCTTCCAAGTGGAATTTGGTCATTTTATCAAAATTCATATGTAGTCATATAAGTTGGAAAGATCATTTTCCTCTTCCCCTCCCTAACCAGTGTCTTTTTGAGACTGCTGTCCTCTAATGTCTTAATAGTAAAATAAATACATAAATAAATAAAAATAATTAAAACCAAACAAATCTTTTGTCTTTAAGCTTTATATAAATTTAAACAAATAAACATTTTAAAAAAGAAAAGAAAGTTTTAGTGGCTCAAAAGCAATTCCAGCTTCTCTCCATCCAGGCCAGAGAAGGATGTGTGACACCTGCTGGCCCTTGAGGGCTTGAGGGGATAGCTCACCTGTTCAGCAAAGCTACTGATGATGACCAAGTGAGAGTAGTTCTCCTGGCAGAACTTCCGGGCTTCATCCCATGACTTGGTATTTGGGGAGAAGTAGTAACACTTGCCCTCAAAGGGGAGCCAGCCCTCAGGGCAGGTGATCTTGGTACAGTCTAGGGACAGAATAGCAGGCTCTCAGCATGGCCCCAGAGCCAGGGTCGTGCACACGGTGTGCCATATACAGCTGTTCAGGTTGTGCACTGCTCAACTCCAGGAAGGCATCATTCAGGTTAACTGCACTGGGAATCACCCCCTGGGGATTTGTGCAACATGCCAGCACAGTCACATCCCCCCATCTCAGGGCAGTTCCCCAGGTCCCACTCACCTAATAAGCCCCGGAGTTCTACCAGGGACAGGTTGGTCTGAGTTCTTACGCGGTCAATGTCCTTCTTCAGGCCAGCCAGCCCTGCCGTGCCAGTCACTGTCAGCAAGGATGGGCTGGAAGGTTAGTAACCCAAACCCCCGTCTACCCATCCACCCTCCACTGACTGCAAACACACCATTAAGAAGCAGGATCTGTGCTCCTCACTGCACCCTCTTTCTAGTGGGTGGGGCGAGAACTCAAAAATGGCATGCTCAGTGCCCCGGGAGAGTCCTGGGGTAGTTTAGAGGAAGGACTGATCTCTGGGGCTTGGGGAAGAGTGGGGATGGTGGACTTTCTGAAGGAGGTGGGTTTTTCAGGAAGATGGGGACTCAGTATCTGTGAGAGGGAGAGGGAGACTCAGCAGACAGGGGCCACCTTGGAAGCAAAGGTAGAGAAGCAAACATGTTAGGGAAGGCTGCAGCAGTAGAGGTCAAGGTGAACCTCACAGGAACTAGAGCTCAAAGTAGGGTGAGGTCCAATGTCCAGGTCCTTGAATGCTAAGCCTAGAGTTTCGTATTGGACTCTGGGCAGTGAGAAGCCATCAGTGGGTTTTGAGCAGAAGAGTGGCTGGATCTGAGATGTACAGTGAAGGCACGTAGCACGCGACAATTGTCAGGCTTCAACAAGCATGGTGAAGGCCATGCTGGCCCAGAAGATTCTTCTACAACTAACGTGTGTATTCCCACCACTCCCACTACGAATTTACCTCTTCCAGCTGGACACGCTTCCCTCTCACTCACTGCCATTCCCAGTCCATCTCCACATCCAATCACTTTTTACCTCCCAGATCTTTCTACTCCACCCACTTCTCTCCATCCCCATCCACCACCTCTCACCTGTCCAACTGCACGATACTCCTCCCCTGTACGTATGATATTGCCTCCTGCTACAGGGCCTTGGAACACACCTGAAACCCTCAACCTCTTACATAGTTCATTCCTTCTCTTCCCTCTCTCAGCTATAGCACTCTTTCCCTAAGAAAGCCCTATATGACCTTCCCAGAGATAAAGTCAAAGATCCCTTATTACATTGTTCTTCATAGAATCATCATCCTTTGGACCATTCACTGAAATGTGGAATTTTATACTAATTTGGTAAATGGTTCTTAATATCTGTGCTGTCCAACGGAAATAAAATATAAACCACATACATAATTTTGAATTTTCTAATGGCCCTATTTTTAAAAATTTTTATCTTTATTCATTTTTGAGAGAGAGAGAGAGACAGAGCACTAGCTGAGGAGGGGAAGAAAGAGAGGGAGACACAGAATCCAAAGCAGACTCCAGGCTCTGAGCTGTCAGCACACAGCCCAACATGGGGCACGAACCCATGAACCGTGAGATCATGACTTGAGCTGAAGTCAAGTGCTTAACCAACTAAGCCACCCAGGTGCCCCTAATGGCCCCATTTTCTAAAAAATCAAAAGAAAACAGGCAAAAGTAATTTGAATATTATTTTTTTACTTATCCCAATATATCCAAAATATTTTAATGAGTAACCAGTATTAAAGATTATTATTACTAATATTATTGAGATACTTTACATTCTTTTTTTTGAGCAAGTCTTTGACATTGGTGTGTATTTTACACTCACAGCACATCTCAGTTCAGACTGACCACACTGCAAGTGTCCAACAGCCACAGTGACTCGTGGCCACCATTTTGGACAGTGGAGATCTAGACACACACATGCGCGCACGCGCACGTCCGCACACACACACACACACATACGGCGCAGGGACAGGAACTGTGCCTGATGTGTTCACCATCCCACCCATCCCCCATCCCTACACAATTCCCAGCAAAGGTGAGATTGGAAGTGGCCTTAGAGTCGCATTTGAGGGGTCATGTTGGGTGTTCAATACGCATGGCATGAAGGAGCAATTAAAGCACTCACCATTGGCTTGCCATGCCATCTGCTGAAAGGTTAACATCCTCAGCTCTTCCACCACCTCCTGGTCTATGAAGAAGAGTCCATCTTGAGCCCAAGCCCTCCCAACACCCCAGGCTCGGCATCTCCCCGCACCCCAGGCTTGGCGGCTCCCCACGCCCCATCCCCTTCCTGCTCACACTTGCTGAGGGTCACAGCCAGACCAGTACAGCCCAGGACCAGTGACACCACCACCAGCAGACACAGGATCACCACCAGTCTCTCCTCCTGGTAGCACCCAGGACATCTGGACTTCTGACCGAGCTGGGACACTGGAGTCGCTGGGGGAAGAGAATGGGGACAAAGAGACATTGGTGCTTCGTAGAGTGAGGAAGAGACACTTGAGCCCCTCTCCAAGAGCAGGAAGACAAAGATCATGGTCATGACTATATCACCAGATGGTGTCAGTAAGAGAGGGTCAGGGGGAAAGAACCCTGAAGAATCCCAGAAGAGCACTTCCTGTGCTGCAGGGCCACCCCTTCCCCAAACGAAGCCCCCTCTCCAGCTCCAAATGAAGCCACACCTCCACCCCCCCTCTCACTTCCAAATCCAACACCAACGCCGTAACCTAACACAACTACTACACATCCTGGAACACTGGAGAGAACGTACTGTGTGCCAAGAATCCTGTCCCACCCTTATTATCTTATTGGATCCTCATCCTTCTAGCATAGATGTGACTATTGTTCTCAGTTTAAAAATAAGTAAACTGAGGACTTGGAGAGGTCGTCATGACTTGGACCCAGCGCAGCTCCTAACATTTCTGATTCGTTATCCTATGCTCTCCAGCAGCCCCTGCCCAAGCGGCTCCCCATTCTAGGAAGCCTATGGATCTTTGCATCCGTACTTTATGCAAGTAGGCGGTGGGGCCTGAAGGGGATCAGGCAGACACCCTGGGTCCCTCCAGTCTGGTTTAGACTCAAGGAGGAAGACCTCCTGAAAGGAGACACTTCTCTGCCCCAAGGTCTCCCTCTGGAGCTATAGGTCTGACTCGAGCATACTTGTTACCATGAGAGGGAAGATAGGGGCCCACCTCGGGGGCATGAGAACTTACTGGTGAGAGACAGCTGGAATGGAGGATGCTCCGAATTGACACCTGGAAGAAAGGGAGAGAAATATTTATTCAAAAGTTGCTGAAAGAGTCTACATTCCAAGATCAACACGTCCCCCATCCCATCTGATTTGTTCTATAGGAAACTGGAAGACTTCCAGGTGTCCCTGGAGAGGCTCTTCCCGTGGCTCACCCAGTTGAGAAGACGTGCAGGTGACAGGGGTGAGGTCCAGGCCTGGAAGGGGCCAGAAAGACAATGGTTAGGCAGACATAGACCTCAGCCAGGTAAACTGAAAGGTCCCAGCCTTGGGTTCTCACCTTTGATCTTTGGGGACTTGCAAGGGAGTGGGGGTTTCTCTGTTTTCTTTTCTGGGGGGGCGGGAGAGGGAAAGGAATGGTTACTCAGGCCCAGAGCAGGACAAAGGCAGCACTGAGTCTCCTGCACCCCCAGCCCCAACTCACCTGCCCTTGGAGGCCTGGGGGGAGCCATCGAACCTGTGGAAGCAAAGTTCATAGTGTGAGCTGGTCTGAGGCTCGGAATAAGATCAGAGGCAGTGATAGAATCAGGACCGAGACTGAAGTAGAGGGTTAGGGACAGAACTGAGCACAAGAATGGAATTGGGGTCGAGACAGAGTGACCAGCCCTCCGGGGCCACCCGGGACTTGCCCAGTTTTAAACCAGAAAGTCCCACATTCCAGGAAATCACTCAGTCCTTGGAAAACTGGGACGTGGTAGTTGACTCTGAGTTAAAGTCACAGCTGAGTTTGGGCTGGGGATGGATGAACCAAGGCTGTGGCTGGGGTGAGGAAGGGGTTGAAGATGGGGTGGGGACAGTGATGGCCACGGGAGCAGTTGTGACACCGGATGCGGTTCGGATAAAGACTGGGACTAGAGGTGCACCAGGTCTGGGGAGGAAGTCTCGTTTAGGGCGTGGTTGAGTGGAAGCAAGGGGGATGACTTTGGATTTGGAAATAAAGATGGAGGTGGAGGTTGGGCTGCAATCGGAGACGGGGAAGGGCCAACCTTGGGGAAGGAGAGCACCGAAGACCGGAGGCCTGGGGTCCGTGTTGGAAGTGGGTTTGAGGATTGTGTTGGGACCAAATGGGAGCCGGAGGCAGACAAGCAGCAGAGCCCAGTTCCCCTCCCACCTCATTCGGAGCCCCCCCCCCCGCCCCGCGGTGCCCCACGTTGGCCTCCAGCCGGAGTAAGAAGTGGTGGGTGCAGTGCCCCGCCCAGCATGGAACGGCCACTGCCCAAGGGCACCAGCACAGCCACCGTCAACCTTCAGGGAAGCCTCAAAGTCTTCGCTTTTATACCCACTTATCAGACTCTTACTGAGACCTGGGTTAGGCACGCAGCACCCAAGTCTAAAGGTAAATCGGGGCCCGGAGTATGGATGTGAGGAGGTTGGGAGCCTATGGTCCACTCACTGGTTATGAAGCACCAGCTGTCAGGCCTCAGGGCCTCTGCACCCACCAGTTCTCTGCCATTAAGCCGCATCCAAGCGCCCCCTCCTCTGACCCCAGTCTCCCCACCGCTGCAAGCAGAGCCCTCGGTTCCCCCCTCGAGATTTCCCCATTCTCTCGGTCCGTCCCTTCTTGGAGCTGTTCACCTGGTCCTCTCCCGTTGGACAGAGAGGCCCTCAGGGCAGGGCAGAGGCAGAGACGCACCTGTCATCACGGTGTCGGGCTGCCATAACGCCCAGCTAATGCCCCCCGGGGCCCTGCTTTCCCCCCGCCACGGGCCACACACTTCTTCACCTGGCCCCCGAGAAGTCCTCCTACCTGGCTTGGGAGGGAGATCCTTGTAGGGTGGTGCCATGTTCTCGTAATCATCGCCATCCTCCTCCTCCTCTCTGGTCCCTTCCAGAGGAGAGGCAAGTGAGAGCCCAGCCCATTCCCTCCGCTGCCCCTCAGGGCCCGCTTTCTAGCCGCAGGGTGCGGATCCTGTCATCTGGGGCCCGGCCATCCCCGGTTGGCCCCCAGCTCCCGCCCGGCCAGCCCCATACCTGGCTGGTCCTGGCCTCCAGAGTTGGTGTACATGTGCATGGCCACAGCTAACGCGCGAGCCTGAGAAGAGCGAGCCGGATGGGATCTGCCTCTGATGCCCCCCGCTCAGGTGCCTGAGGCTTCTCTCAGTTCCCTTTTTCATTAAACGTCAAGTACATGCAAATCCACCTTAAGGGGAACCACTCAAAGCACCCACCACACACGTGCGTGTGCACGCGCGCACACACATACACACACACACACACATCTTTCGCCCCAGTTTGGATTCATGCACAGAAGTGAATATGCCAACCACCCTGCGTTTGCACACCGAGCCCTGGGTGGAAAAAAACGGATAAACTCCCTCCTTCATGGAACGTTCCATCAAGACAGGAAGGACACTGAGCTAGTAAATAAATAGAGAAATAAATGGCTTGGTTGTTTATTTTATTTCCAATACTCACCAAATACTTTTTTTAAGAATTAACGTAGGGGTGCCTGGGTGGCTCAGTGGGTTAGGCGTCCGACTTTGGCTCAGGTCAGGATCTCACAGTTTGTGGGTTCGAGCCCCGCGTCGGGCTCTGTGCTGACAGCTCAGAGCCTGGAGCCTGCTTCAGATTGTGTGTCTCCCTCTCTTTCTGCTCCCAACCTCTGTTCATGCTGTCTCTCTCTCCCTCTCTCTCTCAAAACTGAATAAAAATTTTAAAAATAACATAAAACAGTGGCTCCTGGTTGGTTCAGTCAAAGAGCACAAAGCTCTTGATTTCAGGCTTGTGATTTCGAGCCCCATGTCGAGGGCAGAGATTACTTAAATAAACTTTTTTAAAAATAAAAATGGCAATAAAATAAAATAAAACAGAGTGAGGGATAGGATAGAGGCTAATGTAGAGAGATAAAAAGGGAAGGCCACCTGCAAGTGACATTTGCGACCAAACGTTAAAGTGATAGGTGCTAAGTACTCCCATGTTCCACAGTAAAGTGCTAGGGCACTGGCTCTGTTATCTCCAGCTGCATCCCAGGTTACCCCAGAACTTCATAAACAACAGCAAGTACTTATTAGCTCGCAGTTTCTGGTGCTCCAAGTTCAAGAGCAGCTTGGCTGGGTGGTTGGTTCTGCTTCTGGGTCTCAAATAGGTCCGTGAGGCCAAGGTCTCTGACGACGGTGCTGCAGCTGGAAGATCTGTTCCCAGGATGGGGCGCCCTCTCCAAAGGGCTGAAGCAGCATCCTCGCCACGTGGCAGAGGCCAAGGTGGAAGCCATCCATGACACCCTTTATGCTTCGACCGCACAAGTCACGAGCTATGATCGCCACTAACTCGTTTCACCCGGACCAGTTCGAGGCGGGAGGAGACTACGCTGGGGCCTGGACACCAGGACCTGAGGATCATTGGGGGTCATCCTGAAGGCTGGTCACCAGCATCATATACACAGAACTTGTCACCCTGAACTTGACATCGACTGGAAGTTATTTACAACGTGGGAGTTCAGGAGAGAAGTCTGTCCAGCCCATGGTAAAGCAGGGGGTGAGGTTTTGACTTCTATCCAAAACACTGGGAAGGGGCTGCGGGAGGAGCGGCCACATCTTTTGGTTCAACACAGACGTGGGAGTTTCCTGCGAGCCAAGTGAAGACAGTGGAATAACCAGGCTGAAGCCACTTGGAGAGCTCTGCCCAGAGGGCAGCCTGCCTGTGTTCGTCCGGTGGGCTGCCATCAGCCTTTGGGGCCAACAGCCTGAGAAGCATCCATGACTCCTCTCTGCTCTCGTTTCATGGCTGCGGCAAGTTGAATTGTCAAAAGACGGCTGCACCCGTATCTCTTTGTCCCACATGTCCTCACGCACTGTGACCTCACCACTCCGTCCAGGAGTCCAAGTCTGCCCTTGAATCTGGGACGGTGGTCGTGACTCATGACCAGCAGAATGTGGTATGAGTGACAGCTACCTTGAAGCTCCCGCCTGGCTCTGTCAGAGCACGTGCTCCCTGCCGCCATGTTGTGAGGAAACCCAAGCCACGTGGAGGTGCTCCACTCAACAGTCCCAAACGAGGCGGCTCTGCCTTCACGATACAACCAGCGTCTGAGCCGGTCTTGCCTCCCAGTCTGAACCGTCAGCTCAGATTACAGTAATGGCCTCCATCTGGTCCGCCTACCTTCTGCCCTTGCCCTCCATAGAGTGGAACTCACAGAAGCAGACAGGCGGTTACCAGGGGCTGGAGGAGGCACAAACTGGGTAGATGTTGGTTAAGAGGTGCATAGTTTCAGGGACGTAAGATAAGTGAGTTCTGGAGAATCGGTGTACCACAATGTGGGTATAATTGACAATATTGTACTGTGAACTTGAAATTTGGTCTAAGGGTAGATCTTGGATCTTCTCCACTGGAAGGAAGGAAGGAAGGAAGGAAGGAAGGAAGGAAGGAAGGAAGGAAGGAAGGAAGGAAGGAAGGAAAAGAAAGGGAAATAGTAACAATAAAGTATCAGCTCTAGCAGTTTTTTGGTGGAGTCTTTCAGGTTTTCCATCCAGAGTATCATGTTATCTGCAAAGAGTGAAAGTTTAACTCCTCCCCTGATGATCTGGGTGGCTTGTATCCCTTTGTGTTGTCTGATTACCGAGGCTGGGACTTCCAACACTATGTTGGACCATGGTGGTGAGCTTGGTGTGCTCCTTCTATCTCTACTTCCTTGAGGGTTTTTATCAAGAAAGGATGCTGTATTTTGTCAAATCCTTTTTCTGCATCTAGTGAGAGGATCGTGTGGTTCTTATCCTTTCTTTTATTAATGTGGTGAGTCACGTCGATTGATTTGCAAATATTGAACGAGCCTGGAAGCCCAGGAATGAATCCCACTTGGTCATGTTGAAGAATTCTTCTAATGTACTGTTGCTTTCGATTTGCTGGTATCTTGGTGAGAACTTTTGCATCCAGGTTCATCGGGGATATTGGCCTGTAGTTCTGCTTTTGAGTGGGGTCTTTGTCTGGTTTGGGAATCAAAGTAACGCTGGCCTCATAGAATGAGTTAGGAAGGTGATGGGTGTGTTATGGTAAATAGTTCACAACATACATGTACATCAGATCATCAGTTTGTACACCTCAATATACACGTAATATCTATTTTATCTTGACATGGGGGACGGGGGGAAAAGAATTCTGAATTCAAGCCTGAATTGGCATGGCCGTGCTCTTTCCAGAAGCTCTGGGGGAGGATCCTGTCTTGCCTCTTCCAGCATCCGGGGCTCCTGGCTGTGGCCGCGTCCCTCCGGTGTCTGTCTCTGTGGTCACCTGGCCTCTCCCTGTGTGTGTGCCTGAGCCTCAAGTCTCTTCTGTCCTTCCTCTGAAGGTTTATACCATGCTGGTGGCTTTGAAGATGCAGGAAGGGGCCATGAGCCAAGGAATGCAGCTCTCGAAGCTTGAAATGGCAAAAAAATAAAAAAAATTAAAAAAAAAATAACCAAAACAGATTCTCCCACTGGATCCTCTACTGACACCTGGGCTCAGCTCCATCAAACAATTTGAACTTCAGACCTCGAGAACCATAAAAGAGCCCATTCCCGTTGTTCTAAGACACTAAAGTTGTGGCGAGCTGTCCTGGTAACCATAGGAAACCATTCCGTACCGCAAGAGGCAAGACCCCGGACCCGCCTTATAAGAGCTTCCTGCTAAAAGTAAAAGGCATCAAGACTCAAATTGGCTTAAGCAAGAAGGAAATCCCATCAGGCGTGTGCACAGGGTCGGCTCGCTGTAATACACATTCAGAACAAGAGCAACTTAAAATAGAATTTCTTGCCTCGCAGATCAATGTAAGCAACCCACGGTCTCCACCGGCGGAAAATCTTCGCCAGCACACGGGGAAGGAGTGTGCCCAGCCCTGGGTGAAATGGGAGGCACGGCAGACCCGCCTCCGTCTCCAGGGAAAGCTCGCCCCAAGGGCTGGGCTTTCCCCGTTATGCTGCAAGATGGAACGTGCAGAACTTCCCCGACCTGCCTGAGGCATAGCTACAGCTGGTCCCATTCTACAGATGGGGAAATGGAGACTTGTCTGAGGAAAGGAGCCTGTCTCCTGAGCACACACTGGACCACAAGACTCCGGAAGGGTATGTGAGGTCAGAGGGGAGGGAAGGGATGACGGTGGGGTTACACCATCCGAGAGAACTGACAGCACCTCTGCCCTATCAAAGGCGCCCCTTGAGGTGGTGAGTGGACCTGGGGCCAGATAAGTGCAGTGAAGGCGGAATGGTCTGTGTGTGAGCTGGTAATGGACACACAGCCACGGCCATCCTTCAGGACCTGCCACCCAGTAGGAGCTCAGGATCTCACAGAGGAACCCCGTCCCCTCAACTGGGCGTACGTAAGGCCATGGGCCCCGGCTGACCCCGGCTCTGCCCCAGTCTTGCTGTGTGACCCCAGGGGAGGAGAACAACATCTCTGAGCAAAGGTCTTCCAATAGGTCCAATGGGGATTGGGAATTCAGTTGTTCATTCATTCATTCAACAGATACATATTGACAACTTACTGTGTGTTAAGCTATATTCTAGGGGATGGGATACATTACTCAACAACAACACAAAACAGAACAAAACCTCTTGCAACGGAAAGGAAGATCGCCAGCTGGAAATCTTACAAAATGTGTTCTCAGACAAGACCTGAATTAAATCAGAACTCACAGAATGGTATCTGGAAAATCCGCAATTATTTGGAAATTAAATCACACCCACGGGTCAGAGAGGAAGTTGAAAATTAAAAATATTCTTAACTGAAGAAAAGTGAAAGGATGCCGGATTGAAATCCGGGGGTGCAGTGAAAGCACTGCTAGGGGGCGGCATGGGGTACTGACGCTTATGCTGAAGCAGGAGGTAGGGTATATTTGAAATTTGCTAAGAGTTCATTTTTTTTCGTTTTTTCCCCCAAGTAACACTCTCAGAAACATCTTTTTTACATATGGTTCTAGGCAATTCTCTACATTCTTTTTTTTTTTCAATTTTTTTAATGTTTATTTATTTTTGAGAGAGACAGACAGAGCGTGAGCAGGGGAGGGGCAGAGAGAGAGGGAGACACAGAATCCGAAGCTGTCAGCACAGAGCCCGACGTGGGGCTCGAACCCACCAACCAAGAGACCATGACCTG